CGGGACTGAGTCATTGATATTGGTTCAGTGCGGAGCAGTAACCAGCTAGCAACTGGAAGTGAGTAGTGGAGTTTCGTGAATTCGTAGTTCTTGTTCTTTGGTATTATGCTGTTGCGTAGTAGTAAGAAATATAAGAATATCAAAATACAAAAACAAACAAAAGAAGAAAAGTAAGAATAAAGTAAAAGAAGAAAGAAAAGATGATCTCTAAAGTGCACCCTCAGGAGATCAGGGAGCAGGGTCAGGTTGATGCGTGTCGGGATCCACCCAGTCTTGGCTCTGGAGACTAGCATCGCCGGGGGGATTTGACTGGTCGAGCACGATGGATGGTCCAACCACGGGCGTTGGTTGCCTGTCCCCTTTGATTTGGTGGCTTGGGGGATCTTGTGCAGGAGATTCATGAGTGTTCTCTGTCTGGGTCTCAGTTGTGTAGTGGGAGAACAGACTAGCAAGGAGGAAGAAAGAAGGAAAGTAATCAAATAATGGAGAGAATCAAAGGTCAAGAATAAGATAAAGACAGAAGTTTAAAAGTAATATCATGTTCTGCAGACACGGGAAGCCGTGGCGGTTGGAGGAGGAGATTAACACAGCCGCTTCTTGGCTTTTCTTAATATTCTTTATATATTTATATATATATATATATATTTATTTTATTCTACTCCCACCCACCGAGTTGATTGAGTAAAATTATAATATGATTATTGATTCTTGCATCGGATCAGTATCCACACCCGCACATACCAACCCGCGGGGCCACTAGTGAGATTAGTGTTGGGGCTTGCGATGGATTGCTGTCTAATTGTCGATGCTGTTCTATGGTGAAGGGTCTTTCTTTACTAATAGATGGAGTTGTTCCTCCAGCTACTCTTGTATTATCCTCTAGTCTAGTCCAAGTAAGATGGGAATAGTGAATATATCTTGATCAGGAGAAAGAGAAAGGCTCCAGAGATCTACCTTCAGATCAGTCATCATCTCCGTGATGATCTCCGGGATTTTAAATATAGTTAGTTCACCAGGGAGATCAGTGGAACATCGTCCTAAAAGACCAAGGACTCAGGACTAGTAAAAGGGGAGAACTACCAGAGCGAGTAATGCGGAGTAAGCCGTCCAATGTGATTCATTCGACCATGGTTGAGGATGAAGTCATTTAGTGGGGAGACAGAGGGAGGAAAGTGATGTCGTAGATGGATGATAGCTCCAAATCTCCCCAAACAACTCTAATTTTCTCCTTCTTCTTTCTCCCCTCACTCTTCTCTCGTCTCTCCTCATTACTCTGATCGATCGTCTCCACGTCAATCCGATTTCCCTTCTGGATGCTGACTCTACCTATGCTCTCTTAGGCTAGACTCTCTCTCTCTCTCTCTCCCTCTCTCTCTCTCTCATCCTATTCTCTTGACTCTCTTCTCTTTTAACTTTTCTTTCTGTTTCTTTTTTTTTTTTCCCTTGACTATCTTATTTCTTCCCCTGCTCTTTTCTTTTTTTCCTTTTTTTTTTTTTCTTTTTATTGTTCTATCTTTCTATTATTTCTTTTTTCCGTTTCTGAGTTGATCTTATTTCTTACTCGTCCCATGCTGATGGATTCATCGCCCTTCCATTTCCATCCTCTTCTCTCCTCAACACTATTGGACTGATCTTCCTGATCTCCCCCTTCCCTTCTCTCCTCCCTTCCTCCCTCTTTCTACTCTCCTACCCCCTCCTCCCCACCCTGTACTCTTTTCTCTTCTCTCTCCCTCCCCTCCGCCCCCCCCCCCCCCTACCTATCACTGTACCCTCCATCGACATCGTGGGTGCTCACGTTCGTCACTCCTCACCATCGACACCCCCCATAACTGAATGATGCCCCTAGCGAGGGTCCTCCTCGTGTGGTTCCCCCAACCGTTCAATTGATCGCGTCTACTGCATGCCGATCCTCTCCCTCTCTTGCGCTCGTTACATGCAATTCGCCTGGTGCCCACCATGGCAAACCCCTACCACCCGCCCCAAGCCTCCATGACCAGCTTCCTACAAAACTCCTTGCAGCATCCCCAGGATCCCGTCCCGCTATCCGCCTTCTCCATCCTGGACCCCGGCCAGTTCCCCGAGAGCGTCGCCTTCTGGCATGACCCCACCCAACCACCCCACGGTCTCCCCGCCACCTCCCCCTCCTATCCGCCCACCTCCAAGCCGCTCCTGCAGCCCATCCCCGACCAGAAGAAGCACCGTCGCACCCGCAGCGGCTGCTTCACCTGTCGCTCCCGCCGCATCAAATGCGACGAGACCCGCCCCGTCTGCGATCGATGTCGCAAGGGCAACCGCGATTGTGTCTACCCCTCCCCCTCCGCCCCGGGCTCCGGGCCCAAGCCGGGGTCGCGTCCGACCGCCAAAGCCCGCGGCTCGCGTCCGCAGTCGCGCAGCAGTGACTCGCCCAGTCAGGCCGGTTCGGAGGATTTTCACGTCTTGGAACCCATTGCGGATGATGAGGAGGAGAAAGAGAGTGTCGGGTCTCATCTCTCCCCGTCCGGGGCGTCCAGTTCGATGAAGTCCCTGCCGGGAGACGTCCCCCGAAAGCACAGTGTCCAGTCGCTCCGCCAGCATGGCGCCAACAAGCCCTCCGTCGCCACCACCGTCACCACGTCCGAGACCCCCATGTCGCACCTCGACACCAGCAGTTCTCCCTCCACCGAGGCCTCCTCGCGATATGAGTCCATGAGCGCGCGGTCCGCCAGCGTCGGTTTACCCACCGAGCCCCTCAGTTTCGACCATCTCCCGGAGGATCTCCAATTCTATCTCAATTACCACCGCGAGTTCTTAACCTTCCACCACTACTTCATGAAGTCGCGCGGGGATCCGTTCATCCATCGGACCCTCCTCGAGTTTGCGCTCCAGTACGAGCCGCTCCTCTACGCCGTCGTCGGGTTTGCCGCCTATCACCACTGCGTCCAGCTCGGCACCGGGAAGCTCTACTCGTTCCTCAAATACTACAATATGGCCCTGAAACTGTTACGGAGATCGTTGGCCTCGACCAAGGCCCACGGTGAAGCCACGCTCATGACGGTGTTGGTGCTCACCAATTTTGAGGTGAGTCTGGACTGTCCATCTTCTTCCCTTCCGTGCTCCGCTGACATCTCTAGGAATGCGTCGGGGACTGGGTCAATCTGATCGATCACCACCAAGCGGCCCATGCGTTGGTCCAGGAGGTATTAACGCTAGAGTCCATCACGACGAATCCCCTCCACGGTCATATCTTCCTGTGGTATAGCCGGTTCGATCTGATCGCGGGCATCTTGGCCGGGAACGAGGTGGTCTTGGGTCGGGAGTGGTATATCGTCAAAGAAGAGCACGACGCTCTCGTCGCCGCCCGCTCGCCGGACGACCCCGACAAGCAGCTGGCCCTGGTCGAATCGATCACGCGCCGATTTGGACTCGAAATGGCCTCGTTATTCGCCAAGCTACGGCGGAACCTGATCCAGCTCGACGAGTTCAACCGACAGAGCAAGTATCTCGAACAGACGCTGGACCGGATACACGAGATTTTGGAACTACTCCGCGCGCCGGAATGGACCGTCCAGGAGTACCCGCACCGGGTCCCCTTGACCGACGATGACGTGGTGGACCCTTACGTTCCGGGGGGCTTGCTTTACGGGCCGTACTGGGATGTCAATTACGCCTGGATCGAGTACTATTCCGTGAAAGCCATGTTCAAATATCAGCTCTCGTCCCTGACCCATTCGCCCGTGGAAGAACTGAAAGTGATGGAGGTGGAGGTGTGTCGACTGATCGAGTCGATCCACCGATGGCCGGATAAAGAGAATGGGTACATGTACGCCTTTAAGAACTGCTTCGGTCTGAGCGCCATGCTTCTCCACGACAACCCCAAATACGTCGCCTGGAGCTGCCACAAGCTCGCCCTGTTGGAACAGAACGGGTACGTTACAGACCCGTTTGACTATCGTTTTTTCAAGCACTAATGGACGTTTAGATATATGATCCCGCCCAAGTTACGATCAGGGCTCGCGGTGCTTTTTCAGATGCCGGAGATCAACCATTGGTGGCTTCCGAATAACGAAGGCTATCCACCGATCATCCGGGAAATACGTGCGATGACCGAAGAGCGAACGAATAACCCTCGAGATAACTTCCGGGAAAACGTCCGCGATCTGAAGACGTTATTCTACAAGATCAACATCGACGATACCGAAAGCGAAGGCAGTCCCGCTTCCATGGGAGATAATCTATAACATCAGCCCCAGACCTGTTCGCTGTTTACATCTTTGCGGATCTATGTCCGACCGATACCCACCGACCATATACCACTACCCATACATCACCATCACCTCTCCCACCATCTCCGCGGCGACTCTGAGTGACCGCCTTGAACCCCTGAACTCCCCCCTCATTATACATCCCCATATTTAATACCGCATATACCCCTGGCTTACTCATTAACGATCTACGAAATATATACTGTGCTGTGCTGTGACTTGTGACTGTGTCTGTGAACCTTAGAGTTGGACTAGAGGAGTGAACGATTGACGCTTGGCGGGAGGCTTTCTGGAAGCGATAGCCATCAATATATGGTTTACACATATATACCACGTTGAATGTGCTGCTATACGTGTCTATGGTGGATATGCTGGATGTATTGTAGTCTGTTTGCTATCTACCTGTAGTAGTGTTAGTAGTGTCTACCTTGCTATCTACACAGGGAAGAAAGTACTCTATCCATGCCTCAATTCTGGTATCACAACGATATCTGGGTTTAGAGCAAGTTATGTATAGAATTGTGTAGCAACCCTAGCATTAGGTTTGCAGATCTATTACCAGAAATGCCTGACTACCGGGTTCAATCAATACAGATAAATATCATACTCCATAATTATGACTATTAGAGTTTACGTGTCAAGATTAATAATACAATCAGTCGCTCTTCATGAAGCTAGATACATAGGCGGTTCTATCTCTAGATGGATGTCACAAGACGACCACATCATATCACAGACAGCTTCATGTATACTTGACGGCTAGTTCAGCTGAAGCTCTCTCAGCTTGGACGTCACCAGCTCTAAAGTCTTTGGGATTTCAGATCGGTTGCTCTCCGCAATCACACCCAATGTCTTCTCCAGAAACGCCGCTGATGCCTCATTATTGACCGCTAGTCCAGTGAGAACGGAGATATCCAATCCCATCTGCCCAGTGATCTCCTTCGCTCCCCATGCAGCGACATAGTCTGACACAGCGACAACCAATGCGATCATGCTTTGTTTAATTGCTTCATGTCCAAGAGTCTCTCTGACGCCATACTCCCCGAGAATGCCATCACCGAACTCAACAACAATCACATCAGGCCCATGCGCCATAAGCTCCTGTAGCAATCCAAGTACCATGGTTGTCACCACGTCGACCTGGCCTCCACAGGTAGACGGTAATCCGCCGTCCCCAATAGTCAGGACCGGCTCGGCGCCTGCCTCTGTCATTTTCATCGTATCGAACACAGAATCCACCCCGGTTGCCTTACACGCTGCAACACGTAGTCCCTGGCTAGTAAGCTTCTCAATCAGCTTGAGGGCCATCCCCGTCTTGCCTACATCCATAGCAGTGCCCGCGACGCAGACAAGCGGAATAACCCCGCCATCTAGAGTGGTTCGGGGCGCAATAGCGCCATGCCTCAAGGTCAGCGCTTCGTTGCCATCAGTCAGGACACATCCCAGCACCTCAAGCTCAGGTGGCTGTCCCCATTCTTCATTGTTTCCAGTTATACACCCCGCCGTTCCGCTCATGCTTAGCAGCTGGATACGATCACCGACAGATAGAGCGGTTGGGGTGTATCCCGAAAAGTGACGCATCGCGCAGCGTGCCCCCAGAGCGACTGGGATGGAATCATCCGGGCCGATTGGTATGAGTTCTCCCAACCGGCTGACGATAAGGTTTCGGGGCTCTGGGGCTTTGACGACACGGCAAAGCACAATAAGGCCTTGAGTCGGGTGTAATTCTGAGCTCAGTTGAACCACTGTCGGGAGATTAAAGCGGCGGAGCATTGAGGGCGTTTTAGTGATGGCGTGTTGCATAATGGCCAGGAATTAACAGTATTTGGTGGTCAACCTGGATCTTGCTTTGTACAAAGTGGCAGCGAGGGCTTTTCGGATGGAACGAATGGTGATATATCCATAGCCACCAAGGAGCGGTCAGAGATTGAGGGTGACCTGTTTGGTACATGTCTCAGTGGATACTGGTTCTACATGTCCAGGCATATTAACTTTCGCGTATCAGACCGCCTGCAGATCCCGTCAATCTTGTCCATAACCTAGTAACGGTGATAGACTGATACATGTTTTTTTGAGTAGGGCTTAAAGAGTATACGCCTTGATATTGCTGTTAGAAGAGCAACTTAGTGCACGAATTCAGTAAACTCACCAACCAATTGATATAATGACGACCAAGAGGCGACATGTGTCATTTAAGCGTCCAGGGCACAGCTTCAATCTCAGAGCCCCAAATATACTAGGCGTATTGCTCCCGCGTCACAATCTTTAGGATCTGTGATCATAAGCTAAGGAAATAAATTGAAGATTCAACACGCCTACTCTGATTATACATAACCAGCGCAGCAAGAACAGGGCTTGTCCAACAAAAAAGGCCCTAATCTGGTATTAAAAGACTAAAAGTGTATTATTTTGTTACTCTGTTCGAGTTCCCCCATCTGCACTGAGCGATCTTTGTCACCCGTTGATTTCATGTTCTCGTTAAAGCTGCATTTGGCGCGGATGGACGATCAAAGCCCAATCAATAGTATTTCGTATTCGGGGGAAGGCCCTACATTTGGTCTCTTCTTCTGTATTATCGTTAGACTCGATCAAAAACCAAAAACAGGATCCAAACCAAACCAAAAGGTCTCCAAAGCTTTTCACAAGTTCGATTTCGAAGTTACAGTATTCCTCAGCCTGAGGGCCCATTGGCCTTCCCGGATCAAAAGTCACCGCAACATCGAAGTCCACCCAAACGACTCTGTCTGGATTCCCACGGACAATGAGAATGTTCTTTGGGTAGATATCGCGGTGGTAGATGACCGCGCTGTGGATTATTCGAAGTTCAATAACCGCGGCTTGAAGATGATCGTCGGAGTAGTTTATCTCAAGACCACTAGACCAAAACGTTGACCAACGCTTGGTATAGGGCTGAACCTGACTGATATGTCCAACAGTTTACGCAGTTTAGCTCTTCGGGATCGTGTAGATACTCGAGTAAAATGGCCTGTGGGTTATGGGCGTCGTCCGTGAAATGATCAAGATGAGGCCGGAAGCAGGCTGGATCAAGTCCGTCGATATACCCGTGATAATATGGAACCACGCCCCTCCCCCCTGCTTACATGCCCCCGACGAAAGGAGGTTTCTGTATGCGTTTAACTCGCAGCGGAAGCGGTTCAGGTCGGGCCCTTTTTTGTGAATCCTGGGTCGCCGTTGTTGTGGAACTGTGGCATTAGCTGTAATCCTGGTAGATTGTAAGGGGGCAGGGACTTACTACTTTCAGTGCATGGCGGTGGCCGAGATCCGTTACTTTGAAGATTGAGGATGCGTCTGAGCTTTTGAGTTCTTTGACGATTTGTAAGGAGCTGGGGTCGGCGGTGAGAAGGTCTGTCGGATGGTTGGACATTTTGGCTGCGTGGAATAGAATGAATGAGTAGTATGTTGAGGGTTGGAAGGATTGGCGTGAATTTGAAGACGATGCGGTTGACGAATTCTACTAAGTAGACCAATGGGGTTTGTTCTTATATTAATTGTTTTGTATATATCGTTATGCTATTGTAGGCTTTGTTACCACATACAGATACATATATAAATATATCCATTATTTGAATACAGAAGAAGCAACAGGAACCTCCCTCGCCAAAACAACAGTCTCCAACCCCCCAGCCAACTCCCCCCAAACCCATCCCCAGCATCCACCCCCACAACCTCCTCCCCCCAAGGCAAAGAATCAACATCAACCTCCCACCCAAGCAAACACCGCAACACGACCCTCGCCCCCGCCTTACTCATAACAGCATTCATCTCCTTGCACCGCTCGTCGCAAACACACTCCACGCATCCTTGCGGATTAAGACACGGACAGCCTTCGATGCGAGCCACCGCGCGCTCGAGTAGCATGTCGATGAACTCGAACGCTTTGGCTGCTATCCCCGACCCGCATGGTCCGCCCTTTGCGTCGTAGAAGGTTAGACGCGCGGGGCGTTGGCGGGCGGGTGGTTTTAACAGTTTCTCCACATTATCTTTAAGATTACGGCTGGCAAAGCCAGGACGAGAAGAAGATTGTGAGGCGAGGCGCAAATTCCGACCCAGCTCCTTCTTCGCAACCTTACATTCTGTGCGGACGTCGCCTGGGGATGATATCACGAAGGTAGGAAGTAGGGATAGCACGGCGTGTTCGGCGGCGTGGATGGCTGCTGCTGCGTTGAGATTGTGAGAGGAGAGGATGGAGAGGGCGCGCGCGGGAATGTCGAGCCACATGCCTTTTGTGTGGATTTCGATTGGGGGGTTGGAGACCGGCACTGCGTCGAGGATTTGGCCGGTTTTGTCGAGTTTGAAGAAGCCGTAGACGATGGCGTGGATGCGGACGGGACCGTAGAAGGCTTTGCTGGGGTCTGGGTTTTTAGGGTTGTTGGTGTCTTCTGGGGTTTGGTTAGTGGGTGGTTGTGGTGATGATGGCGATGGCTGGGGTGGAGAGGCTAGGATGGGACGCATCATCTCCGTCTCGATCGGGTCGATGTCCGTATAGTCGCGCTGCATTGTGGTCCAGCTGACGTGGACGCGGACGACGCGGGCAAAGTGCATGTCTGGGTTGAGCTCTTTCACTAGATAGGTCTGGCCCTGGTGTAGGAAGATCCCGCCTTCATAGATGGTGAAGAAGGCCCGCGAGGCTTCCACCTCTTCTAGAACCACGTTGCGCGCGTTGGTCGTGTCAATCACCGCAAAGTGCTGGTCCTCTGTGTCGCGGATCGAGACGTTGCGCGACGGCTGCGGCCGGAAGCGCTCGTGGCAGTGGTAGAAGCCTAGTCCGTCGCGGGTGAGCCGCGTGGCCGCGAGAGTAGGCAGCTGGGGCCCAAAGTAGACGGTGTCTTCGTCAGGGCGGATAGGCATCTCGAAGGCAGCGCATTGCACGTGGCCTTCTAGGATGAGCTCGTTGGCTAGGTCGACCTGCAGCGCGCAGTTAGGCTGTGTGAACAGCTCCTCCGGATTGCGCATGTAGTACTGGTCGGTTGGGAAGCGGTCTCCGACCAAGACGGACAGCGAGTCCTTGTTGCGGCGGCCGGCGCGGCCGCTCTGCTGTCGCAGGTTGGAAATTGAGTACGGGAAGCCCATTGTGATGACTGCGTCAAGGGAGCCGATGTCGACGCCGAGCTCGAGCGCGTTGGTCGCTACCACCCCCATCAGCTGGCCTTCGAACATCTCCTTCTCGATCTGTCGACGGTCCTGTGCGCTGTACCCACCGCGGTAGCCCATGACTAGCTTTCCGACTTCTTCGCGCTGTAGAGCCCGGAACTCGTTCCGTACGGCTTGCAAGAGGCTCTCGCAGAGGCGCCGCACTCTGCAGAATGCGATTACTCGCACACCTCGTAGGATCAGTTGGGAGAATAAGCGTGCGGTTTCAGCTACGCTGTCTGCCCGCCCGGACGTCGGGTCGTGGGGATCTTTGAATGGCGTGTTCCAGCAAATAAATTCCTTCCGGCCTGAAGGGGAACCGTCAAAGTCAATCAGCTTGACATCGTCGACGCCGAATATCGCCTTCATGTGGTCTTCCGGGTTGGCAACAGTCGCCGAGCAGGAGATGAACCGGACGTGTCGGTTGCCTACCGCAGCGCAGATCCTGCGCAGCCGGCGCATGATAAACGCAACGTGGGACCCGAAGAGGCCGTCGTAGACGTGCAGCTCGTCGACCACGACGAACTTCAGGTTCTGCAGAAAGGAGCGCCACGCGCTTTCCTGCGGCAGGATTGTGATGTGGAGCATGTCGGGGTTGGTGAAGACGATGCGCGCTTCGTCGCGGATGAGGTTGCGGCTTTCCATCGGGGTGTCTCCGTCGAAAGTCTCGACCATTGTGTCCTGGAAGCCGTCTATGTACTGTAGCAGCTCTTTCATGCTGCGTCTCTGGTCTTGTGCCAGCGCCTTTGTGGGAAATATGTACAGTCCGCGGCTAAGGTGGTCCTTTTCCAATTCATGCAACATGGGGACCTGGTAGATCAACGACTTGCCAGAACTCGTCGAGGTCGAGACAATGACGTTGTGGCCTTCGTACAGATTGTTGATCGCGTCCGCCTGGTGCGAGTAGAACTGTGTAATCCCCTTAGTGTTATACAAGGCATTCACCAAGCCCTGTGACAGCTGGAAACCCAAGTCCCCATAGACTGCCTGCTGGGCATCAAACACCCGATGTCCTTCGGGAACAATCTGTGTCGTGTACCAGTCCATTGTTCTTATCTCCTCGATAATCTCAGCAATCGCCTTGCGCTCCGTTGGTATGCGAGGCGGCGGCGTCGACTTGACCACCGCATTGTTGCCATCAGCCTCCGGGGGAACAGGAACATAGGCATCCTTCCCCGACTCCAGTTCCTCGACAGGGTCCTTGCCTTCACCCTCGCACCGCACCAAAAAAGCATCGATAGCGTCTGCAAACTTCCTGTTCCGCTTCTCAATCAACGCCAGCATCTGCTTCTGGCTGTAAACAGGCATCTTCAAATCTTCATCTCTCATCTTCCGCACGGGTTTCGCCGGCTCCCCAGTCTTAGGCTGCTGCACCTCCCGCTTGAGAACCCCATCCACAAATTCAAAAAGCAAAATCTTCCTCTCCAGTTCCTGGTTCTCCACATCCTGGAGCGAGTCATCATCCACAGACAACCCATCCCGCCCATACGTCTCCAGCACCTCCTTCTCGCCCGAATTCATAACCTCCAACTGAGACTCATCTACATACTCGAAGCGCACCGCGCGCGGGACAAGGGTTTTCACCCTCGCGATGTCCTCGACCGTTAAGCCCTCCCCACCCAACTGCGCCTGAACAGCATTTTTGATATTCTCAAAAGTAGTGGCAAAGTGCTTCCGCGTGCAGCAGAACGTATACACGAGGTTCAGCGCGCGGTGGGTCCGCGACAGCTTCTTGAAGGGCTCAGGACAGGGACCCGAGGGGGTCTGTTTTTTGGGTGCTGCGGTGGGAGCTTTGGGTTTACGACCGCGTTGCTTGGGTTTCTGAGCAGACTTTGAAGATGTTTCTAGAGTGCTGGATGCATCGTCGCTGGTGACGTCGCTTGTTGCTGTATTTCGAGCTGATTTGCTTTGCTCCGGCTCGGGAGTGGCTGGGCTTTCTGTTGCTTTGTGGACCGAGCTTTCAATTTGATCGTCTTCTTTGGTGGAAGATCTCTTCCGCTTTTGCCCTGAACATGGCAGTGTCGTGGGTGAGGCTGGGGTGGTCATCTTGACAGCGCCTCATGGTGTCTTTATAAGAGACCGGGGAGGCTCAGTAGGTACAAACTGCCTGGAGACGAGTCCATTGATTCCGAAAGAAGAATTTTAGTGTACCACAAGGTCGATTGAGTGTGTTCAAGAGGTGGTCAATATCTCTTCATCTCTCACCGTTCGATGGTTGAAGAGGCGACAAGTATGATCGATCTACTCTATGGGTCGGATTACAGGTCTAACCCGTTTTGGAATATAGATCACGTGGACCAGTTGAGATATACTTTGTAGGCAGTATGTAACCTGTATTCTAGTTTACATCGAGATACGCTTTCATTTATTTGAGTTCGAGGATGGCATACCACTGCCACGTCTGCAGATACTTATCAATTAGGTACAGTTGGCAGTTAGCGTGCATACTGTGCGGGTGGCTATGGATCAAGCTAGAAACACCATCATAGTATGTAATACTACACAGTTCGCCGTAGTAGATGAAAGCGAAGATATAGACGTGCTATAAATGAAAACTGTACAGTGGGATGCCGCAAACTCATGTATATTCATAAAGAATGGCGCAGCAACAAGAACATAAGGAACAGAATTAAAAAGCCAATATCAAGGACAAATAACCTTGATATCGACTACCAAACGCAGAGAGCCACACTCCCAAAGCCCTAGTCGGCACACACTCCTTGTATACTCCTCTTCCTAAATGCAAAAATTCTACGTCCCGGATCCCCAAGACCCCCACCCCCGTACTCCAGAATTCAGGTGAGGGATAAGCCTTGATGCTTTTAGACCGACGAGCTTCTCGGCAGGCTATCGTTGGCGTAGGCGACGGCGCCCCTACGGCGAATTACAGACTTGTCGCGCTGTCTGTGCTGTGGGCCGCCTTATTGATGCTCGAGGAGGCTACACACCACCTGGTAAAGCTCCTTCGTTTGTTCTTCGTTACCGGTCTGTGCCGAGTTAGCTTTCCTGGTTTTGATTATGTATGATAAGGGAGTGAGTGTGGCATACCCGTAGCAGGGTCGGGACGGAGCGACCACTCTCAAGGCTGGCGAGATGAATCTGCTTCGACTTGGGCTCTTTGCCTGCGGCATCGCCAACGGTCATGCCCTTGAAGATGGGCGTGTTCAACATGACGCGCCCAACACCGTCGGCGCGCATGATCAAGCGGGCTGCCTTCTTATTCTCCTTTCCATCGGTCACCTTGACATTGACCTTGAAGGTGCCGACTCCCCGCTCCCGCCATTCTTTATCGGAGAACTGGAACAGCTTTGCCTTGCAAGCAAAGTATGTCTTCTCTTCTTCCTCGCCCGTTTCAACTATTGAGAAAAAGGTCCAGTCAGTAGGAGTACGTGCGATAGTAAAGCCGTGGGTACATACTCGGCCGCTCAAAGAATCTCTCATCGGTCTTGTCCTGCTCGAATTCACCAGGGCCGGTGTCTTCCTCTTGTTGAGCTTCGTTCTCATCGTCCTCCTCCTCGGCAGCCCCAAACGGCTTGTCCTTACTGGTACTGGTACTACCAAGGACGCTAGGCCCACTCGGCGAGGCAAAACTTGTGAGGCCGCCTGTCGTCCCAGCGGACCCGAAACCGCCACTGAAGCCAGAAAAGCCGGACCCCAGACTCGCAAATCCTGAAGATCCAGCTCCAGATGCAAAACCGGTCGCGGGGGACTTCGCAGGCTCTGTCGAAGCCGGCGATTTGAACACAGAAGAGCCAGAGCTTCCTAACGAGCCGAAAGGTGACTTCTCCGAGCCTGCAAAAGCGGACAGGCTAGATGCTGCGAAGGCGGACGAGGAAGTGGCAGCGGCTGGTTTTGCGGATTCTCCTTTCGATTCCGAGGCACCAAGCGCGCCAAATGGCGAGACGGCCGAAGTATTTGCGAAGCCACTAGCTGCAGGTACCTGTCCAGATAATATCAGCACGTGCTTCCTCCCCGAAGCTCGAGAATACACTTACCGAGCCCTTCTCTTCGTCTCGGTGCCGCTTCTTTTCAGGCTCTCCCTCCACTTCAGGCTTGTCTTGGGCTGCGCCATTCTCTACCGAGCCCTTGTCGTTGGACTTCTCGACCGCCTCTTCCGCCACGGGCTCATCTTTATCCAGCTGATCCCTGCTTCGCTTCTTCTTAAGACCCAGCTTGTTGTCGGCACCCTCGTCGGCCATCAGGGGCTTCTCCGTCTGGGCGTTGTCCTCGTCTTCGGGGTTCGAATCGCGCGACCGCTTCCGTCGATGCTCAGGGTCTTCCTCCATCTCAGGCTGATCTTCGTTGAACGACCGCTTCCTGCCCCTGCTACTCGCACGACTATCCTCACTCCCGGGCGCTTGATCACCGGAGCCGTTGGGCGGATCTTCCGATACCGAATTCGTGGGGGCGGAAGTAATGGTCGTCTCCTTCAACTTGTTCCGAACGGGCCGCTCGCCACTGCCGTCATTATCGGATGTCTGGGAATCTTCCGCAGCGACCGCTAGAAAATGCATCGTCAGCACGAATAAAAAACCAAGCCAGTCAAGCAGCAGCTGTTAGGGAGTTGACAGATAAGTCGCATCGTGCGGGCACAACGCTACCCCTCGTTACGTCACTTTCATACCTTTGGTATCCATGGGCTCGTCCTTCAGTACAACTAAAAGTTCCGCAAATGTAAGCATCACCCTGTAAGCAAGACACATCCGTCGGTAAAGCCGACCAATGTGGTGTGATCCTTCTCCGACTCACCTCCATATCGCGGTTCCGAAGTCATACTGGAGTAGACCGTTTCAGAAATTCCGCCAAAAATTGCGATCGAACCAAAAGTACCAGGCGGGGGGAAACCAGTCGATCTCAAGCGAAGCCGATCGCAGGGGAGCAGGGCGTTTTGAACCGTGTCGGGGGGGGGGGGGGGATCGAGAGTAGGCGGTATGGCCTATAAATAGTCAAGAGACGTCAGCGTATGAACAAAGCCTTCCAGGATCCAGACAAGCTGCGTCGGAATCTGAGTACGAGCCCAGCTCAACCCAATGCAGAGCAGGCCGTGCAGAGCAGGTGAAAAACGCAAAGCGAAAACCGGTCCCACCAGCCAACGGAATGAGGGTGAAAACCCATACCAGTTTCTGCGCCCGTTGTAGAGATCGCGAACAGGACTTGTCGACTTCAGAGATTTCGTCGCTCAAGTCTCCGTAATCAGTGTAGCAAGCCTTCAAGATAGCGAAGTGCTCACGGTGGGCGGCAGCCAAAGCTAGATAGGTGAGCGGGCGCCTCGGCAGAGCTCGTACGAGCGACCCAAAGCTTGGTATTAACCGACAAGAAGGGAATCAAACGGCTGGGGTCCCTCAGTCAAGGTTGTGAAAGTGACAGGACGGTAGACTGATCTGACGAGGGAGTGGTGCGAGTCGAGTCGAGAAGATTCAAGTGTCGAGTAGACGAACGGGTTGCCAGCAATCAAGCGGCGCTGCTTTGTTGTCGTCCGACGGACCTGTCGCCCGGTCACCGCCCCGCCGCATTTAGTATGCGTTGTGTATGGAGGGGGAACTTCTCGGCACTGATATCACCACCGTTTTCATTTGTTTATTACATGCTAGTAAGCCTAACGAAATTCAGATGCGCAACGTTCCATTGGATATCTTCTGGTCGCTAGGATGGGTTCTAATATCAAGACATACAAACATGGAGGCATGAAAAAATGAAAAATAAAGGGAAAAAATAAAAGAAAAAAAGGGAAACAGGAGAAATAGTAAGATAAGAAAGTAAACAGAGCAACGTTGAGATGAACGACACACCACATGGGATACACTTTGGTCTATTCATCTTTTCTTCTCTGGCATACTCATCCATTCAATGGCGCTGGTCGTATTCTCAGGAATCCTGCCACAGCTACCATACCAACTCACCCCTCCGTTTAGCTGATGAAACAGAGGCAACCGATCGCAATGTAAAATACGAACAACGGATATACTGCAATACCCACACGGTTGCGAACGACTCCCGAGCCGCCCAGAATGCTGACACCTGCAGCCAAAGACCATGCGACCAAGACGAGATATACCGGTATCCGTGCAATGGTTGGAAGACCGAAGGCACTAAGCAGGGCGGCGATGACCAGAGGGAAGAGGGTGTAACCGATGATGCAGACCGACTGGAAAAAGGAACTAGACAAGCCAAGGGAATCAGTAATTGCGCCTTGCGCAGTCGCGAGGCGACGGAGTATTGGGACATACATGTTTCCGCCCAGTAACTTGATCTGCAGGGTCACAACCATCTCGCCGAGCCAGACAATACAGAAGACGCCAGAAAAGACGACATCGGTCTGCTCGCTCGAGGCCCGCATTGACAAGAACATGCTCAACAGCAAGCAGAAGACCAGAGGACCCCTAGACGCAAAAGACAGATGGTTAGCAAAACTGTAGCAAGGGTGTCCCACGTTGTAACTCCTTCCCCGCGCTCACTCACCAGAGATCCCAATCGCGCAAGCCCTCACTCATCCCACCCTGCAAGACAACGTCGGCATCAGGCCAACGACCCATAATATTCCTCAACCCGCCGCCAAACCCAGTCGCCTCTCCTCGCTCGGCAGCGCCAATGCCTCCGCCCCCACGCTGCAGCATGCCTCCGATGAGATACTTAGGCCAGAGGACCTGATGCATCTTCTCCCACACGGCGCGAAAGTCGCGCGACAGGGTATCCCACACACTCTCATCGATGGTGTTGTGAGGGGCGCGACGGTCTTCGCCGGGGATGGAGGACGTCAGGTAGTTTCCTGAGAGGTTGCCGCCGCGGGAGCCCGACGAGTCAGACTGGATGTTTCCTCTCAGGGGAGCGGTGTCGGAGGTATCGTGCAATGGGTCGTCGGCGTCGATGGCTGTGAGATAAGAATTGAGCCGGTCAGTCAGTCACATGGCAAGCTTCTCGAGACAAGAAAAGCGGATCGCTGATTGAAAGGAGGTAATCATGCGACAAGAAGATCTCACCATTGTCAGCTTCGATAATATCGTCGTCGAGAATTGATTCATCGTCGTGCGAGTCCCTGTGGGGATAGTCCGCTGCTGCGCTGGCCATGATGGGCTATATTGTGGTGATGGTGGTTGTTGTGTCCAGGTCTGTTCGAGTCGCGGGAGTATTTAACACCTCGGGGACATCGCCTATTGCGGCGGAAAGCGTTCGGGCGAGTAGAGCTGTCGGATAGAACCAGCAAGGCTGTCGAGAGGATTCGAGCAAAGAGTGCTTGACGGAGTAGCTTGTTGTCTACTCGGAGAGGCTAGAGTGGCATTACTACTTACGTACGCGGCACGGGCTGAAAGGGGAAGGCGGAACGTGCCCGGCGATTAATTATCAGCTTGAAACATCACTTGTAACAGCAATTCTTGAATATCTAATGTTATATGCTACAAAGACTCGATCTAACTATAAATACAGTTTATATTTTTGAGTCGCCAATTAACCAACTCCTCGAACAGCCGTAACTATAGACAGACAAACATAACATATCTCGAAATCTAGAATATGCGACCCAGCTGTAATAAGGTCACCAGTAGTATACACTTGAGTAGTAAGACATCAACGCCTGTATATGCATGCATTAAAGAAAGGAGGGGGGTAGAGTCAGCCATGAAGAAAAGTTGAAGATATAAAAACCGTTGACGCATTCTGCTGAGTTCTTAGACCTCAACATTCGAGTTGCCGACCTCCTCGGGAGCAGCGTCCGCAGGAGCAGCGTCCGCATTTTCCCTATCCTTGAACTCCAATATTTGCTCCGGAGTCGGCGCCACCAGCATCTTCGCGTACTTCTTCTCCAGCTCGGCCTTGGAGTATTTTCTCAACTCCCTCGCCTCATTCTCCAGAGCCTTGCGCTCGTCTTTAGAGACCGAAGTCGCGTGTTCCGGCTTCAGGATATTATCCATCAAGCCTCGATACTGGATCAACACTTTCACGGACATAGAGCCGTCCGCTGCGTGTTGGAGCATGTTCCGCGGCAGACGACGACCGATAGGCACAACCTGTCCGTGCTCGAGAGCCGTGGCCAGCTTAGTGACATGTGGTCGCAGCTGCTCGACAGCCACCTTCTGCAAGGCGATCTGCAACTCTCGACCAAGATTTCCCAGCTTCTTGGACGCTTTGTTCGCGGTATCCAGACCGTTCAACGTAACGAGGGATTGGGGGTTGCGCTCCAGGGTCCGGATGAGGTCCAGGTATCCCTCCAAGACGCGAGAATCTGGCAGAACGAGAGCCTCGCCCATGAGTCGGATGAGTTCATTGGCGTGCTTCAGGACGTTCATGTTCTTCCGATCACGACGGCAGCTGCTCAACGCAATATGGAACGACGTTCCCGATACTACCTTCGCCGGTACCATCTGATCGCGCACGACTTCCGCAGCTAAACGGCTCCCACGCGCAAGTCGCAGAAGTCGCAGGTACTCGTGGTAAGCACCCATATCCGGCTCGACCTTGTAAGGGTGGTCTTCTTGCGTAAGGTGCTGCCAGTAGCCCTTGCCAGCACCCAGCGCCTGGGTCATCTCCATGCAGGTTTGGAGAATGAGTGTAAGTTCTCGATTGCCAACCGGGATGTGCTTTGGGCCCGAAGCCTCTGCAGTCCTCCCATTTTCCGGGGAAGAAACGTCCTCCGGAACAACGGGGTTGAAGATATCGTCGAAGTTTTCCTCCTCTTCCTCCTCCTCGGGCTTGGAGATCGCCCTCGGCCTGTAGAGCTGCTCTCCCTCATCAACGAAAGGCACATCCTCCATTTCTTCACTCTCGCGAGAACGCCCAGCCTGCAGTCTCGATCCCGCAGCGCGGCGTCCGCGAATCTCCGTAGGGGGTTTCTTCGCGAGGATGGGAATCCCCGCAGTCTGGTTCAGCAACGCGAAAACATCGTAGCAATCGCGATCAGTGGAGCCTCCCTGGAGCACCTTGGCCATGGCGCTCACAAGACGGTTATCAAGCTCCATCTGGCCTTTCCTCCATCGGTACACCACGTCCGCCCAGATCCGCTTACCCTCCGCCACGCTTTGTGCCTTTCTCGCGAGCGCTCGGTCCGTGTCGGGGGCCCTCTCAGCCGCCAGGTCCTTCTGAGCAGCATCGTAGATAGCTCTCAAAATGATAGAGTACGTAGTCGGATCTGGCGAGTTCGGCCCGTCCTCGGGCAGCTCACCGGCCACTTGCCAGAGGGTCTCCAAATCCGTATGGTAGCAGCAGACCTTCAGCATCGCGTTCCCGTGGATGATATTCTGCTCGACGAAGGAGTTGGGCGCCGAGATGGACCGGTAGATAGAAAGCGCCGTCTTGACCGGGTCGAGTCCAGCGTCTTTCCCAGCCTGGCTCAGCCCATCCAACATAATCGTATAAGTCCTCGACGTCGGCTTCCGGCCTCTCTTTTTCATCTATATCCGCAAAAAAAACGTCAGTCATCCATACTCCCCAATCCGACACCTCATCAAACGAATAACCACATACCTCATGATAAAACTTAAAAGCCGCCAGCGCCCGTCCACTCTCCATACAATACTCCAACAACCGATTCCACGCCACCGAGCACTCTATGCGCTCCTTCTGCGCCTCGCGAACCAACGCCGCCGCCAAAGCGACATTGCCCGCGCCCAGCAGCCTCGCAACTCGGTCGGCCAGCGCCCGAGGGTCCTTCAACCACTTGATCTCCATATCGACGACCTTCCGATTAACCGGGCTAGTCAAGTCCACCCTTCCGCGCGCTTTAAGCGACGTCCCCGCGGCTGCGATATCGAGGAGCGGATCGGCTGCGGCATCGTTCGTGTGGCGTGTTCTTGTCTCTGGGGCATCGGGCGTTTCCCTCGCGAGTGTGTCTCTGTTCAAGGCGTCCCAATCGGAGGGTTCGTGCTCGGTAGAGAACTTCCTAATGCTCACTGGCGACCCAATGCGTCTGGAATTCGCACTCTGAGAAATACTCAGCGCCCTCTGACCGAACACGCCGCGGATCCCGCCGGACCAATTTGCTGCGCACGCGCACGCAGAAACCCTCATTGCCATATTATTATTCCTGAACCCCGTTCGCAGAGCGCTGACATTATTTCCGCGAAGCATTTAAGTGTTATACCGACTGATATCCACTGATCTCGTGGCGCAGGGAAGATTTTTCGAGTCGCCGCCGGATAGAAGAGATGTTGAAGATGATACACCAAACGAATGTGGTGAAAAAAGAAAGAAAAGAAGAAGAAAAGCAATATGCAGGTTTATATAGAAACCTCTCAAATGCAGACCCAAAAATCTCCCTAAGAAACAACCGAGAACTGCGACAGATCGAATACTGTCCAATGGCTGCAACCGCAATCGCATCTGATTTCATCGCGCCTCAGCCCGGACACTTTTTGGATGAGTAATCTATCGAGCATATCCTGCCTCAGGCACTGTGGTTATGCTTAGTCACTGTGCAATGCGCACAAAACTCGACACCTCAGGCAGCCAAGCGTTCCCGCTACTTAACTCAGTCAACCAAAACTTGCAGCCATGATAACTTTGTGAAGATCATTGGAACCACGAAAATCCGCTTGGATTTAGAGCTACAGTACTGAGATACATACTCCCCCAGCTGTTAGTTCGCTCACGACCCATAAGTTAGTCAGCCCCTCCCAGACCTTGATAAGTTACTCCATACAGCCCACTAAATCGATCTCAACCAAAATGTATAGTACATAGTACATACTACTAGTACTCGGTAGTTACCCGGGATCTAAACCCTCGCGCCAAACCCAGATAACCTTCAAAAAACAAACAAATAAATAAAGAATAAAGAAAACAGGCAAATACAAACTAGAAACAACAAAGAAAACTTGGATAACTTGGTGGACAAGACAGCTTAGCTACTAATAAGAAGGTTCGTTCCGCACGTTAGCCCGGCCTTGAGAAAGCTCAATGTGGCACACCTACCCAGTAAACTATACTATCTAAGCCTTAGACATACCCGTGGCTAAATTAGTTCCCTTTCCCTTGTCCGTGGACTTAACTAGTCCATGTCCCATACATACATATACATGTCACTTACATACCTTAGTACCTGTCTAGGTAAGGTACTAGGTTAGGTACCTAGGTGTCTGGGTAGGTACAAGGTATACTATATTTGTGCTACAGACTAGTCAAGCCTAGACGCATAGTGCATAGTATACCATACCGCTAGTTAATGCTTGTCAAGACCATGCCTAGTTATTGTCCGATTCGTTTCCGCGAAATGTATGTACTCCCCCGTACTCCCGATTTCGTACAGGATGAGTATCCTCGTGGTTGACAGGAAGTACGTACTAGCATAGCTCCATTTAAGACTGCACCAGCTTCTTATCTAACGCACGAGGTGCAGATCTAGTCTGTTCGAATCTTCGTTCCCAATGACGTACGGAGTATAAGTATTGAGCTAATGAACAAGATTCAAACACATTTCCTTCCGCCTCCACTGCTTTGTACAAAGTGGTTCTTCTGGCTGGCTACTCCTCAATTCCAACCCCATCGAAGAGAGGACGTATATCACCAACTCTGGAAATAATACGCTCTCGACCTCCCGCAGATCAGTCCCCCAAGGTCGATGGTGATTCGTATCAAGATAACTTCACCGAGACATTCGATGGCATAATAAAAGGGTAGTAACAATAGATACGATTGGCAAAAAAAAAACTAAAGCCACCAGACCGTGACTGCAACAGTCGAGTCGAAGCCATGTACGGCAACATGCACATGTCGGGGACCAACACCCAGGGTAACATAAAAATTGGCCAAAGGATGGAAGAATTGAATAGTAACAGCGATCCACACAGAAAAGAAAGAAATTAATTGAACAAAAGGCTGCATAATCAACAAGAAAGGAAGAGAGAAGAGAGGAAATTCAGCTAGCACAGTATACCCCGCCAGACATCCCAACCTCACCCTAGAACCGTGTTCGCGCAAGGGATATAGAACAAGAATACCTCCCGGCTAGGGCATCCATTTTGCTCGAGCGATCTAATTCAAAAAATAAAGGACGAAGAAAATGGAAACAAAGAAGAGTAAAAAAGCGAAATCAAAAAGATGTTTGAAAGAGAAGGGTAGGTCGTAAGGCCAGGAAATGGTATCATGTGCGCAAGACTTTAATAGAATTAGATCCGGGGCGGCGATATGGGAATAGGAGACATTGATATTAGAGTATGCAACATGAGAGGCGTGAGAGAAGTTGGATATCTATTGCGGGTAGCTGGCCGATTGGTTTTCTGCATGTCCATCATTGATTAGCCACAGTTCTGGTGCCAATAGATCCGAGGACCTCCTGCCTTGAACCAATCCATTGTCTTCACAGCTGGCTTTCTTTCTTTCTTTCTTTTTCTTTTTTTTGGTTTTGATTCTTCGTGGCTCGGTCCTAACAATATTTGCAGATGCAACGAGGGCGGACTACTTACGTTGTTGATACACTTGACCGCCCTGGCCGTAAGGAGAGTGAGGGTAGTTTCCGGGCGGGTACATCTGTCCGTTGCTCTGATAGACCATTCCCCCAGCAGGGGCTCCATACTGGCCGGGCACTTGGCCGTCGGCAGGCTGATAGCCAATCGGCGGCAGTTGAGGACGGACATTACCAGGATAGGTGGGAGGCTGGGGAGTCTGCGACGGATCGGGAGCGCCGGGAGCATCCACCTGGCTGGCCTGAGCAGCCTGAGCAGCAGCGGTGCGCTCACGCTCTTCAGCAGCCTTGCGCGCGTTCTCCTCCTCCTTCTTCCGTGCCTTCCACTCCTTGCGGATCTCCTTGAACTCTGCAGTAATGAGGTGGTCAGAATGGCTTCGGAAGAAGAAAGAAAAAAGACAGCAGTAATAATCGACCACGCCGAACGACGTCACCGGCTTGAAGACGGAGGGAAAGCAAGAATAACCTCCACACCGGCGAGTCACGCTACTGTGATCCGCCCGCGCTAAAGTTGTGTAACTTGACTAGTGCGGGAGCCGTCCGCTAGTCCATATCGGATCTACGGCGGGCCCAAAACACGAGTAAAACAAAAACAAAAAAAAAAAGACCGGAACATACCTTCAGGGGTCCGTTTGGCTCCATGAGACTGCATCGTCACATGGGCGTTCAAATGGTTGAGGGTACCATATGCCTTCTCACAACCGTTCCATCCACACTTGTACATGCGCTCAATCTCTTCATATCGGCGACGAGGTCGCTTGTGCTGTTGCGCACCGGGGATCGGCACAAAGGAATAAACCTAGAGATTCATCATCGCATCAGCTTCTGGACAGGCGAGATAAAAAGACAAAGAGAGGTAGGTGGAATTGTGCGCCGGATTTCTCGCGTCCCTGGAGGCAGCCTCTGACAAAAGGCGGCTCCCACTCCGAGGAGGGGGGCATCCCAAGACAACAATAAACGCAGATGCGCAAAGCCGTTGGAAACAGATGCCAGAATCATCAAAAACATACCTGGCCAGGGCGCGGCCCTGCGGTGGTTGCAGGGGAGGCGGGACCAACCGTTGTGGCAGGAGTGGTATAAGGGCCAGGAAGACCATGCTGGTGTTGTCCATATCCATGCGACCAATCCGGACGCGTATACATCTGGTGCGGGGGCGGCGGCGGGTGACCTTGATACTGGGCCATGTCATGACCCGACGGCTGGTAAGGCGAGTAGGGAGGAGGATAGGTAGGGCTGGAGGCCGCGATTGAAGGATCTATAGGAACGTCCGGGTCAGACTTCACGTTCGAGTGATTTCGATGGCCATTGTGCTGCCCATCATGGAGGGTTGTCATGGACGGACTTGTTGCTTGAGCCATACCTGCCGCACCACCAGGCTGTGTGTTGGGCGCGTGATGGTACTGGGGAGGTGGCCGGGCGAGGTACTCGGGATAAGCTGGAGAGCGCGCGGCGGGCGGCTGGTTCAGACCGTAGTCTGACTGCGGCGTGTTGGAGGACGAAATATTGGCGGCGGGGCGCACCTCAGGCTGCGGAGTGTACTGGTGGTTGGCGCGGACCTCGGGTTGAGGCGTGTAAGGATGAGCAGTGGCTGCAGCAGATGTCTGGTCTGCAGCTGGAATTTCAGAATGTGTCGCGGCAGGTGGCGGTGGATATGGAAAGGGCGAACCTGGCTGCGCGTACTCGGAGGCAGGTCTGTGGTCCATATAATACAAGGTGCAAGTTACCGGACGAGATCAACCCAAACAAATCCTTCCAGTTGAACGCACGTGCCTGCTCAAGGGACGCGTCGGAGGATACAATGAGCTTTGTGGACACCAATGAAAGGAGAAAGAGGTGCCGAAGAGGATAAAGTATAGGCAGGGGAGGAGATAGAGTCAAATATAACTGAATAAGACACCACGACCGATTGGTTTGAGTGATCCTTATTATTTCCTTTTTTCCTTTTTTTCCCTTTTTTTGTATTTTTGACTTTTGAGAGGGTGGTAATGCTTTAGCAGTGAATTGAGGGGTGCTCAAGTCCGATCGGAGCACGGGGGGGGGTTGGATGGCGACTTGACCAGACGAGGAGTTGGTGGTGTCGGTGGAAAGAAAGTGAAGTAAAGAGAAAACGAGTAAGGTGATCGACGCGTAATTCTGTCGCGTTATGACCAGGTTTTTCCTCTCCAATACAGGACAAAGGAAAACAAGAAAAAATAAAAATAAAAATAAAAATAAAAAATAAAAAAATAAAAAGAGCACAAGACAAGACCAGTGCTAAAAGGGGAAGAGTATTAAGAGGGTTAAAAAAAGGGAAACCCCGAATAAATGACAAGTGAGGATTTTGTAGTCACTCGGAGACAGGTGGTGCTGGCTCACGATGCTTAATTGATTTAGTCGCCTTTAGGGTGACGGAGAATGCCTTGCAGGGTGGCGGAAGGTACAGCAGCACGAGGAACCAGCAGCCAGCAGCGGGAAAAGAAATAGGATAGTCTTATCCTGCACTGGAGCAAGCTTGGGAGGGGAAAATTAAAATCAAAAAAGAAAAATAAAGAGGGTTTGGAAAGCAGCCAGGACAAGGCCCGTACTTGGCGGTATACTAGTACTGTGGCCTAGGGCGATACACTAGAGGGAAAACAAGAGGGGGACAAAAAAAATAAGAAAAGAAAAACGGGGGAGCCAAAGACGATGGAGATAGAAAATAAAAATAAAAATAAAAAGACTTATCCACCAGGTTCAAAAAGGTGATAGCGCTAGAGACGATGCCTCGATACTAGGTGGCAACTCCGTAGGACAATGACCCTAAAATCGCAACAGAGGGGAAAGTAGTTGTTCAACTTGGCCCGGAAAAAAAAAGGACTGGGCAGGACAGGCGACCTAAAAGGATTTGAATCAACGGGAGCATGGGCAAAAGAGGTTTTTCGGCAGAAGGAAAAACGCAGGTTTAGGAGAGCACCTCGTGGGATCCGAGGGTGCGGTGGAGCGCGTGGGCCCGTAATTTTTCTTTCTCTGGGCAGGTCAAAGGGAGAGAGGTAGAGAGTATGCAAAATCAAATCAAAAGAAGAGGTAAAAGAAACGAAAGATAATAATAAAATAGAGGGGAAAAAAAAAAAAAAAAAAAATTGATAGATTATAATAATAGATAGAATAGATAGAATCAATAAAATCCAAAGGTCGACTGTAATAAGGTGGTAACACGTATTAATCAGACGAAGGGGGGCGGTTTTGGTATCACTAATACTGAGAGGGGGCCACCCCCGGAGGATAAAATGTAATTTGTTCGTTGTTATTTCACCCTCCCCTTCTCTGTCAAAGACTCTTGCTGTTGCTTTCTGGTGACGGGATCCGTTGCCAATAAGAAAGCAGCTCTGACCCACTTCTTTTTCTTTTTTCCCTCGATGAAATATCAGAGTGGGCCCAATATGAACTCTTTCTATTACGGAGTACAGTATGACTTTTTGGCCTAACTCTGTTCACTTATATCTCTAGGTACAGTAGTTAAGCTTTCCTTTGTGTGTCTGACAAGGAGACCAAGTCAAAAGAAAATAAACACCAAAGAGAAAATTATTCCATAACAAAAAAGAACAAGAAGGGAAAGGGAAAGGGAAAAGAAGTGGGGAAGAATTTCTCTTCTTTATTGTTTTGGCTTCCTCTCCTGAAAGGCGGGCGGTACAATCCGCGATATGGTGGCGAAATAAATGTATTGGAGAGTGGGAAGAGAGTTAAAAAAAAAAAAATTTGCTTGGTATCAGCACTCCTTTTTTTTCCCTTTCCCCCCTTTATCTTTTTCTACCTTTTTTGATTATTTTATTTTATTTTTATTTTCTCTGTTATTCAATCTCAAAAGTTCTTCCCGAATTTTCTCGTATTTTTCAAGATTTTTCCCACCCCCCTCTTTAACACCAGTCGTGAGCGCAGGAAGAAAGAAATTCAATATCCATAGAGATCCAAACCTGACGTTGAAACAGACTCGCTAGGCCGTAGGACAAAGCTGTTGACAGATGGCTTTAGCTTGGATAGCCTACCCGCGATTCGGGACGGGCGATAGATGGTGCGCGCGTCGTTCGAGTTTGGTCACAGGGAGAGGTTAGTTAGTTAGGACAACCGGTGCGTGAACCTAGCGTGTATGCGCCCGTGGGCTGCGACCAAGATCTTTGGCCAACGCCCTGGGCTTACAGTAACTATAGGACAGTATCCGATCAGTAGTCCTCGGCACACCAGCGAAGATGGTGGCCCAGGAATGGCGTGCCCGAGGAACGGCTTGAACGGTTGGCGACAAGGCCCGGATAGTGCGGCACTAGTGAGAAACAGGGTGTAGCGCAGGTCGGGGGAAGCGAAGTCTCCGTAGTGGAGCCTGGTTAGCAGATGGAGGTAACTAACTAAAGTATAATATGTATAGTATCGGCGAAGGATGATACTGACCGTGTTGATAGTAGTAATCATAGTAGCGGACCGGTGCTGAGATCAAGTCAATGATAATACAATCGATCGAATCGACATTCTGGCGATCCTCTAACTGCAGACTGCTCCAGCATGGAATCTTGAGGTTTGGAGCAGCAGTTGTTCTTGAACGGTGGAGGGGTGATAGTACTGTAATGGAGTAAGTAACAGTATGTTTCAATCCTCTTGGACCCGTCCCCTCCCAGAAGAGCGGGGAAACAAAATCAATCACCCAACCGAGATGATATTGTTGTTTCCCCGTGGAGTCAACGCAACTCCGTGGCTAGGCAGAAGTCAATTGTTGATTGCGATCAGGATGCCTTTGGCACTGTTGTCCATCCTGTCTGTCTCTCAATGCTGGCCATTTCTATCTCCGGTTGCTGTACCTATCTACTACTACATTGAGACTGAAGGTACTCCTGCCTCGGTGATATGTAATCAATGGTATGTTACGCACTCCCAGTACTCCGTACCGAGTACAGACAAGTTTCCCGGTAAGGTACGGTAAACCACATTCGACTAGTCACTAGTGCCATCCATTGCACAAGTCAGGAACGCGTCAATGGGGAACACGAGGGTCACGATCCAATCGACACCACGGAATTCATAAATCTGTCGGATATTAGCTTGGTTTTCAACTAACAGTACACTCGGGCGCTAGTCAATATGTATTTTATATTCCAAACAATGAGCCCAGTTCCACTGGCCATCTATCTACTAAACATTTGGCGGGCGGGAAGAGAGGGGGGGTTGTAGATGGTACCGATCGATCAAGCATTGATTTTCTAAGCGGAGGGGAAAGGATTTCAGGAGGGAGGGGAAATCAAGTCAAGTCAGTGACAGGGAACCAACATCTACCATGCATCAAAACAAGTCAGGTGAAAGGCGAAAGGCCCATCAAGTCAATCATTATTACCGCATAGTGTGGCACAAGGTACTTTTGTCATGACTTGTCTCCATAACTACCTAGTTGAGAGCTCTCCCCATAATTATATCTGACGAAGTTCTGACATAGCCGGTCATTACTAAACTGGCTCCCGGGCAGATTGACGAGATATTAATACCACCTCGATCGGAGGTAGAGACCATAAAACAATTGATTTGGAGCTACGATGGCTCATAATTCGACCAACTGTTTATTGGAGTCTCCACCAGTCAACACCCGGGATTGGTCAACAACACACAGAGGTACCCTCACAATGGCAGGTGGTAGATAAGGACCGAGCGATTTTATTACTGTCGCAATGGACTCCCTAATTGAGTCTCTACCATGCCGATAATAATAAATATAAACAACGGCTCGTTAAACTCCATTGCCAGGAAATGACAATACGGCGTACTCCGGAGGAATATCATCCTGAAATAACGAGCATCCGTCAACCCGAATCCAGAAGGGGGGGGGAGAAAAGAAATCAAGAAGTACCTATGATACATTGGATGTCATATCACGGAACAGCTATTTGATGTGAAGATCTTTACTGCTTTGGCTATAGAGAGGGACATGCTTTTCCCACCTTACGAAAAGGGGTAACGGCGGATTTGTTTTTGATAGGAAGACCGTACCCCAAGACACAAAAGAAAATAAAAAAAGGGTCGGAAACAAATGCAGGGCTCCAATCTTGGAAGGACTTCTCTGGGCGGATGTGGGTTTCTTTTGGTTGGTCCATACCCCGCGCAGCGGACCCAAACATCAGTGTTTATTGCTGCATTGCACCCTGCTTCCCGGTGAAGAGCAACAAAGGCTATAGAATATTGGAAGTGAGTTCTATTCTGTATATCTCGCCTATTATAAAATCTGTATGCATCAACAGTATCTTGTCGGGTACAGTCTGAGCATTAGATAGCATTTTATAACAGGGATCATAAGCCCCAGGTAGTATAGATGCATTTATATCTAACATTGCACCCAGTAACTAACTGGCCAGTGCAGCTGATAATTATACAGGATGTGTCGGGCGAGAGCACCCACTGTCAGGTGATAACAAGTGGATCAAAGAAAACAGCAAGACCTCCGTAGTGATATGGTAATAGATTCGTTTCTCGGTATCAAGTCCGAATGGCCCCTTTTCCAGCAAAACCAGCAATTATAATCTCAAATCCATACACTCTACTCCCCCTTATAGCCGGTATCAATGTCTCTCACAATCAAAGAATGAATCGTATAGCACAAATTCCGGTACGAAAGCCTGCAAACGATTGCAGGGAACGGAATCAGGTCCTTCATCCCCGGACGAAGATATGGGGTAATTAATACTAAATACCTACTAACATCACGCTACGATATACAACATTGTGTTTCGGATGCTGGCCGATTAGTACTCAAGGCCCACGGCTGGCCGTCGATCGGGTTTAAACACCCCCTTTCTCTAACACTGGGTTCTCCACTGGAGGTGAGCAATGGTATTCTTTCTCTCAAGTAAGAGCTCTTAATCAAGCAAAAATCTAAACAGTAGGGCCTCGTTCATCCACGCGTGAGGGAGAAAGGGATTGGATGCATTTAGGATGTATCAGTAAGCATACATTTTGATAGATGTCAAGTGCCATGCATGCCGCATAAGAAACAAGAAATACCAACAGGTGTAATGATGTTTGGTATGGATGTACTCCGTACTCCATACAGACATAGGTATTGATTACAGGTGATGGGTTGGACCCACATTGACAACACAAAGGAGCCGTATGACTCGACCTCTTTTTCATTATTTTTGTTTTCTGGTTGATAGGAAGAGGGGAAGGAAAGAAAAAAGATTATTGTGATGGAGCATCATATGCACATGATAGGGGTAAGTTCTCCGCGGACAGACGAGAATGTGCAGCGCGCATGTTCCATTTCTTTGTCTTTGTCTTTCCCCCTTTTCATGGCAGCGGATAATATCATCAAATATGCATAGGGGATATACCTGTCATTATTATGTAGGTTGACCAGCACTTCAGTATCATAGGCGATCACTATGTGTCCGTGTCCAAGCTAACTGGGAACTTGGTGCATAGGTAAAAATCTAGGGGTGAACTAGGTATGATCTCACTATGCTCCACGTGGGACTAATGGCTTTCACCATGATTGCTTGGTTGCTTGATTGTTTGGACTGCAGGGCAACAGATAGGGTACATCAGGCCATGCTGCCCTTCACTATAACCACTACCAGGGAGGCAAAGCCAGTCTAACCCTCCTGTCACTGTACCTCGGTACATCAGGGCGGAAAATAGATACAAATATAACTGACAGCTGATTTGTATTATTAATGACATGGCAATTCTACACCGAGCAACCATCAGGGCGTAATCGTATTGACCCCGAAATCTCCGCCAAAGAGACAGAAGCAGTCACCATCACGTCGAGCGGCATACCCAATCTGGATCAAGGTCAGGCTTGCTCTTGTTATATACCAATGTGGAGTCCAAAACAGAAACCAAGGATAGGGTTATTGTTCTTATTATTTTAAGAAAAGGGCGGGCTCACCTCCGTCTCTAAACTCAAAAGCCAAAATGTTTCCGTCAGCGCATGGAACAGGCTGGTCCGGGAGCAAGGACCGTCTCCAAGTAATCGCGCCAATAAGAATCCCAGCCATGCGCGATACTCCATAAAAAGAGTGGACTTCCGCAGGCACTAGGAGGCTAAGAGCCCGCGTCCAGTCTTGTTAAAGTTGCTTTTGATACGCGGTAAAGGACTCCGCAGGCTGCACTAGAGGCTAAATAGGGAATGCTAAACGGGCACTGGATATCGGTACGGGTACTGAGCTCCAGGCTCCCGAGTCCCCCGTTGATGGCGGCGCGTCGGGAGATGGACATGGCCAGATTTCAGTTCTGGCAATATAGCTAGTACTTGTCTGGATTTCTACCGGCTGAGCTGATCGCCGAGCTCGCAGTGGACAAATGAGGAAAGTAAAGATAATTTTAACCGAATACAGCGAGGGGATTCCCTTCCGTTCCGTATGCATAAGGTATCCTCATAGCACCAAAGCCAAGGACGGATTCAAATTGACTTGAATCTTCGTCGAATGATTGGTGCGCAGCAGCACCTTTTCACGGTAAGCAACAGCAGTCGCTCCATCGTGATAGATAAGCGTTGACATGGAGTAAGCCAACTGTCCCCCAATAGGTCCCTCCAATCGTACGCTCCGAATTGTTCCTGAGACCCCTGAATCGGAGAGATGATTTATGTAAAATCGAGCAGGGAATTTGTCATCGCACCCAGGCTGGAAACCAGGAAGAGTCAATGCTTGACCACTGGGCCCTCGATCTTGTCCGACCAGAGAAACGACAAGCCTCCGGAGCCGATGGCCCGCCAAGAAGGAGTATGACCCTCCACGGCGACTCTCCCAACTGGGCAGGTGGTGGGGACTGCCTGGAGCCTGTGAGGGGGGGGGGAGGTCAGCTCGAAGGATCTCTCATCCAGCACCTCCTGATCATTATCGTGATGTCTTGCCATTGGTATTTGACAGAGTTGGTATTGACAGGCATTATTATTATTATTACATTAGCACTGCATAAGACAGCAGAATGTCTTTTGTTTAAATTTCCAACAGCACTGCATGCCATGATGTTTACATGTTACATGTTCCATGCATGTTCTACGGCTGCTCTAAAAAGTAAGCCAGGCTGATAGTTAGTGGGAGAGTTCACTCACCACATTTAAGGTCAGTTTGGCGGTGGTTGAGGCTTTCCCAGTGCCCGCGCGCCGGTTCGCTGTCTCCTGGTACGTGAGGAGGCCCACGATGCCCATGTATGGCCAATCTCCTGTTCCCACGGGTTTATCAGCGGATTTTCCGAAATCTACCCACATGATTCAAAAGGCTTTGACCTTACCAACCACCTTTACCGTACCCTGAAAAGGTAGGTGGTATAATACACTGCAGCACTGAGCAGGTGTGTCCCCCCCACCACCACCTCCTCCTCTCTCCCCCCCACTCCCTCCAATCGAGGTTCTGCCAATCTCGTCCAGAGCCCAAGATACTGCTAACCAAATGGGGAATAGGACAGACGTGTCCAACTTCGGTAGGGACCTAACTTATTCTCCATACAACCCTGGAGCCTGCATATGCTTCGGCCGGGGCCTGGTAAGTTTTGAACTGTTTTAAACTAGTGTATTTTACAGGTTGGGGGCGATTTGGTGGAACTGTCCTTGTACTGGACGGCGCTAAGGTACCGCTCCTGATCCACATCCCGGGACTAGGTCAGTAATGGTAAGAGTGGTACGGACACCAGCAATGGGACACTCGGACTAAGGCACTGGGCTACCCGGGTAGGCTATCCGCCATCCTAGCGGCCTAGGAATTATGCTTGCTCAAGGTCATCGACTCTACATAAGTTGGCACATGGGGATTATATATGTACGTGCTGCAGGATAGCAGACATGGTTTAAGATAATTCATATTTCGCCAACATCAATGGATTCTTCAGCGAAAAAGCCATTCCTAGCTACTCGGGATTTCTTCACGGCCAGTCGGTCGTACCCTGGGGGGTAATTGAGATACGATGGGAGGGTTTGTTTTTCTGTACGCTGCACGGAAAACTCCGTCCCAGCGACAGATATCGGACTTTGATATCCACACATAACACCGTACACCCACCCCCCACCCCGACAGAAAGCCCGACCCACCCGAAGAACCACGGGCTTTCCGCGCCTTTGTTACGCAATATCTTACACAAAGATACACTTTGCTGAACCACGGGTGGTCAGATCTGGCTTTCCCGGCGGCATGTCGGGGATGGCTTGAGGGGAGAACGAATTATTATATCCGTGTCAATTGTGTCGATTGCTGCAGTGTTGAGTGGACGACAAGTCCAGCGACTGCAGGGCGGTACCATGTTGGATCAGGGGTGTCCTTGTCAGCTTACAATTTTATCAGCGGTAGTAATAATCAAAATAACAATAAAATATTAACGTTCATAAATCATAAAAACAAACCAAACCAAATATAAAATAAGAAAGATAGACGGCATAACTTCCCCAGAAACCACTCACATGATCTCGGCTACGCTACGAGAAAGAGACCCTTCGCCCCCTCCATCCTACCCGTAGTACATACGACCCAAGATATCTACCTACCTTGGAACGGACCCGGTCGGTATTTTAGGTAAACTCCCCAATACCGTAGACTGAACCGGGTTAATGGCCTATCAGGGTAGCAGCCGGAGCCCTCATAACAATCTGATTCTGCCCCGCATTGAGCCTCTAGGTACGGATACTAGGTATGGTAGGTATCCGGGGGACGCCTACTACTACTGTTACTAGCTTAGCCCGACTAACCTCCCGGTAAGCTATAACCCTGTCAGTCTGTTGAGGTTGAATTGGGTTAGGGTGCCGTGCTCGCGTAAGATCGGTGATATCGGGCAAGATTGCCGTCGGAAGGCGTTGGTCCTTGCTTTGGGATTGTGGTACCTTAGGTAGTAGGTAGTAGGTAGTCGATGGGGGACGTATGTGACTTGATGCTTGGTGGATCATCTTTCCGATGTAGTCGTAGTCGTTGTAGCAAAGTACTTGCTCTAGGGGGAAAACCGATGATTCACATATAAAGAGTGTACTCTTATATACCTATTCAGGGAACACATTGTCAGCTTACACTCAATATAAATGAGAACTGGCAATGTAAAAAAAAAAAAAAAAAAAAAACAACTCAAAGACAGCACGTCCCAAGAACAGCGTAGTGTTACTACAGCGCTCCCCCGGACTCCGATGGAATAGACAAAGCAATATCTTTCGGAATAACATCCGCGTAGCTAGCTAGCTATCTGCCATGCCCCCGGTCTCGCCATGTGCAGTCTGTCACTATGGCGTGGCCACCGATCAGCAGCTAGATACTTGATGCTGTCAAGCAGCTCTCCCCTGTGATTGATGGGCTTGGATGTTTGCGGAAAACCCAACTGCTGCTGCTGCCGCTGATGGGTTCCCGGTTATTTCATGGTGCAGGATATGCGTATGCATGCAGGGTGAATCACAGTACCTCCAGCCATGTTAAAAAGCTCTGTTTGATAATATGGGTTGATTGGAAGAAATGTGCTGGAAATTAAACTAGATGGCGAGGGATGGGGAGGAAGGGGCGGTAAGAAGAGAGGTTTGCGTACAGAATATATGTTGCATTACAGTGAGATTTGAAGAGCTTATATAGTTCTCTCGAAGTATGATGCTTCGAGCTAGAGAACGAAGTCGGACAGTGGCTATTCTTACGGGCACGTAGTAAACAATGGAACGTAATCACCTTACCAAAAGCTGCCAGCCATAGTTGAGCAAATTACCAAATACTAGCTCAGGACCACCCTTAGCCTCGAGCTATTAAGCCTGTATATGGCTTGTGCTTCAAGGCTATTTGTACAAAGCCACTGATGTATCCAATGTCTTAGTATCTAACTAAAGTATGTTGAGCACGAACTGATAACTTTACAAATTGAGTATCCAATTGACATATTGTAGTACCTTGACTTATTATCCGTAATTGGGCTTGTGGTTTAGGGGTATGACGCTCCATTCGCATTGGAGAGGTCCCGGGTTCGATTCCCGGCGAGTCCACTTTTTTGTCTTTTTACACATCGACTTAGCTTGTTTTTTTATATCTCCTTGAAAAAAACCGCAGGGGATTGAATTGATGTCTGGTTGTGCAAAATGGTGGTTATTCTTCAGCCATCTATCTACCACTAAACAGTTACAGCAGGGTCAAATCTCGGTTTAGAATCACCGTATCTTGTTAACATATGCACAGCTAGACAGATACCGCATGGAGATTTTGAGGCTTGGCCTGTGTGTTGTATGTAAATGCTTGTCTATGGATTTTATATTCAAATTCCTGTGTATTCGAGAGCATGCAGGCAGTTCTTTCAAAGTCTGACCATACGAGTATATCAAGTCACCAACGGAAAATGTTTGACTTCAGAAGGTTCTAAGATGCAGTGAATTAACCAGTGAATGTTTCTTCCGGATATAGAGTTACACCTACTTTACCTGGGAACGTCCTTGGCTGAACAATCTGATAAACCACACCGAACGATATCAAGCGACGAATACGACAGATTCAACGGCGGAAGACCCAGCCTGATGTCCATCCCCAATATCAAACATATATCCTCCACATAAAACATGTTATTGGAAGGGTTCATCATAACAGCTCTAGTCCACCCAGAGGCCAACACGCCAGTCCAAGATAACCCGGGGGTTATACTCCGGGCATGATAAAAGCACCATCATTGGCCGGTATCAGCCTCCAGGCTCATAGGTATCAGCCACGGGAGACAGCCCTAGTACCCCCCTAGCAAACACCTATTGCCTATCTAGGTAGATACTAGACACAGGCTACATGGGCACGGTGGAGTCCAAAGCTAAGCCGACGATCTCATCTTTAATCCTAACTCACCTGCATACCCTTAACGCCGGAATTGGCGCATGACGGGGGTGCAGACTAACAAGCTCGGCGGTGGCTTTTTATCAGTTTCCCCTCATCTGCCTCCTCCTCCCCTCTTCCTAAGGATGCCTCCCAGTTTGGGCCTCCCCTCCAGTTTCACCCTACCCCATATGATAAATTAAGCATCTCGTCAAAGAGCACAGCAGAAATCAATGCCCCGCCTCAACGACCAAACCGTGACATTCCTACGCGCCGGCGCGGAAGCCCGCGATCACATCCGACAAGCATGGGACGGGTTCATCAATTTCGCAGCGCGGGACAATGTCCTTGAAGTTGCTCTGGGGTTAATGTAGGCGTCTCTCTTTATTTTTTTTGTCTCGATCTATATATGGGATTACTACTCGCCATATACATATAAGCCGTGCATTCGTTCATTAAAACCCAATAACAGCATCGCCCAAGCCTTCACAAAAGTAGTCACCTCCTTCGTCTCAGACATCATCCTCCCAATCATCTCGCTCCTCCCCTTCCTAAGCCGCAACATGGACGAGAAATTCGCCGTCCTGACGCAGGGGCCGAACTACGCCGAGATGAATGGGTATAATACCCTCGAGCAAGCTAGAGAGGATGGGGCGCTTGTGTTGGCATATGGGTATGTAATAGCCTTTCCCAGCTCTCTCAAACGACTAGGTGGATAGTATATATCTACCTACCTACCCACCTATGCGAAACACCCAAGAAGAACAGCAAACCAAGACAAATAATCTCTACAGTGTCTTCCTCCAAACCATCCTCAGCTTCTTCGGCGTCAGTCTAACGCTGTACGCCATCGCGCACATCTACACGTGGGTCTCCGACGACCGTGTTATCAAGCCGACGGTTCGGTGCAGGTATTGTAAGAAGTTCATTAGTGATCAGGTTGGTGCTTTCCCTCTTCCCTTTTCTGCCGGTAGGGTGATGTCCTAACATGTATATGTTGTATTCGTGCAGGCGACTCGCTGCGTCAACTGCTCTAGCTGGCAGGATGGGAGGGAAGATCGGACTGGTTGGCGATAGGTATATATATCTCTCTCTAATGCATTGGTTTATATTTCACTTTGTGAATCTCTAATATCCTTTCTGTTCATGAGGAAGCTATATACTATATTATAAGGATTGTCTGTTTTGCTTCTGAGCTTCGCTCCTTTGTTATCGTTATCGTTACCATCATAATCAACCTGGTCATGCACGAACACTGGATACAAGGCACTATCATATAACAGCCTCAGGCATATACATAGAACTAGAAGGATCCACAAAGATTTAAATCGAGTATAAAGCTTTACACACACACACATATATATATATAACTATATATACTCAAATCACCCTAGGAGCACCCCAGCCCTGACCTTGAATTCATTCACCCAGCCCTGCCTCGTGCCGCACAATATACATATGTGGGAGCAGCCCAAATCTTGGTGAAGCTGATGATCATGGAAAGGCTGTGAATAGTCACAAAAAAACAACATAAAAACACGACGAGTCAAAAAATAATCTACTGTAGAGAACAACTTAAGTCAGCCTATATTTAGCCGATTGCATGCCTGACAATTCAGCAATCCTCAAACACACACACACACACACACAGACTAAGTATACAAAGCAAAGCATAACAACAAAACAGCGACGATACCAAAGATGAAATCAGACGCTACGCTCTTCGTTCTTCATGGAAATGGACGGTATTGCTGGATGGTTGGGTCTACTACACCCTAACAACACTAGAGGCGAGATTCTATGGTGCTGGGTAAAAGGTGACCGATATATACAGCTTACAGGATATATCACAAATGAGACCTACTTCGCTGTTACAAGTTACAAGCAAGTTGTTTGAAAGATACAATTCATAATAGCAACCACTATATTCGTCAGAGCCTATTCACTCCGCCGATAAGTGAAACAACTTTTGGATCAAGTAGAGACAGAAAGGTAAAAACGCAATATTAGCACATGAGCGTATGATCATATAACAAGCTGAAAAAATAACCTGGAAGCCATCTCCGAGCCAGGTAAGTCAATAGTCCCTGTAAAATACCAAAACAAATACGGAAATGAATCGCAACGCATAAAAAAAGTCTATCGTGACATCGACGAACGCCGCCCGGACCGAGTTACGAAGGAGGAATCTGAAAATATCGCAGAAAAAGCACAAGGTCTACCGATGTGACAATCGTATACAAGCTCATGAACCGCACTGGGCATCAAGATCAGTCTACCAGCGACGAGCGCCGCCAATCGGAGCAGCGTTGGAGGCAGTAAAGCCGCCACCGCGGCCCCGACCGCCGCCACCGCGACCGCGACCTCCCCAGCGGCCGTAGCCGCCGCCGCCACCGCCGCTGTAGCGAACCATCTCGGCGAGACGGGGGTCAATCTGCTGCTTGGCCTCAGTGAGGATAGTGATCAAGTCACGAGCCTGCTTAGAATCTGTAGAAAGGATATGTTAGCAACCAATCACGTTACCAATTTTGAAGGTTGATACATACTGTCAGTGGTGAAGAACGTGATGGCAGTTCCGTTGGCGCCGGCACGACCAGTTCGACCAATACGGTGAACATAGTCCTCCGAGTTGTTGGGGTAGTCATAGTTCAGCACATGAGTAATGTCACGAACATCTTCAGACACATTTGAGTTAGCAAACAGAGCATTAGTCAAAGATAGCAACGTGGCCTGAGCCCTTTATCAGTCGTGTGAAACGAGATGCACTGCTCCCTGTTTTCTCGGTCTTTTCATATCAAGATCCGGATGCGGTGAGTCCATGGACTGGCAAAAATCGTGGTCCTAGAGCGACCTTGGAATGCAGCTTTGCAAGAAGTTGGAAGAGCAAAAGAGACCCCATCTCTCTACCAACCAAATCCACAAATAGAGATGGAAAACCAAAACAGAACAAAGTCATGAGTCTGCTACACTGCACTGTGAGTCCAAGGAGCTCCTGGTTTGAGGAACCATTTCAGGAGACCCGATAAAGCCTGGACGAGTCATATACACCAACAGGGGGGGTTTTTTTCTTTTGGAAAGAGTCAAGCATCGTGCCATGATCACACAACCTCAATACGGGTGAGGATGTCTTGGAAGGAAGGGGGACGGGGACGGGGAGGGGGGAATTGTAATTTTATCATACCGATACCACGGGAAGCCACGTCGGTAGCCACCATGATTGGGCTCTTGCCCGTCTTGAACTCGTTCAAGACCCAATCTCTTTCCTGCTGTTGTTTATCACCGTGGATAGCTGAGTGACACGTTAGCGAGTGTGTTGAAGGGAACAGAAGGGGGGAATGGTGAGCTTACAAAGCGCTGGCCAGCCGTCCTGGCGCAGGAAGCGGGTGATTTCGTCAGCAATTCGCTTGGTGCCCGTGAAGATGAGGACCTTGTTGGTCTTCGTCTCCATGATCTTCTCCATGTGCTTGATCATCTTGTCACGCTTCTCAAAGTCCGAGACGACTTCGACAATCTGGGTGATACGGTGGTTGGCGGACAGATCCATCGAACCGATGTTGACCTGAATGTAGTCATTGAGGAAGTCCGAGGCAAGCTGGCGAACCTCCTTGGGCCAAGTGGCGGACCACATGCAAGTCTGACGATCGGGACGAATCTGGGAGATGATCTTGCGGATCTGAGGCTCGAAACCCATGTCGAGCATGCGATCGGCCTCGTCGAGAACCAGGTAAGTGACACGGCGGAGGTTGGTGCGGCCAGCCTCCAGCATGTCAATCAGACGGCCGGGGGTGGCAATGCAGACCTCGACACCACGGGACAGATCGCGGATCTGAGGGCCCTTGGGGACACCACCGTAAACACAGGTGTTACGGATGCGAGAGGACTTTCCGAACTTGGTCATCTCAGTCTGAATCTGGACCGCAAGCTCACGGGTAGGGGCAAGGACGAGGACGATGGGACCATCACCAGGCGCCAGCAGAGGCTGGGCGTTGATGTGGACGATAGCGGGGAGACAGTAACTCAGGGTCTTTCCGGAACCAGTCTCGGCGATACCGACGACATCGCGACCGGAAAGCGCCATGGGCCAACCCTGAGACTGAATAGCGGTGGGGCGCTCAAAGCCTTGCTGCTTGACTTCGCTCAGCACATACTGAGGGAAGCCAGCCTCATCGAAGGTCTCGACGGGACGAGGAATGTCCGGTCCTTGCACCACACACTCGTGCTTCTTGCGGAATTCATCCACGTCGCGCTGGCTGCGGTTGGTGACATCGGGGTGTTCCTTGTAGAACGACTTCTCGAACTTGGGGAGCGACTCCAGGTCTGTACGTGCATGTTAGTATGACAATCGACGGTTGGATCCAAACAGATCAAATCAACTTACCCCAGTCTTGCTTCTTCAAGCTGGCACCCAGGTTCGACATGCGATCTCCGCCGGCAGCACCACCACCGCGGCCACCGAAACCACCGCCGCCATAGCCGCCGCCGCCGCCGCCGTAACCACCACCACCGCCTCCGTAGCCACCACCACCGCCTCCGTAGCCACCACCACCACCACCATAGCCGCCTCCATTGGAGTAGCCGCCGCTGCCGCCATCCCTGGAGCTGAAAAAGAAGTTAGCACATTATCCCACGTGAGATGAAACACAGACTAGAAGCAGATGCCGAGGAGTATTGCGAGTGAGACGCAGCGATGGGAGACTGGACAAGGGCGCAGTGCCCAAGGAGTTGGCTGAAGCCAGCTCAGTCGCCACCCAACCGACGCCTACATCGCGACCACCCCGACAACGAGTTTCAAAAACTGCTCGCAAAATAACAAAAGACATACCGGTAGGAGTCACCACCGCGCGAATAACCGCCACCGTAAGAAGACATGACGATGAAAGATGTGTTTTTCTGATTTCTTTCTGGTTGAGGAAGGAAAACAAAGTCGGAACTTTATCAACGAGAGAAGACAAAGTACAGGAGTAAAAACACCTGGATACTGAAGGAGGGAATATGAGACAGCCTCCGAATGATGAGGTGAAGAAAAGAGGGATGAAAGAGATGAAGAAGAGAAGAGTGAATGGGGGAGGATGAGATAAAAAAGAAGGATGGAAGAAGGAAGAGGAAAGAAAAAAATCAGACCGACAAAGGAAGGAGAAGGGAAAAAAAAAAAAAAAAAAAAAAAAAGAGCCGGCGGATTGGGAGGAGGCGACACTTAACCCGATTGGGCTCTAGTGCAGGGGGGCAAAAAATCAAGGGAAATCCGCCGTGACCGACTCTTTTGTTTGTCTAAACAGCAGGTTCTTTCACGGTTGATAATGGTAGAAAGGATGAAACTGTTACGCAGAGATGTGAAACGGCATGGATTCCCTATCTATAGAAAATGGGAGGCTGTTCTATATATGTAATACGTCTTCTCTTCTAGAGGAACGGTATAGAACCTCCTCGATGCTTGTTTACACTCGGTCGCCACCCAGCCCCATGTCCCAGAATTTAACCTCTAATTCTGTCGCCCGAATGAAAATCTGGATCAACTCTTCCATTCGACTGGGCGAAACGTCGCGCATGTGGGTCTCCAGCAGTTCTACCATCGGATACGAGATCAGTTCCATCGTACTCTGTACCGTGTGTATAGCTACCAAGGAGTGTAGGGGAAAAGGAAGATACGTACCAGATCCGAGCTGGACTGCTTTGGTGTAATCATCGGCGACGTAATTCTCGATCCATTGCCAGTATCGGTTGCCCTCTCGGAGGGTCTCTTGGTCTGCGTGCAGTCGTCGGGCGATGGCTCCATAACCGATCAAACATGGTGCCAACGCCATCTGGAGCGCAAGCCAGTCCTCTGACTGGCCGACGTCAAGAATGTACCGACTGTATGCCGTGCATGCTGCATTCGAAATGGGTCTTTGTTAGAGATCCTGACATCTTATCCGGCTAAGGGGAAGCATTATCCTCACCAAGATGTTCCGGGGTCCGCTCCATCTCCTCCTTAGTTAGCCCGAAAGATGCGCAGTAATCGAGATGCAGCGCGGTCTCGCGTTCAATGTGTAGAACGATTTGCGATGACTGCGATAGTACAAGTCGGATTAGTTGTCATGGCCGAACATGATGGGGCCCAGTACAGGGGCCTACCGCGGAGATAGATGCCATAGTTTTGGCCTTGTACGCTGCGAGCGCATTGCTTCGCGCAAAGTGAACCTGATATGGCCGTGTCAGCAAATAGCCGGCCAAGAGCCTGATGACCATGCAACAAACCAGATAGAGATAATCCTGGACGAGATACTGCTTGAAGTTCTCGACAGGAAGTGTGCCGTTGGCCATGCTGGAGACAAACCCATGCTTTGTGAATTTCTCCCATACTGGCTGCACGTCAGAGCGACCCAACGCATACTCCAAGAAGCGGCCACTGCAAGGACCAAGTCAATAACCAAAGCCACAATACACACAAATTTTAGGACCGGGAAAGACGTACGGCGCAAACGGTAACGTATACACGGAATGGAAGTGATTTATCGGCCCACTGCCTTTCCCTAGATCGAAGCTAGTCCTGATACCAGCCTCAACGAAGCGCACAGCAGCGTGAACAGCTTGCTTAATGCTCTGTCCTCGAGCCAAATTGGCAGAAATGGCAGACGCAAGGGAGCAGCCCGTGCCATGCGTGTTCTTCGAGATCAGGAAGCCAGTCTCAAACAACGTGACGTCCGTCCCATCATACAAGACATCAATTACTATCGTGGCGTCCTTTGGATCATGTGGTGTCTCGTGATCCTTTGTCAGTGGCAGGTGCCCTCCCTTGAGCAGGACTCCCTTGGGGCCCAAGGCGCATATTTGCTTCGCGAGACTGACGACGTCGGCAAGGTTTTTCGGCTCCGAGGTGCTCACGCCGGCATCTCTGAGTAACAGTAGCGCTTCCGGGATATTAGGGGTTAAGATCGTGGTGAATGGTAGTAGTTTCGTCCGCAGACCCTGAATTGCCGGCCCTGGTAACAACTCCGATCCGCTTGTAGACACCATTACCTATCGATGGTCTAATCAGAAACCCTACTACCCACTTAGAGAAAATAAGACGGGGCAAGCTACCGGATCAAGCACCACCTGAGGAACATGATGCGAGGCCAATACCTCAGCGATGACGTCGATTGTCTCTGCAGACGAGAGCATGCCTTTATCCCGGTCAGCGTAAAAGAAGCAAACAAACCATCCACAAAAGTGTCAATATACCCAACTTGACAACGTCCGCCCCAACATCATCTAACCCCGCAAGGATCTGCTTCTTCACAAAGTTGGCCGGAACGACAAACACGTCCTGCACCCCCAGAGTGTTCTGCGCCGTCAGGCCCGTAGTCGCGGTAAGAGCGTAGCAGCCATGTGCCGCCAGAACCCTCTGATCCGCCTCTAGGCCGCTGAATCCAGACGGATTACATTAGTCTCGACCACCCGATAAGCCTGGGACCGGGAGAGGAGTTGGTGGACATACGCGCCGCCCGAACTGTCGGACCCTGCGATGACCAGAACCCGCGGGACGGGCATGGTGATCAAGTCGCTGGTTGATACAGTTGGGAATCCAACAAAAGATGATAGCCGAAGGTGCGGGAATTGGAGGACCTGGTCAACCTTTCCCTCAAGTATCTAGAAAGACTGGCTTTTATTGGTGCTCGTTGTACCTGGGAGGAGAAAACGTGGAAAGCGGAAGTTCCTTCAATCGGCTGGGTGGGGGTGGGGCTTTGGCTGCTTTCGCCTTGGCCGATAAGATAACACGGTCGATCGATGAATTGACGTATTCTAGGAACATAGAGCTTAATTTAACACCTATAAAATAACATAGGAAGAAGCACATATACGATAGTAGTATCATTCCACGTTGAAGATTAATCAAAACACACTCCGCTATCCATAACAGTAAACAAAAAAAAAAGCAATGCCCTAATGATCCTGGTATTTACAAATGTCATCCTATAACTTGCCCAAAAGAGATATCATGGCAGCATGAAGCGGAACAAGTTGTCCATTTCGACCCATTGCCGTCCACATTTCCTCAGATATGCATCAACAACGCCCTTGATGGTCCCGAACCGTGTGCGGTTGAATTCGACCAGCGCTGCCACGCTGTCTTTCTTCTCCCCCGCGGGCTCCTTCTGGATGGCGGACCGGGCCTTATCCACATCCCAAAGCCCGGCAAAGTATAGCAGCTGGTTGTAGATTTGCTTCTCGGTGTACTCGTAGTTCATTCGCCCCAGACAGCCTTCCGCATGCCCGCGGGGACCAAGGCATCGGTGTCCGTAAACGCTGATCTGTCTTGTTCGGTTGCCACAGGCAGAATCGTCACATACCGCCCATCCATCGTAGTATTTGGATGTCTGGGCGCGGATCTGGTTCTCCAGCTGTGCGATGATTGTCAAAACTGATAATTGTTTTCGACAGGCCGAATTTGAGCAAATGATTCCATGGGCATTGCACAATTCTGTAGACATGGCCAATCCTTCGAAGGTTGACTTCTCCTTGCAGGAACGGCAGGTTAACACGAGCCGTGCCACGTTCTCGAAACGTACAGAGTCCGGAATCTGCGACTCTAGGGGGAAGATTTCGGAGTTTTGCTGGTTGCTTCCACTGGAAGTGTTAATCTGGTACTTGCGCACATCTAGACCCAGGCACTCGGCCAGCCGAACCGCGTCCGTCCCGGGGATGGGAGCGCATAGACGCTCGATGGGAGGGAAGATCTGCTTCAGAAGGTAAAACTCAACGTCGGGTTTCAGACCCAGGTCGGACTTCATCACATCTTGAAGCGTGTATGAACGCTTCGCAGGGGGAAGCGACGCTGTCTCCGAATCGCCATTGGTGACAACGTAAGATATGACGTCGTTGGGCCGAACCATTTTACCGCGAGCAAGCTCACGGAGCGCAACTTGTGCTGGAGGCATAGATTCCTTATTAGGGTATTCCGAAGGACGTTTGGAGAGTTTCTGAGCCGATCATTAACACATTACCAGGCAATCAATTACAAGGATCACTTACCGTGTAAATCACGTATTTCTGCACGGGGATAGTGTATTCCCGCATCTTGTCCGCCAACTCGCGCAGATAGTCGTGGACGCGGTTGAGGACGAGCTCCGGGTCCTCTCCGGAGAGAATCTCGTTCAAGAGCTTCTGAGAGACCTCCTTCGACAGAGCGCAGTACTCACGTCGCTTCATATCCAAACCCTTGACTTCCAACTTGTCCACATACTTGCCATCGATCTCAGACATATTAACAGCGGCGTACTTTTTCTTGGCATGCAAGAGAAGACGGCGGAATATATTGTCAATATCAATCTCCAGGAGGCGGTACTTTTCGTTGACGGTTTTCTTGAAGTCCTCTCCGACTTTAAGTGCTTCGCTGATAGTGTCCATATTCGTGTTGATCATGACGGAATCGGTATCACCATAGATGACTCTTAGCTGCTGCGACTCTGCCAATTCCTTAGTGCTGCGAAGAATCTCACGACCCTTGAACGTGGTGAGCATCGCCAACGGACGCGCATAGAAACGACTCTGAGTATATCCCAAACAGCCGTACATAGAGTTGGCAGTCAGCTTGAAAGCTAACTGCTTCGTGTCCCACAGGGCTAGTTCCTCGGGTGTCGCCCGCTTGTCTTTCATCAGCTTCTTCACCTCACGACGCCGGCCAACAAGGGTTGCAATGATCTTGGGCAGGATCCCCTGGTCTTGGTCTGAAGAAGGCACCTCGGGTACTTTCTCTTCAATATCATTCTGGGCCTGAAGCATGAATAGCCATTAGTATATATAGATACCAACAATACCCGCGGAAGGTCTCACCGTTGCAGTCCGCTCCACCGTGGTGAAGCATATATTGTACTCCTGAATGATACTCGGGTACAGACTGTTAAAGTCCATCACCAAGACAAACTTGTCGTAAAGGCCTCTTTCGGGTTCGAAAACAAGACCACCTTTGTACTTGTCCTTCTTCTTCTTATCCGCAGAGTCATCGTCATCACCACCATCATGTGTCTTTTCTTCTGCCTTTTGCAATTTCGAAGAATACTTGTCAGGACAGATGTACTTGTTGCGATGAAATTCGTGGAGCAGAATGTACTCATTACGCTCGGCGCGAGTACCACTCAGAGTCCGTGCCCAAGAGTTGCCGGCAATGTTGGTTAGCACTTTTGTGAGAGACAACATCTGAAGTTTCAAGACCAGTGCAGCGATGAAGTAGGTGTCTGTGTCACAGTGGTTGACGAAATTCATGAGCCCATCTTTTGTGGTGGCCCATGATTTCAATGCCGCTTCTGTGTCCAGTTCCTGGCGTGCGTTACCCTGTCCGAGATAAAGATCACACATTTCGGTCAAACTCCACGATTGACATCTCGGCATAAGAGACTGATATTATCTTAGCATGGTTCAGCCGTATTCCAGAATTGAAGGACTTACCTTGCCCATGTCGTTAGCCACGTCGCACATCAATCTCCCAGCGATGAGATGTCTCTCAGTGAAGAAGCCACCGCCCTTGTTGAAATTCTTGGGCCAATCTCCGCGCTTTAAGCGTCCAAGACGATGCCAGCCCGGCGTCTTTTTCTCTTTCAGTCGGCTTAGAAGGATGCTAAGATCCACTTCTTGCAACTGATGGCCCATCAAGACGTCAGGGTCCATTCTCTCAAACAATGCAAGGAATTTACTGAGCAAGAATTGCTCTGTCTTTTCCAGCATGTATGTGCCGCGTTGCTTTCGTGTCTCCGCCTCGAAATTAATCGGATACGACGACCCAATAGGACGCATTACCGTGAAGGTCTTGCAAGGCAGATTCTCGGGGGGTGTTGGGTCTGTTAGGGAGACATTCTCGTACACACGAGCGCTCGCCACAATGATCTCCTGTTTGTTTTCCTTCACGTTCATTTGCGTCTTGAACGAAAGACTCATCAGTGTCAAAGGCGGAGCTTCCAAATTCTCGGAGTCTGATACAGGGGCGATGAGAGCTGGTTTAGAGACCTGGCATTCAAATTTGCACCAGGACGCGTTGTTCACAGCTGAGAAATCGGCTTCATCGATCTTAAGCCAGCATGGACCCATGAGATTCTTCCAGAGAACAAATTGTTCAAATAGTGACGTATTAGTGCCGAAAACGCGTGAAAAGGTCTCTCCCTGAGTATCCATAGGTAGCGGAGGCTTATCGTAAGGGTACAGTAGCTTGAGGTACTCCGACTCCTTGGGAACGCCGGGCAGCTCGAATGCATATTTGCGAGTGCATGGCTTGATCTTATGCATACCGACCTTGAGCCTCGACATCATGTCATCAACTTCGCCGTAGACATCTTCCATATCGACTTCCTCATCTGTTTCTCGGCCGTGCTTATGCCTCTGTTCTCGAGGAAGGAAGTAAAGTTTTCGGAGGATATTATCGACCTTGACGAACGCGCTCGTATAGGTGCCGTTTCGCTTATTCTTCACCTTTCCAAACAAGCATAGACTCCCATGGACTTCTGTAAAATCCATCCAGAACATACGGAGGCTTCCATCTTCCTCGACAACGTCCTGTGCGCGAAGTTTGCCGAAGCCCTTGGCTTCTGATGCTGGGCTACTGACGACATTGAGCTTGTTCCTCACGTCGTTCCAGGACGCATCAACAACTTCCGTTGAAGGCTTAGCGGGGGAGGAACCCATAGGGGTGGGTTTGATCTCTTTTTTGATCTGGGGGACAGGGCGGCTACCAGACATGTTGACGCTTGTGGTCTTAGCCTCCTGTTGTCCAGTAACTTCGGCAATTTCCATCCAGTCATTATCATCTTCCTCCGGTTCTTCGACCTTGACAGGGACGGTTATTTTCCTCTCCACGGCTTTGCTGATCGGGGAAGATGGCATCGGATCGCTCATTGGGACATCGTCGTCGTCTGCGGTCGGGAGTGGCGCGTCATCGTTGTCCATATTAAAATCCTGTTCTTGCTCTTGGCCAACGGGCGATGCTGGCTCGATGTTTTCATTCTTTCTATCCTGATTTTGCTCGCGTGCCCTATGAGACAAGGGAGGGGAAAGGATGCGGACTTTTCGGCGCGTTTCCGATTTCACTATATTCTTCGTCGGGGGCGGCTGTTTCGAGGCGACATTGGTATCGACCTCTCCGAGGAGATCAGCCATGAAAGCATCGTCTTCTACAGTGACAGTCGGCTAGGGAGGTTGTCAGCGATTTCGACCCTTCCGGTTGATTCTCGTCTTGCAGGGGCTCAGGCAACTCACCTTAGGCTTTGGAGCCGTCGCGGCACTACCCTTGTTGAAGTATTTGGAGATCCCGTTGTTGATCTTTTCCTGCCTTTGCTGTTCCTCCTCTCGCTTTCTCTTCGCAGCTTTGCCTCGGGCGGGCAATCCGTCGTCATCGCTATCGCTGTCGTAGTATTCGGCCGTCTGTTCGTTCCACACCTCGCGACCGTCATCGGCGTAACCTGCACCGTTATCGTCGACAACGAAATCATCTTCATCAAGTCGGCTCCGGATAACTTTCTTATATCCTTCGTCATCAACCTCCTCATAGATATCCCCTTGATCTTCGACCTCGTACGTCGAAAGACGCTTCTTCCCTGCGGCACGCAGAGCGCGCAACTCTGCTAGTTTTGCTCGTGAAGAAGCCATGGTGTCTTGTCTTCTTTTCTCTCTTTTTTTATTATTTACCCCAGAGAGTCGACACCCATGGATAATTCTTTTGGTGACAGTGGACTGTGATCAAATCACGAAAACATCCCTGGGATTGAATCGGGAAAAGGGTGGGTTTGGAGCCGTTTCCAAGGCGGGTTGTGTCGCGGAGGAGAATGGACGCGTAGCGGGACGCGGTCTGAACGCGCTCCCGCTAACTAATTTTAATTGATTTCACCGCCGCCATTCTGATCAGCCCCACCCGTTGGCATACACTTTGGCCGCCCAATGAATGGTATGGCAATGGTCTCGATAAGATGGTATTTGCAGATGATATATTCATTAAGATTACAAATCCTCCCTATAATTGTGTATTGTCTTGACGGGCAGTGCGCAGACCATGATTGTGGCATCTGTAACACCCACCTTCCATTACTCTAGTTGATCAATATCAGTCGAAAATTTCATCATCAGTGTCCGCATCACTATACTCCTCTAAAAATTGTCAGCATAAGTCAGCCTGTGAAGAAAAATCGCAGTGCCCCCACCCTGAGCCAATCCGAAGTCAAATGTCCCGTCCAAGCGGGTTTTCAAAATCTCGCGGATCCGATTTTGTGCTCCCTCGGTGATATCTGTGTCGGTAGTCGAGTTCAAGATGGACAGGCTGAAACCTTTGTTGCCAGGCTTGAGTGAGGCAATGAAGTCTATGATACCCTGGGTCGTGAATTCGCTGAGAGCGTGAATAACCAAGCTCTGGAGTTCTCCTAGACCTCGGAATGCATCCCACACCTCGTCGTTGAAAAAGTCACCACTCACCCATAATCTCTCCAAGTGCGGAAGATATGGTGTTAGTGTGATGAGATGGTCAGGTGTAAAGCAGTCCGATATATCCTTGAGTTCTAGTTCGCGGAGCCCATTCAGCTGACCGATTGCCTGGACGAGCAGCTCGTTATCCTCGGGTGATTCGCTACTCTCTCCACGAAGGTATAGGTTTTGCAGAGAAGGTTGACTGGCCAGGGCTTCGTGGAAGCCCCGGGCCCCGGCCATTGTATAACCGGCCAATGAAAGGGTGGATAGACGTAAATTTTCATCGGTTAAAACATGGGATAGCAAAGCCGCATCGTCGACAAACCTTCTGAGTTCGAGACGTCTCAATGCTTTGCAGCCACGGATCCATTCAGCGACCCGCACGATGACAGCATAGAAACCTTCGTCCCGAACGGCCGGTCTTGAGTCCGTCAATACTAGAACTCTCAGTGCGGGTGGCGTTGCTAGCGACGGCAATGCTGCAATTGCTTCAAGGGGGAGGCTGGTTAACTTCAGTTCTGTCAAAGATTCTAGATGGTTGTTCAGGGCCTTGATTGAACGCGGTCCCAGCTGCGAGTAACTAAGCACCTCAAAATACTGCAGGGTATTGGGTGCTAGCTCATTCAAAAATTCCTGAGACTCTGACTCCGCATTTCCGGACGACTCATTCTTCCTGCACGAATCGTAAGAACACGGATTAGAGTACATTCAGTCTGGAGTTATACCATGCATATATTGTGAGTTGCTTGAAATCCGGACAGTGGCTACGAATCTGATTGCCGGCATGTTGTGTAAGAGCAGTCCCAGACCAGATGGTCATAGCCTGTAGCAGCGGTAGGTCTTCCAGCCATGAGGATAGCACCGATGGGGGTACTGTAAACAAGTCAGACAAACCTATACCAGCGAAGCCTGAAAGGTGGCTTACTGTTGCAAGACATCTCCCGTAAGGAATTGGTTTTCCTGACGATGGCTGATATCTAACAGTCAGTAGGTATGAAGCATCTCCGACATAGACCCACTGACCAGAGCCAAATTTAATCACCAGCCGCTCATTTTCAGCGAGAGTTCTGGAAGAGCGAAGCCGCTTACTTCCTTTCGACTCGTAGACGTTTGACGCCAAGTCAATGAGCTCTTCCGTGAAGAAGTTCCTAAGTTTCATTTAAAAAGGTGCCGATATTGAAAACTCATCAAGCTGATAGCTTACTCTTTGATTCTTCCCTTGAACATCGCATTGCCCAGGAGGTACGATAGATCATCTAGGTCAAGATAACGGATATAGCTGTGATAAGGCAGATAGGTCTGATCGATGGTAGACAATAAGATGGAGCGCCACATGAGCGCCCACTTTTGAATGACAACCTCCTGTTCTCTCCAAATAGACATCCATGTGGGAGCTGACCGGCGAGTTTTGAACTGCTCATCCTCGGTACCGCCGCCCTTCACTGGGGAAGTATTATGCAGTCTGCATGCTTTGTTATCAGCAGCTGATTACCAGCCGTATGCCCTGAGCATGGTGGGGTCATACTTATACAGGACGGCTAGGGCATGTTCAGTGAAGCATCGCGAGGACACAGCACATTGGTATAAGCTATTGTAGTCTTTCTCGTCCCCAAGGATATCCAGGATGATGTAAATGACGTCACCCGGTAACGGAAAGGTCATATTGGCTGGTAAAAGTCACACATTCCAAAATGGAGTTACAGCAATGGATTCACACGTCTCATCGATATATGAGGGAAGCAAGGATGAAGTCTGTTTTGATACTTGAGGCGTCGGCCAGTGACGTTGCAGCATGGAGCAACTATTGGAGGACGGGTGACACGGGCCTGGTTATGTAAGCCGAGAGCGTGTTTGCCTTGGCGACGCATGGAAAGATGTAGGATGAACTGATCGAAACACCACAAATCCGGTATGAATGGCAATAGATTGTTGTATGCTGACATTGAGTGTTCTTGATTATTGTATAATTTGAGATTGATTTTTGATCCGCTATTAGAAGATCATGACTTCACTGTCGTTTTCACTGGCCCCGGAGGCCTTGGTCCGCCTGCACAACGCTTTGATATGCCTTTCGAAATTCAGCCATTATGTGTCCATTGAAGCGGAATACGATCTGGTAGAGCTAAGAATCAAGTGACTTAATATGTTGATTACACTAACAATGTTGTAGCTCCGGTTGAGTGCACTCAATCTGACCAAGACCGCGTATGCCGGATTTGCTTTGGACGCGGACGAGTTCTTCCAAACCTACATATTTGGAGTCAACCACAGCAATGCTTCCACAAGGCTCCGTGCGGATAAATTTAGCTGCCAAATTGACGTAAAGGTAGAGTCTGCTGGCCGCAGATTGTACGCATCTCTCAAGCTAATATGAAACAGACTCTTTTATCAGTTTTCAAAGGAAGGACTAGTGGACGCGACAAGGACACCGCGGTCGAACGCTGCGAGGTCGAGCTCCACGAAGATATCGACGAGACAGAATGCAGACTTGTCATCCGAATGATCTGTGGACTTGGTAAGCAGGTTCTCCCAGGCCACAGGCTCGATGTAGTACAAGATCTTAACGGCATTGATTTAGGCGTGATCAGGTCATACAAGCTCACCTATGAGCCAACTACTGTTCAGCACGCTACTTTTGATCGATCAAGTACTTCAAATCAGTGGAGTATTGAACCAAAGTTTTTGAAAGAGATAACCGATCATTTTAGCCTCTCAGCAGAGCAGCTGGACATCTTTTCTGCCCATGACAAGGCCATCTTTACGAGCTATACCACAAAGATTACGGATGGTAAAGGTAAGGTACTTGGAATCCGTGGCTTATACTGCCGTGCTAATCATTACACGTGTAGAAATATTGAAACAGCCAGTGCACACGTCTGTGGCTATTGAGAAGAAAGATTTCGAGCAATTCCTGGTCGAAGATAGTCTCCACGTTGTCATCCATTTAAAGGATTTCAAAGCGGTCATCGCGCATGCCGAGACGGCAGGTGTGATGATCACCGCTCGATATACCAACCCATGTCGGCCCTTGCAATTCGCATACGACTTCGCAGGGGTGAAGACCGAGTTCACTTTGATGACAACAGGCGAGTCAGATGCCAGCGACCCCAGTTCCTCCCGAGCGGCCGTACCACAGCTGTCCGCTAGACAGACACCCGCTCCTGCCAACGTGAGCCAAACCAAAACCGCCTCAAGCACAAGGCAGATGCCTCCTCCACGCAGCCGATCTGTACGCACTCTCACGGGGAACTCTGCTCGTGGTACGGCGGAAGTAAGCACTCAAAGCCAGCGGCCCCCAGCCTCGATCGACTTCGATAGTCTGTTTGTGCCGGCGGATGACGACAGGCAATGGGATGTGTCGAACGAAGATGAAAGGGATGAAACTGAGGATATGCTTGGTTGGGATGCAACCACTGACCAGGTTTGGACTCCGCAACTGCCTATCGTGAGCCAGTCTAACTCGCGTTTAGGAAACTTTCAGCGCAAGTATGGGACCGCGGTTACGGGACATCGAGCCCAGTATGCCACTCCAGGAGGAACAAGCGGTCGATCAAGAGGAAGCAACGGGGATTCCTCCAACGCAGCGCATGTCACAGGTGAGCCGTCTTCATCTGTATGTCGAAGAAAGCTAACACTCGCAGCTTCACGGCCTGGGTCTTTTCGACTGAGCCATCTGGTAGACTCCAGTGGGCCATGGAACCCAGCCATTGTTCGAGTTGACATGACTTTGTGGATATCGCCCAGGCTGCGCACTGAATATGGAACCGCACGATCAAGACACGATGATCCAGCTGGTCGCACAACCAGCACCAATCCCAACCACACGAGCACCGCCTTCAATCGGCAAAGGAATCCGACTAACCCTGCCCTGCACATTTCCCCGAGCATCAACATCCGGTCCACAATTACCATGCTCTCCCCACCCAAAAGCAACCACAGTCTGGTCGTCAACAAGAGCCAGGACATGTTCACTCCCAGCAGCTATTTGACCCAACTTCGGAAGATCCCCAGGCGGAAGCTGGCCGCGGTCATTGCGACCCCACGCCACAACGGAGGAGTCCCCCCGATGTACATAAACACCATGCCAACTAGCAGATAAACCTCGATATCCGCCCACCAACGACGAAGGCGCAGGCGCACCAGACCGAATCCCCCACTTATCATCGCAAGAGCCCAGCACCGCAAACTCCCTCGCGGCCTTATCACCGAGTATGACCGTGAACTCGCGCCCGCAAGCAGCGCCAGTCGCACCAAACCCCACGCCATCAACCTTCACCGGCACCCAGACAGTCTTCCTCGCCATAACCGACTCCCCCAACTGGCCCTTCCTCGCCGCACCCCATCCATACACCTCCCCATTAGACAACACCATAACCGTATGTCCCATCCCACTAGCAATCGACACGACACGCGTCCCACTCGGGGGAAAATCAGGGACCGTCGCAGGCGCATCAGCCCGGAGCGCATCCACCCCCAGACCTAACTCCCCCTTCGCCCCCGATCCCAGCACGAACACCCTATCCCCCTCCATCGAAACAAGGAACGTCGCCTCCCACGTCGCAGACACGTCTTTGAATGTGTCGACCACAACGCCGGTGGTAGTATCCTCCACAACGACGCGGCGAAACTCCGTCTGCGACGCTGTCTCAGAGGATGATAAAGACCCGCCACACCGCCCGTCCGCGTTACACCCCGCGGCGTACACGGCTCCGTCGGAAAATAGCACCAGCGTGTGGTTTCCCCCGGCTGCGATGCGAGCTATCGTTCCCGCGGGGCTCGAAGAGGGGAGGTCCTGGAATACACACTCTGTCGGAACGGACACATCCTCCTCATGTCCGATACCCAACTGTCCCGACCCATTGGATCCAAACGCATACAGCTTCATAGCTAAACAAAGGACGAGAATAAAATCAAATATACACAGTGTAACCAAAAAGCCAAGACAGTAGACCACCGCGGAGTAAGTAAACACAGCCAACAAGCTCGGCTCGGCAAATCAAACCAACCAACCCACCGCCTTCCTTTCCCATCCACCATCACCACCTCGGCCCAAATCACATGACCCAGAGCCAGTGGCAAGTGGGGGCGGAGTATCCCAAAACAACTCGGCGAACTCAGCCACCACCCCGGCCGAGTCTCGCTGCCGAGTTTCATACATACCCAAGTTCTGGGCCAGCGTTACCCACCAGTTACCACAGATTGAGAGAAGGCTTGGCGAGAAGTGCATTCCAGGGATCGGAATCGGAATCGGAATTTGATTCGTTTTTTTTTAATCTAATCTAATTTATCTATTTTTTAAATCAATTTAATTTTAGATTTTGTTTTTATTACCTTCTTGGTATGGAGTATTCAGTGGGTGCACTATACTATATAATATAGTATTGTTAGATTGAGATCTATTACGTTATGTGTATACTTTTCTTTTTTATTTATTTCAAGAGCTACTAGCTAAGGTAGGTAGGACTGACGACTCAAGACTGTGTCAAGTGTACTTACTGCGCTCAGGGGATGGATGAGATGTAAATAATAGCAGAATGATCTCGTCCACCTCTATCGGGTACCCACCTAGTGTATATCACCACATAAAGCAGTTGCACAATTAGTTGGTAGTTGGGCACCGATAAGGAGTTTTAAGTTCAAAGCTGCAAATGCAACACAAATGGGATCTATTAGATCTACTTTTTCTCCCGCGAGAGAGAAATGAGATGATTGTGGGGTAGTAATAATATGTCTATTAACAGACGCCGACTATGCCGGAGATCTAACTAGGAATCTGGGGTACATCAGATGATTGACTGTTGATCTTGACATGTGTCGACTAATGATCATATGCAAACGCACGGCTATGTGCGGGGTATGTATACATAGATGACAGGCTAAGAGCAGGATTCCATCAAAAAAGGATAATCGTGGATAATCATACGGGACAGTAAAAAAAGTAAAAAGAAACCGAAAGGGATATCTATTCATCCTCATAAAAAAGGGTTCTCGTGACGGGGTATTTATTATAACATGCATCAAAACAATAAGAAAAAGAAAGGAAAAAAAAAAAAACAGCTCATCGATCCGTCTTTTCATTGTCGTAAGAATCCGAGTCGCCCTCCTGGGCAGCCGGAGGCAGGGCGAAATCATCACCCTTACCCGTGTGTTCCATAGGGCGGAACATGGGGCTCGTGCGGTGGAAGTAGGAGTGGACGTGGCCTTCCAGAAGGCTGTCATCCGTGTCCATGGCGAGCTGCTCGGCGTTGGTCTTCTCGGTGAACTTGCGCTCCATGGCGGCCTCCCACTCGGCGCGGTACTCCTCGACCTTCTGCTTGTAGTCGAGCTCGGCGTCGTAGTGCTTGCCCTTGCCCGTGCGGCGCTCGAACCACGACAGGTGCTTGGAGTGGACGGCGGGGCCGTGATAGTCCTCCTCGCGGCCCTGGCGGATGTACTCCCAGCGACGCTCCTGCTCCTTGAGGTCCAGACCGGTGGTGTCGGGGAGGAAGACGTAGGTCAGGATCAGACCGCCCAGGCCGAACCAGGGCACGACGTAGAATTTGGTCTGCGTGTCGATGTAGTTGTAGAGGACGGAGGCCAGCAGCGCACCGGCCTTACCGGCGGCGGCGGACAGACCGTGGGCGGTGGCGCGGATAGGCGTGGGGAACACTTCGGCCGCGACGAGGAAGGTGACGGAGTTGGGGCCGAACTGGTTGAAGAAGGAACTGAGGAAGTACATGGCCTGGAAGCCCTTGATGTGGGCGGGCGACGTGAAGTACTCGTAGTTGAACGCGGGGATGATGAACAGGATGAAATCCATCAGGAAGCCGACGATCTGCATCCACTTGCGACCGTAGAGCTTGTTGTCGATCATAAACGACGCGAGGTAGTAGCCGGCCATCGACACTCCGACGTTGCACAAGTTCCAGAGCCAGGTGGGCATGATGGAATCCGAGACCGGACTGATGACCTTGATGAACTCGGATTGGAACAGCTTGTTTCCGTAGAAGAAGACATCATTCGCGAACCAACCGCCGGCCGTGGCGAAGATACGGAAGCCAAAGTGCTTGAAGGTCAACTTCAGGGACTGCACATCGTAGCCAGTGACGTTGGACTTCTTCTTCGCCGAAGCCAGCTGCTTACTGGCCGCCTTCATGTGGTACATACGGTAGTAGACCAGCCACAGCGTGCCCACCGCGGGGATGGCGAACGAGACACGGTAGGTCCACTGGGTCGACACGGCGGAGTAAGGGTTGTTTCCACTGCCGTGATGGAAGCACAGCAGCAGGATAATCAGGATCACTTGGTTGAAGAACTGACCCCAACCCTGCATCAGGAAGGCGCTGGTGACCTTGCGACCACGATGCAGACGATCGTCCTTGGTTGAGACCTTGCCGGAGCCAACGGCGTTTTCCATGCCGCTGGTGGCGGTCATGGGATATTCACCACCGACACCAATGCCGTAGATGAACAAACACCAGGCATAGCAGATCACCCAGCCGTTCTGGGTCAGACCCCAGGAGGCCGTAAGCATGATCAAACCGAGAAGCATGATAGCCGCGTCTTGAATGAGACCCCATCGTCGACCAACCCTGACAAATCATCATTAGACTAGCTGAATCTAAAACCGGGTGAAAACAAACATACCAGTCACCAATAAAACCAACCAGAATCTGGCCCACAATGATACCGACGATCTCCAGGTAATCGATGGCGTTCAGCCATTGCTTATTGCAAATCTCATGATCTTCCCAGCACGCAGGGAAAGTCTTCTCGAACAGCGGTTTTAAGTTTCCGATGGAGAAGAGCACGTAACTAGAGCGTCCATTAGCTTGACGAGCTTGGGCTAAGAGGTTGTTCGCTTGGCCACTTACCCTTCGAGACCCAGACCCGCACCGGGGAGGACCATGTTGCGGAAATAGTACGAGATGGGGGACAGAGGGTCCTGCTTCATCATTTCCCAGATGCCGCCCAGCTCGCGCTTGGCTTCCTTGGTGTCGTAGGCATTGACGAACTTGATGCGCTTGAAGATGGGGAGGTCGGCCCAGTAGGTGCCGTCTGGGGTATAGCTGTCATCGGGACGAATGAGGGCGTCGAAGGCACTCTTCTCGTTGAGGTCCATGTTCTCGAGAGGGTTATGGGTCTCCATATCGGGCCCGTGAGGCGCACGAGGGCCAGAGTCGGTCATGATTGGAGTTTGGAAGCTCGACGCGTCCACGAAACGGGCGAAAAGATGCTTTCAGCCAAGAGAGATTTGCAGATTTGGAGACTTGAAAGTCTTAGCAGAACGATTGGAAAAATGGGGGGTCCTTTATTATCCCTCTAGGATAGGAGTTTGACGAGAGGACCAAGATGAGGCGTCGTCGCACACAGTGCGAGCCAAGTCGGACAGGCCAAGGGTTTAACTTATATTCGACCGGGTTGACGGCAAAAGAAGTCTGGGCAAAGGCGGAAAACGAGCCAGCGGGCTACCTTGCCCCAGGCACATGCCCAAATGGGGAGGTCTGATAAGTCAATGGAGAAATGGTTAGATCCCACGTCGTGGCGGGTCTACTCCAGTCGAGGACTCAGTAAGTCATGTTAGTGGTAGACGATCAGGTTGGCAGACCCATTGCCTAGAACTGGGCAGAAGGAACCATGGACTTAGAAAAAAAAAAAGATTAAAAAAAAAGGGATTGAAAAAGAGAAATTGAAAGAAATTGAAAATGAAAAGATTTGATTGAATGATTTACTTAATTCTTTTTTAAATTCTTTTAAATTCTTTTTTTTTATTCTTTTTTTTTCTCCGTTCTTTTTTCGTTTTCGCTTTCCCTTTCACTCTGGTAACAAGAGATTTTTTGCCTCCTCTAGTCATTGCATTAGTTAGCATGTCTTTGACCGTATCAGAAGGTAGTACTGTATCCAGTATGGATCATAAACCATCGTCGTTATTAAGTCATCCTGACTTCGGAAAGAGAAAAGGGAGATGGAGGAGGAATCAGGAATGGTCCGGAGGGGCGGAAACTCAGACTAACGAACTGATTTAGTGCGGAAGGTCGAGAGAAGAACCTTCTGCCGTCCAATCATTGCTGCACGTGGTGGCAGAATCTCACGGATTCCCACCAGATCGACAACCTTACCGCCTACTTTATTTTCCTTTGAGTCTTTCCCTTTCCGACAATCTTTCTTACCGAGTCGATCAGCGAGTCTCCCCCTCATTCTAACCCAGATCAACCACCGCTGCATGGCTGATCATGGTCAGATGACGAGGGTCTGTTGTACAATGCCTGTCAACCCGTGGCTTCAACCTCGGGCGAATTTATCGTTGGATGTTGAAAGACAAAAATAGACTTCAGATCGGTTTAAAAATGAATACGAGGAAGAAAGTGCCGTAAAAGATATCCAGTTGGTAGTATCCCGTCTATGCCGTTTATGAAGTTGCCTGGATGTGAAAGACTTGACAGCAAAGCCCGGGGATTTGAACAGCCCTTTGAGGCTATGAAAGGCACGATCTAAATTTATATTGTCTCCTTCTAGAATTATCATCCCTTGCATGTTGAACACTTGCTGCATTCTCACTCGGAGAGAAGAGAGCCCTACTCGATCCCTTGCGCAGTAAGTAGTAAGTACTGCCAGGTATCAGTGCAACACAGGTGTACAACATCAGCCGTTGACTGAGCGGGCCGGAACTCGTGGTTGAATAAAACCTCCAAGCAATTCGGACGGCTCGAGGTCTTGGCATCTCCCCAGCCAGTCACCATCCGTCCTGCCAGCACGTTTCTCTCCCAGTTAGGCAAAGATAGACCTCTCCACCATATCTCAGAACAGAGTAGCCTCACCCATCGGTCCTGACTCCTGACACTACTGGTAACTACGAGGTACTACTGACACCGTACTACCTCGAACTCTCCCATGTCTCCGCTCCTTTCGTCAACAGAATCCACTCTCGGATTCTCACCCCATGCCTCAGTGAGGTCCCGCCCTGGGACCCTGCGTAATTCTCCTCGTGTGTACACCGTAATATCAACTGCTATCTCACATGGAGTTGTTGCCCCTTACTTGGTACCTAGTGGAGCGTCGCGTGGCCAGTGGCCACAGACACAACGAGGCTGCCATGTCCCGAGGGTAGCTTATCCAGACCGCAAATGACATTCTTTCTTCAATCGGGGCATACCGCTCGACGTTTCTTTTTATTTCTTGACATGAACAATGCGGCACCCGCTCGGAGAAAGGACTTTCTTAGGGAAACTGGGGATGCACATCCTCTGTTCGAGGATCTAATCCCTCGGTGGTGCGTGCCACAACCTATCACAAACGGCAGAAAATGAATCCGACTTGCTTGGTCTGCGTCAGACTCAGTTCTGCATGCTGATCTGAGGGTCTCCATGTCGGGTGAGTGCGGTAGGAACTGGAACCACCAGCTGAATACCCCGTTGACACATTGGATGGAGTCCCATCTGAACCCAACATGGTATTCAGTATCCACGCCCATCGCAATTACGTTGCTAGGAGGCGGAGCTACAATACAGGCAGAATCGGAGTGTCTTGGATTGTTGATGATATACTTTGCAGGTCAGGCACGATTTCGTGTTTGTGCTCGTGGTATTGGCCAGCTTCGTCTAGGTCAGAACTTTATTGCCCGACATTATAAGGTAGCCAGGTACGGAGTACTAGACATTATAAACTCAAATTCGGTTGGACAGTGGGTACACCTACAGTATAGCATGGACCTAAGCACCGGGCAACCACGCAAACGTAAACACTACTACAATCGGTCAATGCGCGTTATTATCATCGACACGTTCTCTGCTCCAAACTTAGGGCTATACTGTTTCTTTCCCTCCCTCGTGTTTGGTTTTCTGTGTCAATCGCTTTGCTCACGGAAACAAATCTGCCTAGTAGATACTTTAGATTCCCTCCGCAATCTCTGGCAGATTATCATCCCTCATAGCCCCTTTGATCGACAGCGTGCAGCATTTGAAAATCCCAACACCAGGCAGAAGCAAAAGGGGGGGTATCGTAGCATAGAAAAAGCAGAACATGACCAGCAGACGGACCAATAAGAAAAAAGAAACAAGAAAAGCCAAAATGACGAGATCGTCGCCACGGGTTTATACCGCATATTCAAATATATATATGTTGATATATATATAGATAGAAGGCTCAGCTTCCAATCCAACAACGCGATACGGCGCATCAACCACGCCAAGAACCCACCACATGATGTTGAACACAACACAGTCGATACATAAAAAACTTAAGGTCCCATCCTGTCAGATTTCCGATATACTTATCCATTTCCCTACCCCAGTGGCTGTGTATGCCGATCAAAGCAGGCAACACCCGTTGGGTACCAACATGATGGACGGAGAATATGCAACCAATGCACGACGTGCAACTTGGCAATGCAGGGACCACGATGTTATTCCGACGCAATGGCTGATATGCTATGCAATGTACGTGTCATAAACTGTAATTCTATATTTGGGCTAGGCAGAACTTTAAGGTATGTGATGTGGTAGGGGTATGTATGGTGTTTTGTTGGATTCTGGATAGTGCTTGTTTTGTTTGTTTGGTAGGTAGGCAGTGTGCATGATGAGGGAGAAGTAAAAGCTCATATGTGGCTGTGAGGCTTAGATCCAGGGTCGCAGTACATAAACGTTGCTAATCTTGATAATCCATATTCACGGATGCCAACTAAGCAGGAGGCAGTGGTAGATATTTTGGGAAGGACTCTCTGGACTGGCAAGCAATGCCTCTTCTATTTTGATAGGGAGAGCCAGCAGAGATCAACCTAGGTAGCGTTCCTACTCGAATTATGCTCTGGTGCTGGATAGAGGAGTAGATCGAGAACGTGGCTGACAATAACAGCACAATGGGCAATCGTGGACTCTATGATTAGTATGATATAGATACTATAGATTTACTGTTACAATAGATCTGGAATCATCAACTACTTTACAATCTATCAGGTCTTGTATTTCTGAAGAGATATACTACGTATAATATCTAACTTAAGCGTAGACATAGACGTTGACATATACTAGACAAAGCCATGTGCGAATAGAAGTATCCTGATTCATACATCACTTACCTAACGAGTAACTATAGATTGACTATCTGAAGATAGTGGTTAGATCTAGGCTTTGGATTTTCTAAAATACTACTGACAAACTGGTAAGATTCATCAAAATATCGTTCTTACCCTTCGCAGAGATATAGACGAAAAATTCCGTGATTACAATCAGTCTAACATAGCTAGATATGTGGAAACTCCTTCATTGTAGATCCTGCAGACTTTGCTTTCAATTCTTCATACAGATTGCATTCTTCCATAGATCAAATGTCGTCGACAGGTTATAAGATCAAGTCTCTACCGCTATCACAGTGTCCTTATCTAAATCATCATTTCCGTCCATATTCTACCCATCCCATGTCTCACCAAGATGACAGTTTCCAGCATAACCACGCCTATCCTTATATATGAGTCTTCTTAAGCAGCCCTACATGCGCCTGTCAAGTTCAATCAGTCATGAGCAGAGGATTGCAAGGTCTATGCATGTCATCTGCTCAAAGCAGAGAACCCCTAGGAAAGAGAGAACCCTCATGAAGAGAATACCTGCATAGTGTAAAGTTTTCTCCTGACTCAGTGAAGCATTATCTAATACCTAGAAAGATAGAGATCAATCTAGGGAGAGATCACCTGTATGAGAGAGCTTGCCTGGTAGTTAGAAGCTGACGATAGTCCTGAGAGGGGGCAGGTGGGAGGGAGAGAGAGAGAGAGAGAGAGATTAATATCTACGGACTGGCGGTTACTTGGCTAACACTGGAGATTCATTAAACATATGACGTTTTGATATTCTGCTCATGATAGCTTCAGGTTTGACTGATCTAGAGAGAGAAAGAATCAATCGTTGGAGTTTGCCCGACACGTTATTTGAATATGCAGCTTTGCAGTAGCATGTTCTGTATATCTCGCTTCCAACCCTTCACACCATTTACAGCATTTCCACAGATTGAGGTACCATCGATTCCATCAAGGTAGTGGCTGTTTCCATCAGTTATTTACAGAAAAATCGGAGAATCTGATATAGGTATCCTGGGGATATATTAATCTAGTTATCAGCTCCGTTGTTCACGTAGTAGTCTCTTCCAAAACAGTTTATGCCTAGAGCTTCATCACAGCGAGTGCGCAATATGCCGACTTCGAGATCAATTGCCGCCTCTGCAGATACCGGGTACCTCGGAATGCTGATAGATCAACCCAGGGTATATGTGCGTATAACGTGTTCGGCAGATATGTGTATAATAATATTCCTCGAATGGTAAGTCAGGTGGCCTGGTGTTCGAATGTATCATGCTTAGTTATGCACATAGTCGAGCAGCAGAATGGGGACGATGTCCACGGAGCCTATAGCATGCTTGACATTGAAGGGATACTGATTCTGCTTTCAAGTAGGATATCAACTACGTCGATAGTCATGTCAGCAAGAGCGCTAAACAACACGAGAATCTTCTGCAGCAAACTCGATATCGTGGAAATTGTCAGCAAATCGATCGCAGCCAACGGACCCGGACCAGCCCACATTCCATTCTCCCGTCAGCAGACGAATAGACAACCTGATCTACGTTCTTCATCCGTAAGATCGATATGGAATGCTCGGCAGCATTCCCAATATCTTCGATCAATCGGATTCTGGTTTCAGCGTGCCTTTCTCGTCGCATGTGGATTTCATGTGCCTGGGCGAAAAGTGATTGTAGCGATGCGATTTTCTGCCTTTTAATTTCACCCTCGACTTGCGAATTTATGGAATGCTGGTACTGTATAGTGCAGGGGCGTTTTGTGAGAAAGTCCTAAATGTATGTGAGTATTCAGTTGTCGTGGGCTTGTCGCTGTGGCGTGGGTTCCCCTGACGATCCGAGTTCCGATCTACACGACTTGTCGCGGAGATCAATATCTAGATTCATGACGTTTCTGCCGCTGAGTTCTCTGCGCATAGTTATATTATTAGTCGTCTTTATCCTAAATATATTATGATGCTTATTGCGGACGCGCGATAAGAATACTCAATCCCGCGCAGATCTTTTGCTCCGGAAGACATGCCAATTGACCAGATCAATCTTCTGCAATAGTCAAGCTGATCATGAAAATGTGCGTAGGTCAAAAGCACAGCCATTCCAGGCGAATACGCGGGATTTTCAGATGCTACTCGACCCATGCCATGTCGTATCGCGACGGAAGCCAGACGGTAAATCGCGGGAGAATACCGGATGGTCGGATCACTCCGTGCTCTTTTCGTTCGGAGGACAAAGACTCCCTAGCTACATTAACCTAGACTGGCCCGATTCGGCCCCGGAAAACCCCACTAGTCGCAGCATGGGTGTTTTGACAGTATCTATGATCTATGCAGCGCTCACCGGATTGGTGGCTTTGGTTAGGTCTTTTCCTGCTGGTTATTGCCGCGGACTGCGGCAGTCCGTAAGTTGTGGAGGTTGTAGCACTACCTCTTTTACCAGTAAGGTAAGGCAGAACACTGCTGCCCAATATTATATGCATGGACAGAATATCGCTCACTCGGGTTTTGACTGCAGTTTCATTTTATAGTTCTCGTAGTCGATCGGTGATTGCGCCCGCGTTTGTCTTCCAATTGGTGGGTTGGATACACCACCCGGTCGTGGCGCAGACGACTGGTAGAATATGGGACACGGTCCTTAGCGGTCGGATTGCGGTGGTCCAAGCCTCACCAGTCTGGCGATGGACCTGGCGACCGGGGACGGACCGATGCAGCCGATGATACTCAAACTGCAGACGTTTGGATCTGGACTCAACTGGGCTTGGATTACGTATAACATTCGATACAGTAGGTGAAAACGGGTCAGATCAATACCAGATTGATAGATGAGAAGGAGGACGAGGAGAGTATCGAAGGAGAAGACATGAAGCCATTATCGCCAAAAGAAGTCCTATACAAATATTAAAAACGAGTAGATATAGCCCCACTACAACGTCAGCTCGGTCAACGGGTATCGATGTATGTACGATGAGCCCATAAATAATGTTGATCCTTTCCAGATGCAGGCGACGGTTCACCGTCTAGCGTGCGCCTTATCTAATGCCATTCCTTGCTTTCGGTCCATTGGATTCCATGAAACGGAAAAAAAAGGGGGTCTGCCGTCCGGTCGGCGACGTCACAGTGGATCCCATTGCGATGGTCACACACTATCGGATGTAGGATGATGACGACCAAGAACTATGACGGCCTGGACGTGGTATCCTTGCAACAAAGGGTGAGAAGAATGGTCATTATAGGTTCTCCAACAAGTGATTTTCTCGGCTGTCTTGTAGTGGGTCGGACGTCACTGATCAGTCGCTGATCGGTTGGATGATCGAGAGGATCAACTGTACGATCATACTTCATGATGACATTGATTTGATAGTGCCTAGTACTGGGATAGCATGTCGTCAGGTAGAGAATTTCCCATTGGCATAATGACTGCATCGTTTACACCGGTAACTGTCTCAGATGCAAGGTCGGTCGGACAGTGGTGTTCTGAGCGATTTTATGTTTCACGGGGAAATTTAGCCAAATAGAGACTTAACCTATTGCAGGGCTCACGGAACAGACCGGATCGTGGAGTGATTGGACTGAACCCTCAAAGTAGACAGAGTGAAAGAAAAGAGGGGAGAAAAGAGAGTTGTGATGCTCAGGTGAATGACCGAGCGCCCAAAACAGGTGATTTCCTTGGATACCAATCAATTCTACTGTTCTATCCCGTATCTTTACAGGTTTCAATCCCCCCGCCCCACCCGTGAAGTTGCCAGCACTTTCTTCATTCTTTGCATTTCCATGGCTGCCCGGTTCTATCCCCGCCTTGATCCCCTTGGACCCTGGTAGTGACTTCATGATATAAAGTCACTCGACTCTCCCCTCCTGCCAGATTTCATCATATTCCAAATAATCTCAAGCCACTCATCCACTCTACTATATCCTCTCTACTACATCTTCTCTACTACATCTTCTCTACTACATCTTCTCTACTACACCTTACCCAACGCAACACAACACCACACCACTACAATACTACTACAACACAACACTACTACTACCCCTCTTCATTACTCTACTCATCTTCTTACTCAAATATAATCATGGGCAAGAAAGCGATCCAGTTTGGCGGCGGTAATATTGGCCGTGGTTTTGTCGGAGAGTTCCTTCATGCCGCTGGCTTTGAGGTCGTCTTCGTTGACGTCGTTGACTCCGTTATCGAGGCCCTGCAGAATGCTCCCTCCTACGAGGTGACTGAAGTCAGCGCCGAAGGAGAGAGCACCAAGGTCATCACCAACTACCGCGCCATCAACTCCAAGACTCATGAGAGCGACGTCATCCAGGAGATCGCGACGGCCGATATTGTCACCTGTGCCGTGGGCCCTCGCGTCCTCAAGTTCATCGCCCCGGTCATCGCCAAGGGTATCGATGCCCGTACCGTCTCCACTCCCCTGGCGGTGATGGCCTGCGAGAATATGATCGGCGCGACCGATTCCCTGCATGACTACATCAAGAACAATACCTCTTCGGATCGCCTCCCCTCCCTCTACGACCGTGCCCGGTTCTCCAACTCGGCCATCGACCGCATCGTTCCCAACCAGCCCGAGAACCACGGTATCAATGTCCGCATCGAGAAGTTTTACGAATGGGTCGCGGAGAAGACGCCCTTTGGCGAATTCGGCCACCCCGATGTCCCCGCCATCCACTGGGTCGACAACCTGCAGCCCTACATCGAGCGCAAACTGTTCACCGTCAACACCGGCCACGCCACGACCGCATACTACGGATATAACCGCGGCAAGAAGATGATCGCCGAAGCCCTGGCGGACCAGGACATCCGTCGCATCGTGCACGAAGTCCTCGAGGAGACCGCCTCCCTCATCGTCGCCAAGCATGGTATCTCGGTGCAGGAGCAGCAGGACTACGTCGACAAGATCATCAGCCGGATCTCCAACCCCTACCTCGAGGATGGCGTCGAACGCGTTGCCCGCGCCCCCTTGCGCAAGCTGTCCCGTAGCGAACGCTTCATCGGGCCGGCCTCCGAGTTGGCCGAGAACGGTCAGAGCTACGAGAAGCTGCTGGGTTCGATCGAGATGGCCCTTCGCTTCCAGGACGTCCCCGGCGACGAGGAGAGTGCCGAGCTGGCCCACATCCTCCAGTCGCAGTCTGCCGAGGACGCCACCGCCCATCTGACGGGACTCGAGAAGGATCACAAGCTGTTTGCCCCTGTCCTGGAGCGTGTGGCCAAGGTCCAGCAGGAACTCAAGTAGACTCCACCACCGAGGATCGATCTGTCGGAGACGCCCTTGACCAGTTGAATTATCAGTCGCAACATACGGACTGACCAAAGAGGCTTTCGACCGAGATCGAGGTTCGACCGCAGGACGAACCGAACCGCATGGGATAGGCGAACAGGGACGTGGACGGAGCATGGGAATTCGGATTGCATATGTATTAGCGGCTAGTGCAGGCACAAGCTTACGAGTAACGATAATTGAGTTCACTAAATAACATTTCCTCCGTATCTTCATAGTAGCATAGCAGTAGCTTCATCGTAACATAGAGTACCTAGTAAGGGTAAGTTACAACTTACTATCCACCCACACCGGCGCCCTCTTCTCCACAAAAGCCCTCAGTCCCTCCTTAATATTCTCCCCATCATTCAACCTCTTCGTCCACCCCTCAACCAACAACCTCGACCCATCCTCCGCCCCAACCCCCTCCCACCCCAACTTCACCCCCTCCCGACTAACAACAACCGCATCAGGACTATTCCCCGCAATCACCCCCGCAACCTCCACCGCCCTCTTCACCACCTCTCCGCCCCCCTCCCCATTAGCCCCCCTCACAACAGAGACCAACTCATTCACAAACCCCCACCGCTCCGCCTCCTCAGCCAACACCCTCCGCCCAGTCAACACCATCTCCATCGCCCGCTGCCGCCCAATCGTCCGCACCACGCGCGGCAGCGCACCCGCCCACGCTACCACCCCGCGCTGCACCTCGGGGAACCCGAAGAAGGCGTCGCGCGCGGCGATCACCATGTCCGCGTTGATGACCATCTCGCACCCCCCGCCGAGACAGAGCCCGTTGACGGCGCAGATGAGGGGCTTTTTGCCGCTGCGGCGGGAGAGGCCGCCGAAGCCGGTTGGTGGGGGGTTGGGACGGGGTTGGCTTTGTGCTTGGGAGTTGGCGGAGTCGTTCCATTCTGCTTATACTTAGTATATATATTTAGAGAGAGAGAGAGAGAGGGAGAGTAAGGTAAAGAAAGAAGGTGGGGTAAAGTACCCTTCAAATCAGCACCCGCGCAAAACGCCCTCCCCTCGCCGGTGAGCACTCCCACGCGCAGATCCGGCTCCTCGTCCATCCATTCCCACACGGTGTGCAGCTCGTGGTGGCCGGCTGTGTTGATGCTGTTGAGTTGTTTGGGGCGGGAGAGGGTCACGAGGAGGACGTGCGGGGAGGGGAAGGATAGTTTGGCGTGTTGGGGGGTTGGGGGGGTGGTTTTGAAGGGCATTTTCTTTTCTTTTTGTTTTCTGGATTTACTTGTGGGAGAATTGGGATGTGGTTCTTTAAGGATTGGATGTTAATGGTTGTTTAGTAGGTGGGTAGGAGGTAGAACGAGGAGCAGAGCAAGGGGTGTTGAGTATAGTAGGGTGTGATGTCTGTCTGTTGTCATCTATATGTGGCACGGTAGATAGAAGCTAGGACGGTTATACTATGGGTAAATCCACTTGCCGAGGCCCGATCTATGTTTACTTACTCCTCTCGATTGAAGTGCGGAGAAGGATCTGCGGTTGTTTTACCTTCTGTGTTGTATGTGTTCTGGGACTACGGAGTATTCCCGAAGGAGTTGCTATTATATACTACGCGCTTTAATTAAGTAAATGTGAGACATGTTTCGGTGTAAAATGATTGATTGTTGTTGCTGTTGTGTTCGCCATGCGTATCTACTCAAGTCATGGCCGTCCTGCTGCCATAACGCCTAACTCCTTTAGAACATGGATATAGAGTAAAACAAGAGTAACACGAGAGAGAGAGAAAAAAAAAAAAAAATCAAATCCACCATCGCTCATTATGCCCATCAACTACGCCTTGTTGATCCATCCGCTGTGCACCATAAAATCGTAGATGCGGTTCGTCTTGGTCCCGTCAATCTGATCTCGTCAGTAATTGTACAAAATGTTTTACTCGAGTAGGGACTCACCTTGCAAATAGTCCTCGCGTCTTTCTTCTTCAACGTCCCGTTCTGCTTCATCGATTCCTTCAGCAGGCTCTCCTTGACCACCAGGTACGGTTTGGGCTGGATGTGCAGCACGTTGCAGAGTTCGACCTCTTCCTTCGTCAGCAGGTGCAGGTCCGGCGCCCCCTCGGTTTCAAGCTTCCACGGGATCACCCCGTTCAGCGGCTGTACCACGAATTTGGTCTTGGCCGGCTGCGGCGTGCTTATCCCGTCTCCGTTGCTGGCGAACATTCGATCGAAATCGTTCATCGGCTGGTTGGCCGGCTCCGGGGCCTTGCCCGCTCCCGACGCCTTTTGCAGCCGCAGAGGGAGCTCCGGCGTGGTCAGCTGGCTGGCCGTGGACGGGCCCTCGGGCTGCGGCGCCTGCTTGGGCCGGGTGCTGGCGAACCGGTCGAAGGCTCCCTGCGGCGCGAGTCGCTGCTGGCGCTGCTGCTTCTCCTGCTCGTATTTTTCGCCGCCCTTCAGGTCGCCGATGCCCATCTGTCGCCATTCTTGTAGTTGCGAGATCGCCAGCCGCAGGTTGTGCTCGTACTCCAGGCCCTTGTTGAACTCCTCGAAGTCGTCGTGGTTCATCATGCGCGCGAACGGCTTCGCTTTGTTCAGGAGGTCGCGCTCTTCCTTGGTGCGTTTTTTCTCGAGCGCTGTGTTCTTGCGGTACTCGAGGAGGTTGTGCTCGAAGAGGATCTTTTTGCGCTCCGTCCGCGCGGTCAGGCGCGAGTTGTAAACGTCCACCACGGTCATCTTCAGCTCCATTTCGGGGTCCATCTCGCCGTTCTCGAGGCCACCGGCGCCGGGCTCGAACGTCATATGCTGCACCGCCTCCTCCGCGTCGTTGAGGAATTCCGTCTCGAACTCCAACCGCCCCGGCATGTACCCTTGCACTTCGTGGCAGGCCGGAACACTCGCCGTCGGCTTCTGCTTCGGCGTCGTCGGCGGAGCCGCTTTGGCTGCATCTTTGCGCTCCTCGATGCGCCGCTTCTTCCGGGACTGGAACTCCTCCTTGGAGATCTCATCGGACAGACGCGTGTCCTCTGGGTCGCCGCGCTCGGGGAGCGGGAAGTTGGGACTATCCACATAGGTGCCGATGTAGTGGTCGCGAACCTCCTCCTTGGTGCGATAGCCACCAATATGGTCCGCAATATCCGCCCACGAACCCAGGCCGTAAATATCCGCGCCCTCCAGCAGCAACAGTTCCTCGTCGGCGCCCCAGTCTGCCTGGAAGATGGGTACCGAATTCTGCTCGATCACCTGGAACGGATGTGTGGAGGGGTCATGGTTCTTGGAGCGTTCGCCTGCAGCGAAGCAGGGAACGCAGAGATCGTATTCATGGCAGGACGGATGCGCACACGAGATTCGGACCTAGATTGGTGGGGTACCGGTAAGCTCGAACCATCCGGGGTACAACAACAATAACAAGCAAATTCCACCCCCCATCCACGAATCAGTAGTAGAGGAAAGCCTTACTGTCGAGGTCACATCCACTGAACAGATATCACAGTGATATTTGGTTCCTGCTTCGGTACCGCGCGAAGCGGTTTTCTTCCGTATTACACCCATCGGTCGTGGCTCCCTCTCATCCTCCACTCTTCCCTGATCTGTAGCGCCCACACCTAAAAGCCCTCCTCCGAATCAAGAGGGCAATATCCACACAGTATATCGAACGGAGGTCTGTGTTGGTCCCGGGGGGGAGAGTGAATGGCCGAGATCAAGGGGATGACTCCGCAATAGTCGCGCGACCGAGGACGGGCGACCGATCTATTTTGTCAATAAGGATAATATGATCTGGTTGATGAATTTGACTCTGATCGAAAAGAACGCGCGTTCAAGTGGACGGTTGGTAATTCGGATGATGCGATTAGGAATGTTGAGTTGGGGTCATCCCATTAAGCTCATGTCGGTAGATGCCGTATCGACCGATGGGGTTGTGGCGGTGGCAGTTGTGGCTCAACCCCAGGGGGATCAATGATGCACCGCCCCAGGAGGTGAAACCTGAATGCCTGGGACAGGAGGGTTCCAGGCACTCAGGCAGACAGGCAACCATGTTCCTGAACCAATCAGGGGCCAGTTTAACATACAGTAATTCATAATTTCATCCACCGCAAGACTTAGGTAAGTCACTAATTTAATACCGATTATTCACCCCCTCTCTGTCCCTCTGTCTGTCTGTCGGTCCCTCTCTTGTCTCTCTCTCTTCTTGTCTCTCTCTCTCTCTCCCTCTTGTCTCTCTTCTCTTCCTCACTCTCCCTCTGTCACTCTTATCCCGTCCCTTGTCTCTTATATATTTTCTTTCTCTCCTCCTTCTCCCCTGTTATCCCTCTTCTCTCTTTCTACCCCCCTCTCACCCGGAACAACCTGGGTCGTTGCTACACTCTGTACTGCCGACCCTGGTTTGTTTTCCCATTCGTCTGGTGTTTGGTGTAGATTGCACAATCGTTTCCTCGGTTCCTCTTCCCTTCCCCCGCTGTTCTGGCTGACTAGTCGGTCTTCCCGATCAGCCTCTCTTCTTTGAGTGTGTGTGCGTGTGTGTGCGTGTCAACTGCTGACCGCTGTGGCTGTGGCGTCCCTGCATATCTCCCTTGGGCTACTTGGGACTCTCTCATTGACTCTTTCACGCCTCGAAGGATCTCTCACTCTCCTCTCTCTTACCTTTTTAAATCGGGTATCTCCCCGATTGATCCTTATCTCTTCAACCTCCCTTTCTTGGACTTCCAAGATCCCCTCATGACCATGTCGTGGAAACTCACCAAAAGTATGTTCAGTTGGTCTTCCCCTCCCCTCCATATTACCCTCTTCCGTTCGATCTATATAAGTCATCCGATACGAATCCTCAAGTCGGGGCTGCGGGACGAATGCTGACGAGTCGTTGCCCAATCTAGAATTAAAGGAAACCCACCTTGCTCCTTTAACCCAGACCTTTGCGCGGTCCTCCTCGACTTCCACTATCAAGGGCGACGCCGCTGAAGAGGCTCCGACGCCGGTGGCTACCCAGTCCCCAAGCAGCGTGTCCCCCAACAATGGAATCAGTATGTTGCTTCCCATCACCCTTTTTCCTCTTATCATGCCTACCTATCCAAAGGCTATCGCCATCCCCGTGTCTCCCATATCTTCCATTGCTAACATGTGATAAGCTGCCTCGGAATCCCTGGTCTCCCCGCCCGTCGCTCCGGTGAAACCCGGTATCCTCATCGTCACCCTCCACGAAGGCCGAAATTTCGCCCTTTCCCCGCACTTCCAGCAGATCTTCGCCTCGCATTTCCAGAACAACAATGCGTATCCCGTGCGCCCCAGTTCCTCTTCCTCCCACGCGGCGCATGGCCAGGCTGCCTCCTTCGTACAAAGCGCTCGTCCCCAGTCCACCAGCAGCGGGATCAACAACGCCCCCACCATCCATGGCCGTTACTCCACCAAGTACCTTCCGTATGCCCTCCTGGATTTCGAAAAGAATCAGGTGTTCGTCGATGCCGTGTCGGGAACCCCGGAAAACCCGCTCTGGGCCGGTGACAACACCGCCTTTAAATTTGATGTGTCGCGAAAGACGGAGTTGAACGTCCAACTGTACCTGCGGAACCCCGCCGCGCGCCCGGGTGCCGGTCGGAGCGAGGACATCTTCCTGGGTGCCGTCAAGATCCACCCGCGCTTCGAGGAGGCGGCTCCGCCGTATGTGGAGGATCCGAAGCTCAGCAAGAAGGACAACCAGAAGGCGGCCGCGGCCCACGCGAGCCAGGAGCGCAACACAGGCCAGGGCCAACATGGCAATGACTGGATAGACCTCCAGTTTGGCACCGGTACCATCAAGGTCGGCGTATCCTTTGTCGAGAACAAGCAGCACAGCTTGAAGTTGGAGGACTTCGACCTCCTCAAGGTCGTCGGGAAGGGTAGCTTTGGCAAGGTCATGCAGGTCATGAAGAAGGATACGGGCCGGATCTATGCTCTCAAGACGATCCGTAAAGCGCACATCATCTCGCGGTCCGAAGTCACGCACACCCTCGCCGAGAGGTCTGTCTTGGCCCAGATCAACAACCCGTTCATCGTCCCTTTGAAGTTTTCGTTCCAGTCCCCCGAGAAGTTGTACTTCGTGCTCGCCTTTGTAAACGGAGGCGAGTTGTTCCACCACCTGCAACGGGAACAGCGTTTCGATATCAACCGCGCCCGTTTCTACACCGCGGAACTGTTGTGCGCGCTCGAGTGTCTGCACGGGTTCAAGGTCATCTACCGAGACTTGAAGCCCGAAAACATTCTCCTCGATTACACCGGGCATATCGCGCTCTGTGATTTTGGTCTGTGCAAGTTGGATATGAAGGACGAGGACCGAACAAACAGTAATTTCCCCCCCACCCGTGTCTCTGCTTCGTACGCCTTGGAATTGCTAACCCTGTTTCACAGCATTCTGTGGCACACCCGAGTATCTTGCCCCCGAGCTGTTGCTGGGTAACGGATACACGAAAGCGGTCGATTGGTGGACGCTGGGTGTCCTTCTTTACGAGATGTTGACTGGTCTTCCTCCGTTCTATGATGAAAACACCAACGACATGTACCGGAAGATCCTCCAGGAACCGTTGACGTTCCCCAGCAGCGACGTGGTGCCTCCCGCCGCTCGGGATCTCCTGTCCCGATTGCTGGATCGGGACCCGGAAAGGCGCCTGGGTGCCAACGGTGCCGCGGAGATCAAATCTCACCATTTCTTCGCCAATATCGATTGGCGTAAGCTGCTTCAGCGGAAGTACGAGCCCAGCTTCCGCCCCAACGTGGTATGTTTTGGATCCTGTTTTTTTCCCCAATCGTTAAGGGCAATGCTAATCTGCTCAGGTCGATGCCCGCGATACCGCCAACTTCGACCGCGAGTTCACCCAGGAGGCACCGCAAGATTCGTATGTGGACGGTCCGGTTCTGTCTCAGACGATGCAGCAACAGTTTGAAGGCTGGTCCTACAATCGGCCGGTCGCCGGTCTCGGGGACGCAGGTGGCAGTGTGAAGGACCCCTCGTTTGGTAGCATTCCCGAGTAGATGGACTCAACCCGGTTAGAAACGATGGCCTGTTCAAGTTCGCTGCTTGGGGAGCGGGAATTGGCTCGAGGTCCATAGAGAGATTGTTTGACACTAGTCTTTCTTAGCCCTCTCCTTCTACTACCTTGCATCCTTCTTCTGTACCCAGCTCACAAAGCTCGGGTTCTCGCATGTTTGCTTCTGTTATTGGACAACTTCATCTTCCCCCACATCTTTTTCCCCCGAGACAGTGATCTCAGCTGAGCGCTTTCTGTTTCTTGTACCTTTTGCATTTGAGATACAATCAAGGCAGGTTCCTATCAGTCTGTTTTCTGTTTTACACTCTTCTCTCCCACGCAGGTGGGTGAGGGGGGACTCTTTTTCGACGGTGTCATATACACACGTATCTATTTCCCTACCTATCATGTCTCGGGTTTGCATCACCATCGTCGTCGTCATCATCAACAACAACTGTTATTTCCAACATATAAATATGCACACAAAAAGACCGCTCGTTCTGTCGGGTTATATACGGCTTGTGTCTTTGGAAGTAAGAAACCACAGCACAGGTCTTTGGATAAATGGAAGTTGGGATTACACCGTGTATGTGTTTCCTGAGTTACTCCACATCCACTGCCCCCCTCCAATCTCCATCACATGTGATCTTGGCTCGTAGGGCTCTCTAGTCTCGTTGCGGCTGCTTTAACAGTTTCTTGCCCTCATGCGTCGATTTGCTCATTCAATCTGCCTATGCACACGCCTTTCCGTAAAGTAGATCTAACGCGGGAATTAGGAACTACCTTTCTTTCTTTCTTTCTTTCCCCCTCCCCCACCACACCCGCTTCTGTCCCTCTTTTCATCTTGGTGCAGTGACTGCTCACTCAGTAGACAGATGATGATATATGTAGTACATAAAATCCGCTGTTATCATCGTTCGTCATAGGAGTAGAGTAGTATCCTCGGAGAAGAGAGTCGAAAATGGGACGAAGATGGTTGAGGGTTTGTTTTGTTTATTGAGTATGTCGCAGTTTGTCTAGAAAAGGTTTACAGGCGCGGGAGGAAGAAGGGACACTCACTGAACACGGTTTACAAGATGGTGGAGGGGGAGATAGTTATGAAATGATATAAAATAGGTTGATGTTGATATACGGACGCAGGTAGTTCTAAAAAAAAACAGGTATGTCGAAACAATAGAAAGAATAAAAAAAAAAAGTAGAAGGGATAATGAGAAATCCTGAGTCCCAGCCGGTTTTGCGAAAGAAATGGAAGAACAGAAGAGAAAAAAAAATAAATAAATAGATAAAGCAAAATACAGATTACCATGTCTACCACATGCTGATATCAAAGGGTGTTTGTTGATCTTTCTTTGTTTCTCTTCCTCGTGAGAAAAAACTCCAGGGTCCAGTCCAGGCACACTTTATCCATACATTTGTCATTCACGGGCTTCGCTCCACCGCAAGGAGAGAGAAAGAGAAAGATTGGGGGAAATTGGGGGAATCGAATCTATGCCGACACTTTACGCCTCGGCCTCCACCTCCGGGGCACCGTTCTCTGCCGTTTCGGGCTGGCCTTCCTCGTCTTCACCGTTGACGTCGATGAGCGACTCCGAGGAGGGGGGCTGCGGGGCGACACCCTCCTTCTCCAGACGGATGTACTCGTCCCACTCGGGGAACAGGTCGTCGTCCGTGGCGGTGGCGTTGGGGGCTCCGGGCGGCACACCGATCAGACGAGAGGTCTTGGACTTGCCGGCCTGGTCCAGGGATGCCTTCCACTGCATGACGAGCTCGGGGGCGCGGGAGGGCTTGTAGGTCTGCGCGAAGAGGACGGCCTCTGCGAGGCGGTTGGTGCGCACAAGGAGGTCAATGCTGCCGTCCACGTCACCGAGAGACCAGAGCGTGGAGAAGGCGACGTTGTGCAGGCCGGCTTCGGAAGCTTGTGTGGCCAGCTGAGCCAGCCCGTCCTTGTTGCCGCTGGCGGTGTGCAGGAGGAGGAGCGAGCCCAGGTCTTTGGCGTTGGAAAAGCATTCCTGCGCCAGAGACAGGTTCCACCCGGCCATCGCGGCGTCACCGACGATCTTCCACTTGTGTTCGACGTTGGCTTCGCGGGCGATCTCGAGGGCAATCTCCAAGTTGTTGAGCGAGAGCGACAGCTCGAAGCGGTGTTCTTGGTCCGTGGCAACCTCAAGCGCCATCTCCTTGTACCCCTGGCCCTCGAGGAACCGGGCGACCTTGTTCATCTGGTCCTGGGGAACGTCGTTCAACAGCTCCGCGGCCAGGTCCATGTCTCCGCGGAGTACCACGGTCTGGTATTCGACCATGCTGAGGGAGAGACCGAAGGAAACGACATTGACGTCCTTGTCGGCGAGATAGATCCGTCCATCGCGAGGCAGATAACCAAGGACGTACATCCCCTGGTCGAAATGCGAGATAGTGTAGGTCTGATCACCCACGAGGTAGTTCAGACGGTTCGTCGAGTTGGTATAGATAAAGCAGTCTCCAACCCACTCGCCAGTTCTGACAGAGTCGTTGATATCGGTCACCACTTCGAAGGCCGACTCGACTCCGTCCTCGTCAGCTTCGCCCTCGTTCAAGCCATTGACATAGTTCTCCCGCGAGAATCGCAAGACATAGAAGGATTCCTCGCATGCGAGCGTAACCAGCTCCCCAGACTCGGACCAGTAAACCTATTCAAAATATAAGCAACCAAATCTTGAAATTGTGGGGGAGGGGAGGACTTACAGCCTTGGGCTCAACTTCAATCCGGCGGACCAGGTTTCCAGTCTCCCAGTCGAACATCCCAATTCCACCTTGTCCCTTCACACCGAGGAGGACACCGTCGGTGAGACCTTCGGCTTGGAATCCTACGTCGAGACCACCACTAACTTCCTTGAAATTCTTGAAGATCTTGACGCTAGTGGGGGACTCGCGGATGGCATAGTCATTGCTATTATCCTTGGAGCCCCACGCGAAATCAAGGGCCTGTCCGAAAGCCTTATTCCGCCAAGCGAGAGCAGTGTAAATGATGTATTCACCGTCGCCGCAGACAGAGACGAACCGCCCGTTGGGAGAGTGGGACAAGGTCTGCGGGTAAACTTCGCAAGAGCCCAGATCCTTCGTCGGTAGGGAGATGGGAGCCCCATCCTTGATGGTAGGGTCGGACCCCTTAATGACTGTCGAGACCACTTCGCTATGTCTGGCCCAGACGATCTTGCCTGACCCGTCCATGGAGACAGCAGGTTCTTCTCTACCCATCTTCACAACCACCGCACCATCGTCGAAACCCATGGCAACTCCCTGGCGGCCACGCTGATAGGCAATACACCAAGCGCGCTCCAGGCCATAGCTTAGCGATTGTTCCAGCCTATAGGTGTTGGCGTGCCAGATCTTAATAGTTCCATCCTCGGAACCCGAGATAATAACGGGCAGTTCCGGATGGTAGCAGGCAAAGGAGACATTGCTGGTGTGCCCCTCCAGTGTCGCGATGAGCGCCTTGGTCGTATAATCCCATACCTTGACAGTCCTGTCATCTGAGGTGGTGAGGAGGTAGGGCTTGTCCGCCTGCGGGTAGTAATCGACGTGGTTCACGCCCTTGGTCTCGTGAGCCTCCAACGTGAAATTGGCATGCGGGGAGCCAAGGCTCCAGATCTTCACGGTGCGGTCCAAGCACGCCGATGCGAACGTATTCGTGTCCTTGGGGTTGATCGACAAGCCCATAACATAATGGCTGTGACCCTCGTACACCTGAACGCACTTCCAGCCCTTCTCCCAATCCCACAGCTTGATTGTCATGTCATCGGAGGCGGTGAGGACAAAGGGTTGGGTCGGGTGGACGGCAATCGAGCGAATGTAGTCGGGATGGGCCTCGAACGAGGCAATCTTCTCGGAGGTGTTGTAGTTGTAGATACGGAGTTGGAAGTCATCGGAGCCGCAGACGATCCAGTTCTTGCGGGCAATAAAGCGACCGGCGCGAACAGGGACGTCCGTGAGTTCGAAAGTTTTGATGATAGACTAGAACACCGCAGGTCAGCTATGCATCTACCGCCATTGCTTCATCGAGCTTACCTGGGTCTCATAAGACCAGATGTAGACATGGCCTGTCTTGGGGTTAGCGCGTTCCAACAGGCCATTGCGAGTGGTTATTCCTTCTACCCACCACTATAGAGACTCGTCAAGATCTAGACTGTAGTTAGCACCGTATACACCTGTCATAAATACGGACACACTCACCCATGGTTCCGTTGGGTGGAAGTCAATACCCTTCACCCGCTCCGACCGGGCGAAGAGTTGTCTCTAGAATTGCGGCAATCGTTAGCCTCCCTGTTATGTAGCCTGCACAATGTTTCCAGAACCTGTCACATCCGTCCACCTGCCCAAGCGGCACCCATTCGGAGAGCTGTCCTCGTACCTTGATATCCAATCTCATGATGTGTGGGGTGTGAGAGTCGAGACTCTGTGCGGTGTCGGGGATTGACCTGTAAAAAGGAGCGCAAACCAGGCCACGAGCGGCTCACACAGCCAAACCCGGAGCTATAAGAATGTCGTTTTAAAAAACTGAAAATCGCAAATCGCAATGTCGGAAGCAAGCAAAGGTCCCGACTAGAATGGCAAGCCAGGTTTATGGAGATGTTCAGGGACCGATTGACAGCGATGTGTCCACAACAAGTCGGGATCCCGCCTGGACGCCCGCTTCACCGCCTACGCTTTCGGGGCCCACCATACATCGTCACTCCCTTACCAGATGACTAGCAAAATGATACGTGGGGTGTGTTACGGTCTCAATTGATTGGCGTGCGCTACTTAAAATAGAATAGAGACCTTTATAAGATCGCAATTGCACATCTTTTATCATCATGGTGTAAAGGTACTAGTTAAAAGCATGGTGGCCTACCACACTATCACACCAACAGGGAGCCCCCCTTAGAAACGCATGATGTGCGGATTTGGACCAACCCATCTCCCTGCAGATGCCCTAGGAAAAGAGACAGACAAGGACATATAAAAGATGCTGTTGTATCGAAATGGATGCTTTTTCTATTCGACACACAATGGGTAATAAATACAGGTTCGAGATTAACGATTAAGAAAATCTTCCATTAGAGACCTTTACGTGCGCTCAAAGTAAGACCACTGGCCAGGGCTAGGCTTCTCAGCGAGCTCCTCCCACCTAGACAAAGTGTGAGTACGAGCTGCAACAAATTCGACATGGGTCTCAACGGAACACTTACACCTTGGAGTTGTACATCTCATCCACGAGCTTGTTCTCGCGCTCCGCAACCTGGATGACCTCCTCGATCAGGCCGGCGCCAATCTGTTTCTCAATCTCCTCGACCCTGGAATTAACGTGTCAGTAACTCTACTCTTCGGGTATGGTTCGACAATAGACATGGACGATGACGTACTGGTCAGCCAGGAGAGCAGGCTCATTCTCCCACTTCATCTGCTCGGTTTGGAAATCCCAGGAATCCTTTTCAGTCTTGGTAGCCTCATCAATGCTCTTGGCCCATTGCGCCTCCTGTGCTGCCGTGCGGTGAGGGCCTTCGGTAGTCGGCTCAATCTGCTCACCATCCCACTCCTCGCCACGGGGATCATCGGTCTGGTCATCACGCTGATGGGCAGCATACGTGCCATCGGAGCGACGAAGAGAGGCGAACCGCTCGGGCTCCGCGGCCACGGCCTTCCGGGCGCGTTCTAGCCAAGCATCGAATCCAGGCGGCTTGGTCGACTCGACGATTTGGAGACGGTGGTTGGTCAATGCCTCGGTGGACTGGCGGTAGACCGACGATTCGGGGAAAGACTTCAATTTCTGCAAGGTAGAGGTGTAGAGAAAGATCAAAGTCGGGCGGGGACTCGGATGGGTTTGGAGACCGGTCAACCCAGTAGGAGCGAAAGGCTCGAGGTAGCGGGCCTGCTTAACGTTGGCCAGCAGCCGAAGTGTCGATCGCATCTTGAATGTGTAATTCTGTTCTTGTCGGGATTCAATTCGGAATTGAATATAGTATATTGGTCGTCAACAGGTCACGGAGGGAATTGACCCAAAAGTTGGTTGGATAGACCCAATGATAGACGGGCTAATGATAATGTGAAGTTGAAGCGCACCGGAGCTCGGGGAAACCGATGTTCCCGGATCGTCACTTTCGCTTTCCCTGCCGGACACTAAAGACTTCTAAGCCTTCTAACGACCACTTAGACTATTCTCGGACTTTATCGATTCATACCCATCCCGGTCGGTTGATAGGGGGCTTTCTTGTCAACGTCACCCCTCTGTTTTTCTTCAATCGTCCTTTGCTTTAAGTCCTTTGAGGCCCTCCGGATATAGGATAGGCTTCTCTCTGGTTCAACATAAATTGGTCCTGTTCTCTCCTTTCCACTGCGGTGGTCAAGTCCAACCCGGCTTTGTTGGCCACTGGGCCCGCTTCTAGACCTTCATTAGGCCCATGTGCCACCCTTAATCACCCACCACCATTTCAACATCTCCCGTGTGAGATCGCTTTCGCTTCGATCCTCGCTTTCACTCTCTATATCGAATTAAAAGCCTTCCGGCTTTGACCTCTCCCAATATGAGGACGTCTTTGCTGGCGTGGTCCCTCCTCTCGCTTTTCGCAATTCCCACCCTCGCCGCTCCCTCCAATGACCAGCATGTTGAACCGCGAAAGAACCACCTGGTGAAAAGGTCCCCGCGATCTGGAGCGGCTGATTTCGATAAGCCAACGACGTTCAATGGTATTGTCGTGCCGCCGATGAAAACGTTAACCCCCGACAATTTTGAAGAGACAGTTAAGGATGGCTACTGGTCAGTATTGCTTGTCCCCTCCGCGACCCCGGTTGTTTCGTTTGATCGCCACCTAACTGTCACAAAGGTTCATCAAGTTCTACTCCCCCGCTTGTCCCCATTGCACGAAGATCGCTCCGGCATGGCAGACCCTGTACGAATACTACTACGTGAGTGTGGAAGATCCCTTTTGGTGGCCCTTGTTCTTACGCCTAGTAGACGTCCGATCCTTTGTCCTCGTCTTCCTCGAAACCGGTCGACACCAAGTCGTTGAACTCCTTCCAAGGGTTCTATAATTTCCGTTTCGCCTCGATGAATTGCCAGGTTTATGCGGACAAGTGTACGGAGTTGCAGGTCAACTACTACCCACTCTTTGCCCTATATCACGACGGTCAATCGGTTGAAAACTACGACGGTGCCAGGACCATCAACGGCATTGCCGAATTCGTTGAAGGGAAATTGGAGTTGATCAAACCGGGTTCCCGACCCCCAACTGGTGTTAAGATGCCAAAGCCGGGTGCCCAGTTCGCAGACACCGCTGCTGAGCCAGAAATTCCTGCCTCCAAGGACAAAGACCCTGAGGCGGGTGCCAAGGCGGGTGAAAAACACAATGAACAGGTGGCGCAGCTGTCCGCAAAGGATGCTACCGGGAAGGATGCACCAGTGCAGAAACCCAAGCCCAAGCCCAAGCCCAAGCCCGCCAACCCTCAGGGGCTCTCTGTTCCGCTGACTGCGGAAAGTTTCCAGAAGCTAGTCACCACTTCTCAGGATCCCTGGTTCATCAAGTTCTATGCACCTTGGTGTGGTCATTGCCAGGCGCTGGCTCCCAACTGGAAACAGATGGCCAAGGAAATGCAAGACACTTTGAATGTTGGTGAAGTGAACTGTGACGTCGAATCGAGACTCTGCAAAGACGCCCATGTGAGCGCCTTCCCCACAATGTATTTCTTCCGCGGTGGGGAGAGGGTCGAGTACGATGGCCTCCGGGGACTCGGTGATCTGATCAGCTATGCCAAGAGCGCTGTCGACATCGGCGGGGGTGTTCAGGATGTTGATGCAGCCGCCTTCAAGGAGCTGGAGGAGAAAGAAGAAGTGATCTTCTTATATTTCTACGATCATGCCACTACCTCTGAGGATTTCGCGGCGTTGGAGCGCCTGACGCTTAGCTTGGTCGGCCATGCCAGGCTTGTCAAGACCAACAGTGCGGCTTTGGCCGAGCGTTTCAAGATCTCGACATGGCCCCGTCTCCTTGTCGTTCGCGATGGACGTCCCAACTACTTCAATGCGTTGACTCCCAAGGATATGCGCGACTTCCGACAGATTCTGGGGTGGATGCGTACGGTTTGGCTGCCTATCGTGCCAGAACTGACTGCCTCCAATGCCCGCGAAATCATGGATGGCAAGTACGTTGTCCTTGGCGTCTTGAGCCGGCGGCACTCGGATGAGTTTGTGCAGGCAAAGAGGGAGCTGAAAAATGCCGCTCTTGAATGGATGGACAAGCAGACCCAGCTGTTCCAGTTGGAGAGGAAGGAGCTTCGGGATGCCAAGCAGTTGCGCATCGAGGAAGCCGATGACCGTGACGACCAGCGAGCCTTGCGGGCCGCCAAGAACATGCGTATCACCATCCGCGAGGATGACAAGAAACAAGTTGGCTTTGCCTGGGTCGATGGTGACTTCTGGGAGCGCTGGCTGAGGAGCACCTTCGGCATCGATGTGGACAGCGGTGAGCGAGTCATCATCAACGATCAGGATGTAAGTGCTTCGCCAGCAAGGGTGTGAGGTTGAGATATCAAAGCTAACTGTCACAGAACCGTCGCTATTGGGACTCTTCTTCTAGCGGAGCTTCCATCATGGCCTCGCGTACTTCTATCCTGGAGACCATCCCGCTCGTCATCCACAACCCACCCAAGCTGAGCTCCAAGTCTACCGTGGGTACCTTCGAGTCGATCTTCTTCTTCACGCGGACCTTTATCTCCACACACCCCATCATCTTTGTCATCATCTTGGTTGTCTCCATTATCACGGCTACCCTCTTGGCCCGAGGAAAATTCGCCCGTCGCGTTCGCGGCGGTATTCTAGGCGTCGCTGGCAGTGGGTCAAGCGGACTTTTCCATTTCGATGGAAAGGACGGCATTTTGAATGGGAACGGAACTGGAAAGGTTGATTGATTGGGAACGCATAGCATTGTACATCTAGGTCTTTTATACATCTTCTTATATTCGACCTTCCCATTTTAGTTCCCCGGAGTTGGCTTATATTTGGTACAGATTTATAAGGCTCAAGGGGTTTCGGATATTGATACTTAGGATAATCATCTGTCACTATCCTCCTGCTGCTTTTCTCTTTTCTGTCCAAGTTATTGTCTTGTTTACTTTGCCCTTCTTGTTAATTTTCCAGGATGAGTGGTGTTAGGAGGATTGAAGTTCGTGAACCATTATTGTTATGAAATAATCCAAGAGCAAAATACGATACCACTGGACAAACCAATCTAGCTGTTTGATATACGATCCTCTGATGGTTGCTAGTAGACATGTGGTAGTATGTGCAGGGTTTTACGTGTGCTTGAGAATAATCCATCATCCGCACTTCGGACAATTTCCGCGTAAATTGCAAAGTCAGTAGACAATATGTCAAAAGGGCGGTTATTCAAGAGTTCACAATCTCCACGAAGTTATCCATCCTCATCAATGGATAGAGTGGAAATGCCGCTCATCTGATTCGCAGTCCCGTGCTGTCACGTGACGTGTAATGGCCACCGCTGATTGGTCCTCGGGTTGCCGCAAAGCATTCATCGTCGCGGAGTCTCCCGGTTTTCGTCTCCCGCACCCAGCTGTCCACGTCAACTTACTCCCAATCGCCGAATTGAAACCTCGAGTCCGAGTGGCTTTTGAAGAATAGAAGTCATGGTATGTTATTTTTTTGTTTCTCTGAGGTGGTTTGACTGGTTCTATTGGGACAATGACACGCACGCTTTGGGTCGCACGGTCTCGATGACGTCCGGATCGGTCGAGTTATGGGCTGGTGGTGGTTCTATATGCGAAGAGGATTTGGGGGAGGAAGGAAGGAGTTGGATTATATGGTGCTTGTGCTAACGGGTGAATTGATATAGTTCTCTCAGACCCTTCGCCGTGCTGCGGCCCAGACTGCTGGTGCCTACCGCTCGCCCTTTGCGCCCAAGTGAGATTGAACCCCCGTGTTTCCCAGTTGTTGGAGGAATATTTAGCCGGCACACGCTGTGGACGATGCATGATGATTGTTGGATTCTGGCTGGGAGGCTTGGTCGGCTTCCGCGGGGATGCGTTTCGGCGTTCTTTGCGGCTCTCGGCCTAGTCTACGTCGTGGTTGAATTTGAACCGGTGCCGGTTGAAGCGGTCGTCAGCTAGGCTCGCGGATGGTACATTCTTATACTCGAATATCTGGGCTGACTGGTCTTCGCTCGATTCCTAGATACACCACTCCTCCCCACTTCCAGGGCTTCACCCCCAGCCTCGCCACCAAGTAGTGAGTACCGCCCGGTCTTTTCGATCTCTACCAAATGGCTGGCTTCGCGGGCCAACATAAGGGACAATGGGCGCTAATGTTTTGGGAATCCAGTGCTACGATTGCTAGCACCTTCGGTGTCAGCGCCGGTGTCTTCCTGATCTTCTTCCTGGGTGAAATTCCCCGGGTTCGCAACGACGTCCTCCGCCAGTTCCCCTTCCTGGACCAATACTATGACCGCCGTATTGCTCCCGAGGACAACGTATGTTTTGAGATCTCTGGCTTTTCAAAAGTGTTTGAATTATCTGGTCTGGTGCTGACTTTTTGCCTAGCCCTTCTAAACGCTCTCAGAGGGTGAGGTACTTTGCTGCCGTCCCGCAGTGTTAGCAGGATATCTAGAACAGATTCCGAGGCGGGCAGTTGGCATTGTACTGTGTAGAATAGCGATGGGTTTTGATAGCACATAGAACATGTCCACCTGGAAATTTCTCCTTTGTCTTCCAATAGTGACCCCTGTCTCCGTTACTTGGTCTCGAGCATCCAAATCGACAAGGTCGACCATGTGCGCACCTAGGTCAGTACCCTGGGCCTGATATAGGTTAGCAGCCCTACTCGGGATAAATCAGAGTGTACGTCCAAGTAGGTATGACAATAGCAGGTGAAACATTACGCTAAGATATATTCCTTCTGAAATATGTCTCCGGTAAAGTTCAGCCCCCGATGCAAGAGATATCCGAGATGAAACGGGCTGTCCAATCAAGTACAAACCATCGTTCCTCAACTCCCTAACACTCAAGTTATTATCCCAGGATGGAGACTAAGAGTTGGTACAGAGGGCTGAGAGTGCTCTAGTAAGGGGTTGCTTATCTCCCGCCTTATCGGGCGATGGCTGATAAGCACCACTTCCGACTCCATCCAATCTCTCATCCTTTCATTTCATCCCCATCATTCGCCATCTGCTATCTACTAGTCAAAGCTCTCTCCAAGCTTCACGTTACGTCTACCGCGTGAAGTTTCCCTGCTGAGCCTAGGTCCTCTTGGCCAAGCTTTGCGGTTTGACCGTCTGGAAGGTCAAAGATAGCCCTGCTGTACACAGCCAGTAAGCATCAAGACGTCCCGTGAGGGGGTGCATTCCAACCCGATCTCTTGCCCAGAACTGGTCCAATCTGAGTCGCGCTGGATACGATGATCCCTGCCCCCCTGCGGGTCTTGGGACGCAATCTGACCTCGTGCCGACTATTATCTGCTGTTTCGCGATCCGTTCGGGCCCTATGGGGAAGTGAGTGCTGTCGCGGAACTCCTATCAAGATTGTCGAATGCCTTAGGGCAGGATCTATGCCACTTATTTCGTGCCCCCCTGTCTGGGGGTGATGTATGTGGAGATCGCGATGGATTTATATAAAGTGGCGGCGATGTGTCCCCATCGTGCCTGCCAAATGCATGAGGCAAGTACTCGGCAGGGAAGGAGCGATTGATCGGCAAACGAGGTGTGGTTGGCTCTTGCCTTGTTTTACTTTGGGCTGCTTGCCATTCTTTCCACAAGGACCGGTTGTTTGTTACTCGCCTGTCAAAATATTCGCTGTTTCGATTCATGTGCGAGCGGCTCCTCCTTCCTGCCATCGTTCTAGAACAGATATTCTCGCCTCACGGCGCGAACAAGGATCGATATGGCAACCACGCCAGATAAAATGTCAGATAAAGCAAGCCCGAAGCGGCAGTTGTACGCTGATGTCGTCCATGATCCCGTCACCAGCGTCCTCCCTCAGGGGGACATTCCCTACACCGACCATGCAATGGACAATGACGAAGCGGTGATCACGGCACTGGGATATAAACAGGAGTTCAAACGGGAGTTCTCATTATGGTCGACATTCTGTGTGAGTTTTGCGGTTTTGGGGCTGCTCCCGTCATTCGCGAGCACCCTCTACTATGGTATGTTTTCTTCTTCCCCCGCTTTGCATTTGACTTTCTTTTGTGCAACAGTAAACTGACGCTGTCAAAGGAATGGGATACGCAGGGACGGCAGGAATGGTATGGGGCTGGATTGTCGCCATGGTGTTCATTCAGTGCATTGCAATGTCCATGGCTGAGCTTTGTTCTGCGATGCCTACGAGGTAAGACTAGTCGCTGTTCCCCGGTCTTAGGCAGGATCTGATACTTGATCCAGCGGTGGGCTCTACTACGCAGCGGCCGTTCTTGCGCCTCCTGGCTACGGGCCATTTGCGGCGTGGATCACAGGGTGGTCCAATTGGATCGGCCAGCTCACTGCAGCTCCGTCGGTGAACTATTCTCTATCAGCGATGATCCTAGCAGCGGGCTCGATCTACGACCCGAGCTATACGCCCACTCAGTGGCAGGTCTTCCTTTTGACCACGCTCATGATGATCATCCACACGGTGATTAGTAGTTTGCCCACGAAATGGGTGGCCAGCTTCAACTCCTGGGGTTCCACTTTCAACATGATAGCTCTCGTGGCCGTCATCATCGCCATTCCGGCGGGGACCAAGAACGAACCCAAGTTCACACCCTCAAAAGAGGTCTGGGGCACCATCACCAACTTGACTGACTTTCCAGATGGCGTTGCTGTGCTCATGACCTTTGTTGGTGTGATTTGGACGATGTCCGGGTACGATTCTCCGTTTCACCTCAGCGAGGAGTGCTCCAACGCGAACATTGCTTCGCCGCGGGCAATCGTCATGACCTCGGGCGTCGGAGGTCTCATGGGCTGGTTCTTGCAGCTCGTGGTTGCCTACACCGTGCTCGACATCGAAGCCGTGATAGACTCGGATCTCGGGCAACCATGGGCCTCTTACTTGCTGCAGGTTATGCCGCGGAGAACCGCCATGGGCATCCTCGCCCTGACGATCATCTGCGGGTTTTCCATGGGCCAGGGGTGTATGGTAGCCGCGTCGCGTGTGACCTATGCCTATGCACGCGACGACTGCTTCCCACTATCCAGGTGGTGGAAGGCGGTGCACCCGCGCACCCAGACCCCCGTGAACGCCGTCGTCCTCAATGCCGTGTTGGGCATACTCATGTGCCTCCTGATCCTGGCCGGCGATGTGGCAATTGGCGCTCTATTCTCTATCGGTGGAATCGCGCAGTTCGTCGCCTTTGCCATCCCCATCTTTATCCGGGTGTTCTTCGTAGGTCATCGGTTCCGCCGGGGGCCGTGGCACCTGGGTCCGTTTGGCCCGTATATTGGCGCGGTAGGCGTGTCTTTTGTGCTCCTGATGGTCCCCATCCTCTGTCTTCCCAGTTACACAGGGGGTAATTTAACGCCCGATGTCATGAATTGGACGTGTCTGGTGTGGGGAGGCCCGATGCTGGCGGTGACCATCTGGTGGGTTATTGACGCGCACAAGTGGTTCGCTGGGCCCAAGGTCAATGTCGAACATAATATCCATCCGATCAGAGAGGAATCCTCGATGATTGTGACTTTGGGGGAGGAGATTGATGGTAGTAGCCAACCAGTGGACACATCCAGTCAGTCTATGTGATTGTGATGGCAGTAGCATACCACCTACACAATACGATCAATGTTAGACACGATGTCCGCGAAGTCCGGTAGCTTCTATGCCTGTACGTGTGGGATCAATTAGGAACACCAGCGAGATCTGCTACGCATGCTTAAGGACTTAAAAACCAGGACACCATAATCAACGCATCTTACAGCTATACAACAAGCATGATCTCAAGCCACCCAAATCAATTCGAACACAAGCCTATCGGCAGAGCCATAGGTCGTCGACGCATCCGCGGTGCCACACGCCGATGTTCTTTGCTCTCGTGGAAGGACACGGGTGCTCGTGTCTGCTACTGTCTGAATCCGGGACTTACCAGGGCAGAACTAACATCGATATGACAAAATTACATACGAATGTTGAGCATGGAGTGAAATGACGGATATAATAGCATATACCAATTAGCATACACCATAAACACACAAAGACGCAGTCCCGTCAAAAAAGGATAGACACGTGGATATGTTTATAGACAGTGTACTACACCCATATAAATCAATCCAAGATATACTGGGTCTTATAGATATATGCATGTATATCAATCAGTGGAGCAAGCAGCAAGTCAACCCAGATCAACCCGTACCATTCCATCCGCCCTCCCTCCACCCTCCACCACCCCCGAGGCAAAGACCCAGCAAGGGCTCCACCAGCTGATCTGAGACGGCGGTTCCCCGTGGATCTATCTGTCGACGCTCGGTCAAGTTGCGCTTTACTCCCGGCATAGGTATTGTTTGCTTTGCTTGCATTGATAATCGAGCCTACGGAGTACTTTGAAAGTGCACTACTAATCTATCAGCGTAGCGCACACTCACAAAGTGAACCAGATAGTACTAGCTATATAAAGCCAGCCTAACAGTACCAAGAACTGGTTGCTCAAGGGGGTAGGCAGGTAAGTCAGCCCGCTCTGATCCACCGAATCTGAAGAGTCTCCACTGGGGGAGGGGAGGGTGTTTGTCATGATGGAGTAGGAGGGGGTCGGAGGGGGTAGTGCGCGATTGATCCCTGTCGGGTACCTGGGTGTGTGGGTAGTATGTAGGTACTTAGGTAGCTACCGGAGTTAAATATGGGGTGGCTGGAGCGAGATGCTGATTAGAGTTGGGTGGACCGACATTGGCTTTGTATATGCAATATATGCAGGAGTATGGTTTATGACTCTGCCTGGTTAAGGGGATCTTATCTCAGGAGGCTGGGATCGAGTTATGGTCTTGCTTTAGATGGATTTGCTATGTCGGTGCTGTGCATAGACGAGTGCTTCACCTTTGGGTTAATGGTTTAGTTCCATCAATGGTTCGTCTATTCATTTCCCTGTTTATTATGTGACTTCTTCTTTCTACGCCATACTCATAGATTATTTCCACCCGTCCTAATTATATATATAGATAGAAAGATACTCTAGTAACTCCGTACTATACAAGGGTCTACGATAAGTACCAAGTAATGATAAACCCACTATCTACAAGGTTCAATGGGAAAACCCACCCCTGAGCAACTACTGTACTCTAGTCTTGGTAGAATTAATATGGATTGACAGGGGGAAGAGACCGTAGAGAGGAGAGGATTCCACTAATCCGTCGGGTGAAGCTCCGTTCCTGTTGATAATCTAGTCGTCCCCACCTGTAGTATAGTATATACTTCCGTCTCTGTATATACCGTAGTACCTGGAGGTGTAGTTATATAGACTGGTATACATCAATCATTATTGTTCTCGTTACACGTTCATATCACGGGACCAAGACGACCCCGAGTCCATCCATGGTCGTACTGGTCCTACCCTACCCTACCTACACGACAACCCGACCGCGGTCTATAATCAGCCAGTTTCAGACTTTCATGTGGGCGGAAACAACGCGCTTAACCGAGCGGAACGGAAGAAGGCCAAAAAAAGCCGCGGTCAGCCGACTCGAAACCATAACTATCCTGAGCCGTCCGTCTTCAACTAGACGATACGAACTACGGTAGGGACTGACTAGGTGGTAAATCCTAAAAGTTACTAACCTATTTCTGCTCATTCCCACTCAGTCAACCTCACACCCCCCCATGAGGCAAGACTGAATTGAGTGATTTGCCGCTTGACGATGAGGTGGGTGGCGCTCTCTGTTGTCGGATGCGGGCAGTGTATGTATTATTGGTTGACGTCTCTCTACCACCTGGTAAGAGGCATGGAACCTAACCTTGAGGTAAGCCGGAGCCGGATTTCACTCCGGTCAGGTCTGGCAAATCTATTTATGTTTTGTTTTGTTTCATTTTTATATTTTCTGTATTTTGTCGAGGGAGGGAGTACCTGGGTAGGTTACTAGGTCCCTAGTACTCCGTGGATAATGCCAGATTCCAATAAGGGAGGCACAGTGGCAACTTGTTGAGAGTCAAGACCACTGAAAAAGACGGTCGGAAACCTCATTCCGAGTCATGGACGAGATACCCCCGATTTAGGACCGTGAGACACTGATAATACAGGAGTATTTCCCGGATTCGGCGGAATACAAAGTGATATTTAATATAAATAAATAAAAAATAAACAGAAAGACAAAATAGATTAATAAATAATAATCAAGAAGAAAGAAAAAAGAAGAGAGGCGATCTGCAAGCAGGACTTGCAGTAGCGCAAATGGAGCCTTTGGAGTGCTGTCCAATCATTCACTCACTGCCCTGCCGCATCAGGTTAGGAAAGATATCGTTGTTGGAGATGGAGAAATCTCTAGACACTTAAACAGTTGGAGACACTAGACAGTGGGCAGCAATTCTTCGGGTCCCCATTATCCATCTTCGACACCCCTGCCGCTGCTTAATTCTTGATCAGGATTCGGATTGTCTGTTTGCTCCCGCACAGTCCCAGGGCTGGTCTTTTGCACCTGCACGTCGGCATCCTACGAGGCGTCGTACTAACTAACTAACTCATTATCTAAGGTTGCTGTTATCGTAAGATCCGGGAGTTATGTCATCGTTCTGTCCGAGTACGGACTACGGAGTACGTTCGGGCGAATTGACTTTTTCGAGATTGATATGGCCACGAGTTGCCCGAGTCAATTCTCATTTGCCTCGATGGCCGTCTTCAGTCGGTAAGGTACCTAGTAACTCACTGGCGCGTACATGCTAGTCCCAATTTAGATGTTCTACCGCCAGGAAGAAGTATGGAAAGATAATGCCATGTCCGAAAAGACTCGACTTCCTCAACCAAGCCAAGCTTTCCAGCAGCATCTTGACGATCAAGCCGGGCATTTCTTTCTTTTTTCTTTCTCCAGTCCATGAACCCTCCAAAGGATAGCTAGGTGGTTATTCTTCTCAGTTCTTTCCTCAATTGGTCTACGACTGCGTCTAGGGACGATCATGTACTACTGCATGAGGTTAGTAGGTGATTATAGCAGTAGCAGTAGTGGTTAATCCATTAGTATAGTCAAGTTAAGTTAGTAGTCTAACGTCCTAAATAGTCCCGTCCTCCACTACATTCCACGACTATTACAAGAGTTAAACCTTACTAGAAGTTAGAGCCAGACAGAGAGAGCCAGTGTTATACTCCGTTCTCCGTGGAAGTTTCCATGAGCGGGCCATGGGGCCAAACCTTGGGTGGATCACACTGCCGTGATCGGACCGACACATTGGGCGAGGTGCAGCCCTGGGATTCTTGTGTCTTTGGGTGGTAGCGCCCGTACCGGGGTTCCTTTTGTCCGTTTCCCCCCCCCCCTTCCATGGTCCAAGGTGGCAACTCATCCGAGCTATCGTCTGCCGCAATCAATCAGATTGGATTATTGGGCGTATGGTGGTATCTGATTTGTTCTTGGGACTGGTACTAATTTGTTAGGCTTTACGCGTTCCCGTCCTGTGAAAATATATTATTAGGTCCCCGGTTTGAAGAGTTGAGGTGGGAGTTGAGTAGTGTCACGATGTGGCATGACTTTTGATATCCTGTTCTTGACCGCAACTATGAGCGAGAGTTGGGAAGTCCCTCACCTAGGGGGTTATCTTTTATTATTATTATTCATTTCCATTATTTCTGTCCTGTTCTACGTAGTTTGGCCATATCAAACCGGAAGGTCGATGCTGAGTCAGAGCTACACGGAGGGATGGATGCCTCGATCAGGATACTTTCCAAGGTCCAATGGCGTTTAGGTTTCGCAACTGAGTTTGGAATCTTGTCACCACATTAATCTATACCTCGTATGGGGATGTATCTTCAACAGATTGTCTCGACAAATCAAGGACAACGGAACGTTCCCCGAACATACCTACCTACAATATATGCTATCTAGTAATTACTTGAAAACTTGGAAGTACGATATGTACCACGTCCGGACCACGGGAGTCTTCCGTAGGTACAGACAGAGTACAGCTACTACTATCTGCATTCTGCACTCTCCCGCCGTAGTCACCCCCCCCTTTCCCTCTCTCCGACTAGCGATAAACAGCAAAGTTATCCAGTCTGACAATTCGAGGTCCACAATCGAAGCGGGAGAAGCTCTCAGCGAAAATCTCCTGGTGGGGAAAAGGACGCCTGAAGAATTCAAATTGATCGGGGGGGGGGGGGGGGGTGGATGGATGGCTTAGGGATGGATGGAGGGAGGGATCATGTGCCCGAACCTAACCAAGCCTTGCTTACGTATCGACGTGGTCCTCCGGGTGAGAAGGACGGCAGTTTTTGATATGGTTGGATTTTAAATAGATTAATTAATTCGGGGGGTTATTTTAAATAATCTGGGTGTATTATAGTAAAATGTGCACGCCTCATTTTGTCTTTGTTTTAATAAGATATTTTTGTGTATTATTATGACGTTGATATTATTAGTAGTAGTATTTTCCCTTTTTGTACTCCGTACTCCGTATGGTATTGACGAAGCTACCAATAACATCCCAAACAGGCGAACTTTGATGTGATCCATCAGACGCTCTCACCTTGGTAGTCCTCCTACCTATGTAGACATGTACATATGATAGTGGCAAGGACACGACGCACCGAACCACGACGAGTCGTTTCTTCCCTCTGTCTCTTTTGTCTCGGTCGATGAGTGCTTAGTACTCAAAGGGTAGTACCTATCGAACCTCCAAGTACAGTACGGCACACATTGCTCAATGCTAGTGGCTTGCGGATTGCATGGATGAAACTGGGAGGGTGTGTGGCATCAGCGGCTGCCCATTGGCTCGGTTTCTGCCACATGCGGGCAAAAGTACCTCTGGATGGAGGTCCCATGTCCCCCGACGCAGACTGGGATCGGGGTCTAGAGCTGCGATGTCATTCATGGGTGCTTGGATCCTGGATATTGACATTTTGAGTCGGATGGGACGGGTGTGTTGGCACCCTGGATGCTTATTGATGTATCCAGTATTTCATGGCAGTTGTGGATTGAGTAGATTGGAGCTAGGTATTTTATATATATCTAGAATAAGGACGAGGCAAACATCGTATGTGTGTTGTTTCATGACATAAATAGATGAATAGACATGAATAGTATATAATCAATCATATTTATATATTTATATATATCTTAGATAAATGGTGACGATGCATGTCGGCCGTTGAGAGGCCTGAGAGGCTGACACCGCAGACACTATCGAGCAGTATCAAGTTCAGGTCGCATGTGAGCAGTGCCGCATTGCTTGAGATGAATAGACCGTCTGCCTTAGATACAGATTGATGAAATAGATAGATGTATATATCAGATACACATCTCATTATATAAATAGTACATACTATGGCCCCAGGCAAGATGTCATCGAATATGGTTCACCAAGCGGAGTCAAGTGGGCAACCACCCCCCAACCCTGAACCCTTCAAGGAACAGGCACATCCCTCTCCACTTGCTGCACCCAGGTCCAGCAGAGATAACTCTGATAAGGTTTTCTGCTGCCCCTACTCATGTGGGATTGTGGATGTGCCATGAGGACTGAGCGGCCCCAAAGAAACTCCAGCATTGGATTGGATTTGGGGACCCCTGCGGGCCTGTCAACTGCGGAGTAGGGGCGCCTCCGCCCGATGGAGCAAGATCTAGAAATTGGTTTCGATCAGGAATGGGGGACGAAAATTTTCGAAACCCTTTATTTGATGGGGATTATAGTGTGTCATGCCGTCATGTATATCATGCAGGATGTGTCCCAAGTTCCTAACACATAGGTACAAAAGGTGTCCTTGCGCCTTGTTTCCGATAGGAATATGAACAGCCACCCCTGAATTGCTTCTGCTTCCGACTACCGTGTGATGTTTCAGCTGATGCGATCAGATCACTGCCTCAGGAAGTACCTAGGTCAGTACCTACTACAGGTAGGTAGCTGCGTTCGGGAGGACGGATTACAGACCTCCAACCTTTGAATCTACCTAGGTACCTCCCCGGCTCGACAAGACTAGAACAACTCAGGCTTGGCCCGAACAGAAGGAATTGGTCTCTGACGAACCTCTGCAGGGTTGGAGTCCACCCGGCCCCCCTCCATCAACTTATCACCCCATCCACCATCCATCATCTCATCCTTGGTTCCTCGATTGCATGTCATCATCTCCCTGCCTTTCTCTCCCCGCTAATTGATACTTCCCGCGGAAGGTCCTGAACTGAACATTAAGTTCACTTGCATCTGACCATTTGACCACTTGACCGGATATGGATGCTACTACAATGACAAATTTCTTCGTCTATCGAAAACATAATCATAAATATAAAAAACTAAATAGAAAAATCAAGTCCGCTTGCATTTGACCGATCACTGTTGTTGGCTAATCCTGGTGTGATTGGTAGCCTGGAAGCCGAACGGAAGGCCGGTAACGATCAAGTCATGGTCAGGTATCTTTTACGTATTCTGTAAGCGGAATGGTACCATCCTGGTACTTGTTGGTGACCATCAATCCATCACTTCCACTGATGCCGTTTTGGTCCTGCCCAAATCAACTTGACTTTCTGTTAACTTTGTTATCAAACCTAGTTGGAAAGGGTAAAATCTTACTTTTATATTAATATTGACTACCTTGCAATCTCAACCGAGAGAATGCAATGATGATGGTTATGAATAGGTTAGGTATCAAACACTGTAATAATAATAATAATAATAATAATAGGTACAATCCAAAGGCGACTCCGATCGGCCAATCGCCCCATCCGACCAAGCCTACGTACCAACCGCATAGCCCGGAACAGCATTTTCCATCATTTTTCTGTTTTCGATTTTCCATAGTTTTACCTATTTGATTAATATTAATATTATCATAATGATCATAATTATTATGATTATTTTTTCTTTTTCCCCTGCTTGCCGCGCTGATTCATTTCATTCCCTCTGCCTCTTTACCTTCCGGTTGGCCCTGCGCTGTTTTGGACCGAGTTTACCGTTTTCTGGTCGCTTGCGAGGTATCAACACTGGGATCATCCACACCTGCTCGCTCCCAGGATATCTGATAAAATTTAGTAGCGAGTGTCCAGAGAATCAACATCCAAGTTAACCATAGGAATGGAAGAAAAATAAAATAAAAGATAGAAAATAAAATAAAGATCGCTTATTAAGCGGCAACCTAAAGGAATGAGGGGGGAGGAAGATTGGTAAACTAAGAACAGCCACCAAAACGATTCTCTTCCCTCGGCTTTGCCCATTTTTATTCCCGGAAACCGGGTGAGGCACGAATCAAGTCGCCGGCACCAGCTTTGCCGTGCTAAACGTTAGTGAGTTAATAATCTTCCCATCCATGGGCAAGCATGGTCATAACCGCCATCTTAATCTTGAGGAACATCGCCGTCGTCATAACGAATAGCATAGGGGATTATAATCGAAATAATAGTCATATACTGGCCACATTGATTTAGAATGGTGATAGAAATCTGTAAGAAGAGGTAATCAGAGGTAATCATAATCAGCATAATAGTCGTCTATCATAATAAATTACCACTTAACACGAATAATAATGAACACAAATTATATCGCATTTGCCTTTTACCAGCTCAAGTCACGATCGTCGCCTCTTCGCCCTCTCCAGTCTCAACTAATCTTTTTGTTCTCAATACTCTCTCTCTCTCTCTCTCTTTCTTTCCCCCCTCTTTCCCTCGCTGTCTTCCTCATTACGTCTCACTCAAAAATCTGCCAATTTTTCCGTTCTATTTTTTCTATTTTTTTTTTTTCTTTTTCTTTTTCTAGTTTCTCCCCTCTGTGAAGTCCGCCTTCTTAACATTTACGCCGCCGCCCGCCGTTCATCGCCCCCCCTTCCCATTTCTCCCCCTCCTCCATTCCCCGTGATTAGTTAGACGGTCTCTTAGAACCTTGGTTACTCTCTTGCTGGGAAATTTCTTTCAGGAAAAAAAAAAGAAAAGGTTTTTACCTTTATTTCTATTTTCTATTTTCTTTTCTTTTTTTTTTACCATAAACCTCTGGATTTTTATTTTTTATTTTATTTTTTGTTTTATTTTATCGTTCAAGTTTTTTCTTCTTCTTTTGATTCTCTTTACCATTTTTTTAACATCTCACTCACCCCTTTCTTTTTTTTCCCTATCTTCCTCCGCTACTTGCTCCTGGTCTCCGCTCCGATACGCGTTGTTCCTGGCAGGTTTCTTTTTTACTTTTTTTTTTACTACCGAAAAATCCTAGTCCATCTCGCGCATTGTTGACGCGAAGTAAAAAAAATTGACTAGCAATTTTCCCTCTAGCACTGCTGGTTGTGTTAGACCCACTTACACGCCGCCTCCCTGGTGGATCAGGACCATTGACTGTTTTGACAACGTGCGGATAAAAAGAAGTTCCCACACAACTCGATTTTCCTGGTGGGTGACCGTGGGGAATTCACGATCAAGCATCGCGACCTCAATCCTGACCTCTTTTCTGCAGTGGAGTCGAATCTTGTTCCTACACGCCCTACACCGCCGACCGTGGTCCCTTTGTTCCCTCTCGTGACTGTCCGCTGAATTGAGCTTCTGCCCTGACACGAGTTGCTTCGTTCCTCGAGAGAAATCCTTGGCGTCAAGTACCAGAGAAGGTCAATCGAAGACGAAAGAAACAGAACGAGTTTGGAAAAACAAGGAGAAAAGAAAAAGGAATCATCATCGAAGGAACGATCAGGATCCGAACCCAGGTCGTGACATTGGCAAACTTTCTCGCGTCAATAGAAACATTTGCCTTTGATCCGAAGACAACCGGCGAAGAAAAAAAAAAGACAGGGTTTTTCGTTCGACAATCAATGATTGGGATACCGTGATCGCTTCGTGTTCAGAATCAGCCCTACTTCTCCTACCCCCCCTCCTTCGCACACTCCCGTTTCATGATGGATCCCAGATCTCATCCATCCCGTCCCCCATCCACCAGCTTACCCCAAGGCTCCACGCCCCTCTCCTCGACACCCATCTCGAGTATGCCAATGCCCCAGTACACCATGCAGCCGCAGTACCCGGTGTCGCAGTCGCATACTCTGCCCCCGTTGCAGCCTCACCACAGTCAATCCCCTGCCCCTCATTCATACATGGGCCAGCCGCCGTACAGGCCGGATCTGTCGAGGTTTCCCACTACGACCCATGATGTCTACGCTTCCTCCACGGCCCCCATCATGCCTCATAACACCGTTGGCAGCTTGCCTCCGGCGTCGTTCCTCTCCCACCCCAACTCGCAGGCTCAGTCCTCGCAGCAGCACTACCCGCCTCCCCACAGCGTGTTGCCGCCTGCGTCGAGTGCCCAAACCTACCCCCAGCCGATCGCCCCCGCACCGCCGCGCGACCGTCGCCCGGATTTCTCCGGCATGCCGTCCGGCGCGTTTAGCTACTCGGACGGTAAGGGGTCGCCGTGGATGAATCCGGATCCGGTGACCGGGGCGAACGGCGCGTCGCCATACGGGGCCAAGGAATCGCCTCGCACGCAGGTGGTTGGGTCGCAGGGCCGTCGTGGTATCCTGCCGAGTGTTCCGGGACGCGCCACTCCCGTCACGAACGGCGTGAATGGGACCGCAAAGAGCACGACCATTCCTGCCAAGGATGCGGACGGCAAATTCCCGTGCCCGCACTGCAACAAGACTTATCTTCACGCGAAGCATCTTAAGCGCCATCTACTGCGGCGTGAGTATCAGCCTGTTCCCTCTGAGTCTCCATTGCTTGGTCCACTAACTCCGACCAGATACCGGAGATCGCCCGTACATGTGTGTGCTGTGCAAGGATACTTTCTCCCGGAGTGATATCCTGAAGCGCCACTTTCAGAAGTGCTCGCTGCGCCGCGGGAACCCCACCGGGGCGACCCACTTGTCGCATCCCCAAGCACACCTGAAGAGATCTCAAGCTGCAAACGCCGCCAAGCCGATTCAGGATGAAGTCAGCAGTTCCATCCCTCCTCCCAGCGGCCTTCCTGGCGCGACCTTCGGCGAGGGGCCCGTGAACGGAGCTGGTCTGGCGCCCGGTCGCCCTGGGTACGCGGATCAGCCCCCCATGGGTTTCTCGATGTCGTCGGTCAACGGAATGAGCCGCGGTCACCCGGACGATGGGTACAACGCAGGGCGGCCGGGAGGTCCGTGGTTGGCGGCTCCGAAGCACAACCCGTACCTCGTGCAGCCTGGCCCTGACGTGTCCGGTCAGCCCTTGAGTGTTGACCGTCCCTCCCTTGAACAGGTAAAGCCCCCGGTCATGGATCCCAAACGCCCTGTCATGCCAGGGCCCACTCCCAATCATACCGGCGAAATTGACTGGACTTCGATGTTTCAGCCCGGAACCCACGACGGCTACATGAATCCCGTCTTCCCCCACTCCATGGCAGCTGGCCACGAGCCTATCCATGCTCCCGTCGACGCGGACCGGAAGTACTATCCTACCACCTCTGCCGGGCCCCAGGAGGGCGGCATGAACGGTCTTTACTTGGCCTCGACTATGGGCGGTGACGGTATGTAAAATAACCTGCTTTGCTTGGCATGGAGGGGTTCACTGGCTAACGGGATAGGTGCCATTCAACCTGCGCGGCAATAGTGGCGAGATGAAAGTGATGGATCGTTGAACTTGACTTGCCAGCGCGTGTGGTGAGGCATGTGTGATGATAAGGTAACCTCCTTTGCCTGGTTGGGAGTTATGATCGCAAGGTCGATTGTCCTTACTTGTGCAATAGAGAAGTGTCTTGATTTCGCACATGGCAACGCACCATTCGCACTCGGCGCGGTGAGGTGCCCGGATCCCGATTTCTTTCTTTCTTTCTTCTTTCTTCTTCATCGTTATGAAAAAAAGGGTCCTCTTACAGGGTATTGGGTCCCTTCGACCAAAAATCGAGTCAGCATTTTTCCCCGGCGAGTTGCACTATTGCGGTGGTCCAGGATTTTTGTTTTTGTGTGCTTGTTTTTCCAAACCATTATGAGTGCACCGATGGGTTGGGTGTGTGTGGTTAAACGGCGTCCCACCATAGACTTGGGCATGTTGATTTTATTTCCTTTTTCTTTTTCTTTTCTCGCTGTTTTCTACTGTGTTGATGATTACATTACATTTCTTTTTTTCTATTGTCTGCTGCATCTCTGCCCCGTGAGCCCCAGCGGTGGTCGTGGGAGAGCCTCTGTCGACGTTGATCCTTTCCTTGTTTCTTGACAGCGACTGCATGTCGGTCGTCTGTCTGGAGCCGCCCGACCAGTGCGGGTTTGTACATGCACGCGGATGGCGCCTGTCGATTGATCTCTTCCCTTCTCCGCCCATGTAAGTACTCTGTGTGTTCTATTCGGACATATGCGTTTTGCTTCGAGGTGTTTTGCCGCATGTTTCGTTCCAGTGTTTCATCATCTTCATCTTTCTGTCTTTTCATCTGTGTCTTTAGACACTCGTCCTGTCTGTCATTCTCTCCGATTGACCAGGACCACCTGGTATTACCCCCACCAGGCCGACATCATGATTCATACGTGGTGTGGTGTGGTGTTGGGTTATGCGCCCAGCCCGCCTGGTGGCATGCGTGGACCGGACTTGTCCGGTCCACGCATGGGGTGTTGTTTTCATACGTCGGCTATCTGATTGTGTTCCGCCTCCTGTATTGTGTGTCAATCTCGTGCATCTACGGTTTTATTATTTTCTGTCATTGATTATTGCGGTGTGTTTCAAGCGTCAACGAGGAGGAAGGGGGAAAGAAAGGGAACGCCCGCGAAGGCCCGAAACCCAGGAAGTGTCAAAAGCTAGAATATAGACCTCGAGTTTAGGAGTTTTGTGATAATGAGGGAATGATTAGATTTGTTATTATACTGTGCTTGGTTGATCATCTGAATTTTTATCAGTTGTAGGCGCTGTAGGCACTGTAGGAAGGTGAATTAGTCACATGGTTTGTGTTGACCGTGGACGGACCCGGGAATTCCCTAGAGAGAAGTTAGTTCGTGGCATGGGTTATCCTTTGCTGTGGAGGTGGATGTGATGGAGTGGAGGTGGGGGCTCAGATAATGACATCGCCCCAGTGTGGGGGAATTGCCCATCGATCGCCATTAATCTACTCGTCCTATCAAAGTGTCGATATTAGTATCGTTGCACTCTCTTTAATCGACTCAGTCTGCACAAACTACCTTATACAGAGATAACCGACAGAACATAATCCATCTGATACATCGAGAATACCGACGTCACCATACCACCAGCAGGGTAAACGCGGAGAGTTGGTGATTGGCTGTCACAAGGCCGATGCCAACGGGAACCTTCGGGGAAAACGGAGAAAACTGCGGCTGCTCACTTTCTTCCGATCTCACCTCCTCTTCTATCTCGGTCTATCATATATCTTCAATGGTCATCGTCTTTTCGTCGTAACTCTGCCTATACACCGACGACACCACTACTGTACCTGCACTCGAACCACATCCATCCAAAGTTCAGTTCGTCTGTCTTGATCAAGACAACGAACTGACCTAAATCAATCAACATGACAACCAACCGCCCATTCCTCGCCAACTTCCTAGCGGCCTTTCGCGCCCAGTCAACCTACAAGACCTCAACAGCAGCCACACAATCAAGCGCAGGCCCCTCATCCCAGATCTCTCAAAGCGCCAGAGCGATAGCCACAAAGGCCGCTTCTGGCGCTGCGACCACCACCCCGGACTCGTCGTCCTCCTCCTCAGCCACCACCACCACCACCACAAACGCAGCCACCGCAACCACCACCACCACCACAAATACAACTACACATCACTACCACCACCACCCTCACCATCATCCCCACCACCATCACCACCACCATCATCCCACAGCAGCAGCAACAGCAGGAGCAACACCCCCTCCAGACCCCACTCCCACACCCGCACCCCACTCGACTCACCCATCCCAACAACAGCCTCCCCACCCCCTACCCCAGCCATCCCATCCTCCTCATCAACCCCCATCCCCATCGCCAACACAAACGCACACGACCGCCGCCGTCGCGGCAGCGACAGCTCCAGCGGCTCCGGCGGCGGCGGCGGCGGCTTCCGCGACGCTCTCGGCCCTGAGAAGTGGTATATTGGGGGTCGCACGCCTGGCGGGGAAGAGAGGTTTTATCGGCTCGGGATGGTTACGAAGGGTGGGGGGAGGCTTGGGGGGAGTGGGCGGGTAGGGAGTATTGATCAGTTGAGTTTGTGAGGTTGTTAGGCCGTAAGAGCTGTCTTTTTCTTGGTTCTTTTTTTTTTCTTTGCCCTTCTCGGGAGTCAAAAATATGGGGGGTGTTAGAGAGCATGGGGTTGGCGTTTGGGATTGTTTTTTTTTTTTTTTGTTTGTCTTGTTAGTGGTGGTGTGTTTGGTTGGTTAGCTTTGGGGTTGGGTTGGTTTGGGGAGGTGAGTGAGCGAAAGGGGAGTCTTCTGACAACAGGAAAAGAAGAAAGAAAGAAAAGATGTGCTTGTTCGGGTTTCTTCTCTTCTTGTCATATTCTCGGTTCTCCCTGGTTATTGTTTACTTTCTCTGTCTATCTCTAATCAGCGATTGTACATGATTTGATCGATGACAAGGCTGTATCTCATGTATGCATGTATGTATTTCGTGCATTGTGTTGCATGGGTTTTGGTACGGATTAAGTTGGGTGTATTTGTATGGATCTATGCACTGTAGGTATGCGTGGTTCACATGCTCCTGTTTTCACTACGATGGACATCTATACTGTATCCTAGGGTGGTGGTACGTTGGGAGAACGGTACTTATGTAGTGAAAGGTTTACATGGACATATGGTGTTTACTACTCGTCGACATTCCCGTACTCGAACATTAGAGATTAATCATTATACATACATGTATAGATACATAAATAAACACCTAGACAAGACACTCAACCACGAAGCAACCCCTCCCTCTCCCCCTCCCCCTCCCCATCCTCCCCTCTATCCCCCTCCCCCTCCCTATCTCTATCATCCCTCGCACCACTCAACCAAAGCACAGGAACAGCCGTTCCAGCCGCCAAAACCCCCAACGTCAACGACATAACCGGCCACCCAAACCTACTATCCACGAATCCCCCCACATCGGGCCCAAGAAAAGCCCCATAAACTGCGCCATCGTCTGCACGCCAAACGCCTGCGCCACGGCTCCCTTCGCCCCAAAAAGGCCGGGCTCAGCGGCCTCCATCTCGTCGAGGACTTGCTGCGTTTCGACGTAGAGGGCGGGGAGACATGCGTTCATGCAGAGCCCGGCGGCTGTGAGGAGGGAGAGGAGGAGGGCTTTGTGCGCGGTTGTGTTGGAGTCGACGAGGCGGAGGGCGATTAGCGGGGGTGTGAGGAGCGTGAAGGAGAGGGTTGTTATGAGGCGCGTGCCGTAGCGGTCTGAGAGGGAGCCTTTTTTTTTGTATCGTTAGGTTTTGAGATTGAACAATGTGAGGGTGAGAGGGGTGGATGAGAGATGACAAGATATGGTTAGAGAGGATGGAAAAGGTATGTATGTACCGAAGTATGGCTCGAACAGTGCGGTGAATGCCGATGGGAGGAATGCCATTCCTGCCCCGAATGGTCCCCAGCCGAATCGCGTTTCGACGAAGATGGGAATAACCTGCTCTGGTTAGTCATGCTCATGATAGATTTGGAGCATGATGGATTTGGAGGCATCGCTCACCGAGTCAAAAGCCGAGTAGAAGAGACCCTGGACTAGCAAGGCCCAACAAGAAATGAGCACCCGCGGCTGTTGCATGATCAGGAACAAAGCCGGTCGTCGTGGCTTTCCATTGTCTGGACTTGGTGGGGCTGGCTCCGCGAATGTCTGATAAGAGACCTGGTTTTGATGGGATGAAGCCGGGGTCTCCCCATCTTCAGTGATCAGGTATCGCTGCGCAACTTTCTTTTCGATGACGGATACTCTCATCACGAGATCTACCCCGACAATGACAAACGCCATTGCGAACACAGCATGGTACCCTGCCACATCGTACACCAGTCCGCCTAGCAGCGGTCCGAGTAGGAAGCCCAGCGCAACAGCCGAACCCAGGTACCCGATGGCCTGGCCGAGATTGTCGAATGCCACCGAGTCAGCTAGCAGTGCTAGGCCCGCTACGGCTACCATGGCCGTTGCGCCACCCTGAAGAATCCGGGCAATGATGAAGAGCTGGATCGTGTGCGCGGCTGCTAGGATGCCCATGGAGGCGCCTAGCAGGATCAGACCTAGCAGGTAGGGCAGTTGGCGGGTGGGAGCTGCGTCGATGATGTAGCCGAATATCGGACAGCAGATGAAAGCCATGGCGGCTTCGCATACCAGGAGCACGCTCACCCAGTATTCTCCTGTTCATTGTCAGTTGTATTCTAGACATCAAAGAAGTGGAAAGAATTAGTGGGGTTGACGGACGATCTTCATATGGAATGTTGGCGCGATCGACTAGGGCTGTTGGCATGACGGGGACAATCTGGATGTTTAGTGGGGTTTCTGGATCATGCCCTAGGTCATGAAGTGCTCACCATGGCGTAGAGGAAATATTCCTAAGAAGGTGAGCGGAGTGTCTGGCTGAAAGTGAATAGCTGGTATAGTATACTTACTGCGAATGACGATATCCAGACTGTAGCGATGATGAAAGCAGTCGACGAACGGAAGCGCAACAGCCATGGTGGGCGTTTTCGCCCGGCTGAGGTAGAGGACCACATATTTCTGTGCTGGAAAAGATAATAGAAAGTCAAATGGAGGAATTGGGTGAATATATGAGTGTCGAAGTATTCAATTTTCAGATGCCATTGAGTGGGGAGCTGAAGCCGGGCTGAGGTGAGGTGGATCCATCAAGACTACTAGTCGATCCGGGCGCTGCACAATTCGGGAATGAACAAGGATCTGGCTGATACGATACGACCATTTAGGGAACAAGTCAAGGACCAGGATGATGGGAATAGAAATGATGTTGTACATATTACGAACTGAATAGCATCAGGAGGGATCTGTCGCTGAACGTGGAAGACGAAATGACTTCAGATGCATGGCATAAAGATATGCTATGAAGCTGACATAATGATACAGATCCGGATGTCAGGCTAATCGCCGATAAGATAGCGACAGTCCGATAAGGAGGCCGCGGCCGTTTTCCACACGCGGGCATCGGAGTTGGCCGATGGCCTTCATCCCCCCGGCACCCTTTATAAACACCTGCTGCGCCGCCTGGATCCATTCACGATTTTGACCCCTAGATTCTTCTTTCTCCTTCGTAATCTGTGCTCAACTCCTTTCCTCTTCTCCCCATAGGGCTCTCCCACAATCACTTTACCATGCCTGAACTCGCCGCCGCCCGCTACGGCAAGGACAATGTCCGCGTCCTCAAAGTCCACAAGGACGAGAAGACCGGCATCCAGACCGTGGTGGAGATGACCGTCCAAGTCCTTCTGGAGGGTGACATCGAAACCTCGTATGTCTTTCCCTTCTTGTGAACAATGTGATGAGAGCTAATTGAACGAAAAGATACACCAAGGCCGACAACAGCGTGGTGGTCGCTACTGACAGCGTCAAGAACACCATCCACATCCTGGCGCGCCAGAACCCAGTAACTCCCCCCGAGCTGTTTGGCTCCATCCTGGGCACACACTTCGTCACGAAGTACGCGCACATCCACGCCGCGCACGCCAAGATTATCACGCACCGCTGGACGCGCATGACGATCGACGGCAAGCCGCACCCTCACTCGTTCATGCGCGACGGCGAGGAGAAGCGCAACGTCGAGGTGGACGTGGTCGAGGGCAAGGGCATCGACATCCGCTCCTCGCTGAACAACCTGACTGTGCTGAAGAGCACCAACTCGCAGTTCTGGGGCTTCGTTCGCGACGAGTACACCACCCTCAAGGAGACCTGGGACCGCATCCTCAGCACGGATGTCGATGCCGCTTGGTGCTGGAAGCGCTTCTCCGGGCTCGACGAGGTGCGCGCTAATGTGCAGCACTTTGACGCTACCTGGGAGGCGGCCCGTGAGATCACCCTCAAGACCTTTGCTGAGGATAATAGCGCCAGTGTTCAGAACACCATGTACAAGATGTCTGAGCAGATTCTGGCTCGCCAGGCTCTCGTTGAGACGGTTGAGTATGCGCTGCCTAACAAGCACTACTTCGAGATCAGTATGTCCCTCCTTCTCCTGTATCTCTGTAGGGCTTTGCTAATATGTGTAGACCTCGACTGGCACAAGGGCCTCCAGAACACGGGCAAGAACGCGCAGGTGTTCGCGCCGCAATCGGACCCCAACGGCTTGATCAAGTGCACGGTTGGTCGCTCGTCCAAGGCCAAGCTGTAATCTCTTTGCAGTCCTTCAAAACATTCAAGCATCTCTTCTGTTGTCGGAGTTTGGGCTGTATATACTATATAACAGCGGGACCGGTATCTCGCATTTCAATCACTTATTTTAATACACGAGTACTGTAGATGATATTGTGTAATCTAGTAGACACAGGAAATTTCAGAAAAAAAAACTCCCACCCATGCGCTAGCGGTAAGGTAAATAGTACATGATAATCAGACAAATATACAGAGAACATAGAAAACATTTATGCACTGGTCTTGGCCTCCTTAAGAGCCTGCTGCACTTCAGGCATGGACCCAATGACAGACGGCTGATGTCCCAGCTTGATGATATTCTCCTTGTAAGGATGAGACACACCCTCGAAGGCTATAACAGAAAAAAGTTAGCATCATACCCAACTACATAATAGCAAGCATCTGAGAAGGAAGACAAACTCTTCAACCGCGCCAGTCTCGGCTCCCGCAACCGGTTCTTCGGCAGCATACCACGCACCGCACGGCGCAGCACCTCACCACCACCCCATTTCTCAAACATCTTGTCCATGGTCATGCTGCGGAGGCTACCGGGCCGGGTGCTGTGCGTGTAGTACTTCTTCTGGAAACGCTTCTTGCCCGAGGTGCGCAGGTCGTGGCAGCCGACAGCCACGACGTAGTCGCCGCAGTCCGTGGACGGGTCGTAGATGGGCTTGTTCTTGCCCATGAGGAAGAGCGCGATCGAGGAAGCGAGCCGGCCCAGCGTGCGCTCGTCGGTGCCGACGTCGATGTGGTGCCATGCGCGCGAGTACGCGAGGCGAGTCTATCAAATCTTTGCTTTAGCTTTGTTTTGATTGAGGGCGATTGGTAACAATGCGAGGGACTGGGATACCGACCTTGCCGACGGTTTGCGACATGTTGATGACGGGCCCAGGATGGGATGGGTCAATCAATTAGAAGAAAAAAGTATACAGTATCAAAAGAAGGTAGAGGAGAATATCAAGGTGGGGCCAAAAGAGAGTCGTCCACCAACGTAGATAGTTACAGACCGCTCAGCTACTACCAGCAAATCCTCCCAACGCAGATGATGTCCAAACGGAGGTCCCAACTTTCTCCGGATCGCATCACGTGATGCACGTGACACACGGGCAACCCTACTTCCCAAAGGGGACTAGCGCCCACCCGTGGGTTTTCGCTAAGCGAATCGCGCCCGCACGGAAAGATCACTGACTACAGACGTCGAAGGACGAACTTCTTTTTGATCGATAGCCTGCGACGACCAACGACACACTCCCCCCCCGCCATCCGATCAACATGGCTTCCGTCCCGAGTGTGCAATGCTTCGGCAAGAAGAAGACGGGTGCGTTTGACTTTTTCGCCTTTTTTCGCTGGCGATTTTGGTTCTGGAGGGATGTGAAATGCTGACTTGAATTTTGGTATAGCCACCGCCGTCGCCCACTGCAAGGTATGCTCGATACTTTACCACCTGTTTTCTTCCCATCCTGCATGAGTGAAACGCCTGTCGAACGAGAGGGAAAAAGCAAGAAGAAATGAGGACAAAGGAGAATCATATGGCTCTGGAGGGAAGATCGCGAATGGCGACGGGATAGCCACGACAACACAACACACGAACAGCGTCTATATACAAGAGCAGTAACTAACGATCAAAACAGCAAGGCAAGGGTCTCATCAAGGTGAACGGCAAGCCCATCTCCCTGGTGCAGCCTGAGATCCTCCGCTTCAAGGTATGCACAAGCACTCCACATCAAACCCGACACTTGCTCGACAAGAAGCAAAAATGGGGAAAGAAGGAAGAACACAAAATAACTGGATATCTTCAATAATAAAGGTCTACGAGCCCCTCCTCATCGTCGGTGCCGACAAGTTCGCCGGCGTCGACATCCGCATCCGCGTCTCGGGCGGTGGTCAGACCTCGCAGGTCTACGCCATCCGTCAGGCCATCGCCAAGTCCATCGTCGCCTACTACCAGAAGTTCGTCGATGAGCACTCCAAGAACCAGATCAAGCAGGCCTTCGCCCAGTACGACCGTACCCTCCTCGTCGCCGACAACCGTCGCCCGGAGCCCAAGAAGTTCGGTGGTCGCGGTGCCCGCGCCCGTTACCAGAAGTCTTACCGTTAAGGGTTTTCTTTATGCTGCTCTCTTGGTCTCTCTATCTTCGGGGCGCAGGGGTGGGGTTTTCTGGTCTTCTACTCCCTGTTTTCCGCCGTCTATCATCCCCATCGTCGGATCTCTCTGCCCGTTAACCCTTTAAATGGGGTTATCTCCCCCGGAGATGGAAATAGAAACAAGAGAATTAAAGAAGAATCTTTGACGGTTGCTTTGTTGGTGTATCGGGGGAGTGATTCGAGAACATAAAAAAAAGTGGAAAAAAGCTTTACTCGGTCCGCTGGCGATCATGGTTTGATGGTGCAATGGGGCAAGTGGATTTATGGTTATGGTCCGATCCTGGCTCGGTCTCGCCTGGTTTTAGTGTAGACCAGAATCTCAATATCACCCAATTTCTTACGTTCGGATTGATCTACTCGCTCTGTTTGTTACTGAAGTTAATTATATGATTTGATGTCTACTTGTCTTTTGCATGATATTGTATCGCCAAGGTACTATGTATTATTGTAGCTTTTATAGCTGCCTCATGTACATCACCATTGTTGATCTCTCACCTCGGATCCCCCCTATGCCCATCCCCACTGCACAAGATAATTCCCACTGTTTAAGACCATCTAAATCTCGGACTCTCCTCTGAACCTGTCATTTGCAGTCTCGTTGGAAACCGCACACAATAGAACCCAGCCCCATGCGCTAAGTAATTATTGAAGGAAACAAATCCATCCAATAACAACCAGAAGGGCATCTGGAAAAAGAGTGATTAAGCAGAAATGCGTCTGTCAGCCCAATTAGTGCCATCCAGAGAAAGCCCATGCAATCCATTCGAGACACCGTCCTGATCGCTGTCATCATTATCCGCCTCCTCCATGGATAGAAGCTGGAACCGATTGGGAACGGCGGCTGGTTTCTTCACAGCCGCCTGCACCTCGCTCTTCGGCCCAGTCGGAGCTTTGACCAGGGGCCCGGTGCATTCGTCGGGTGTAAACCCAATGCGCATGCCCTTGTATGTCAATCTGGACATCATGCAGGACCGCGCGAACAACGCATTGTGGATGGAATTGGTCGAGATGTAGGCGTTTCCCAGTTTGAACGTAACCGTAATAACGATCAAGTTGTGAATATGCTCCAAGTCCCGACGGATGTAGTCCTCGGTGACGTTGGGCTTTACATTGTAGATGACCAGGTTCCGGGACGCCCCATTCTTGACCTTGGCGCGGACGTATGGGGGCAGGTAGAATTGGCGGTCGTTCCACAGTACCTCCGTCTGGGGGCTGTCAGTGTAGCTCTTTTCATCTTCTCCGGGCTGAAAGCACTTACCCGTTTTCCACCCACGTAAAGACCGTACGTCTTGCAATGATTCAAAAACTCCTGGGCATCCGGCTCCTCCACGAAAGATACGCTTGCCGAATGTTCTCGCGCCCGCAGATAGATGTGGAGAAGAGCACCGCCCCGCATAACATCTACGATATCTTTATGGGTGACCTTATCAGGTAAACCGCGGAGCAGAACGGTACGTTGATCTGCGGGGGAGGGAGAGGATTCTGTGCTTATCGAAGATCCTCCATAATCGAGATTCCCATTGGTTTCATGTGATCTCAGCAAGACTTCATCGTCCTCTTCGTCGCTATTATCATCGTCATCATAACCGGTCTGTCTATAGTTACCGGCGGAAGCGCCACGCCTTTGTCCAGTCGGGCTTCCAGAGGGTTCACTGAACGTCATTGGTTTCTCATGACCAGCCACGGAATTACAAGAGTCGGAAACATCCACTGTGGGACCCCCATAGGTCAACATCTGAAGACAGATCAGCCAACGTTACACATCGGGCAATAGCGTTCCTTACATTCAGAGTCTCTGGTGAAAGGCCACCTTTCAACAGAGATTCTTTCAGTTTAGCTAGCAGAGGGGTGAGACGAGAGACATGGCAACGTGTACCCCGTCGACAATGAGCGACCAGAGCACCTGGAGGGCCACGTACTGTACAGGCGCGACTCTTGCAACTGATCCGGTATTGATTAGATGGAGTCATAAGCTGCCGCTGATTTTGGAAATCTAATGCTTACCAGACGTTTATATTCTGCATTGGCGATAGTCACCACGTCGGGGCTCACGTCTGAGGACGCATGGTTCTAGACGGCGAGCTTGATCAGAGACGAGCCACCTGAACGGGCTGCTTGACTTACAGAATCGGCCCTACGAGAAGTTAGTCACATGTCCCTAAAGTGTATATTGGATGAAAAGGGGCAAGAAGCTCGCTGGGAATGATGTTGTTGAAAAACAGTAGCAACGCATAGCATTCACACCCCGTGCACAATTCATCCACGACCAGTGTCACAGTATCAAACACGGGCTAGCAGCTTACCGTTGGAGTAAATATTCGAAATGGGACTTTTCCACAGTAATATATGAAGCAGACATAGTGACCAGTGATCTGGAACAAAGACAGATAGAAATGTCCAGCTAGGGAGAAGACGATGAGAACAATAATTGATAGGTCAAGGATAAATAGATAGCTCCAAGGAGCTAGCTCGAACTGTGGAGGGAGGGGGCGAGAGATCAACAATCCATTGAACTTACCCCAATTCAACGTGAGCTTCGAAAGAGCTGCCACAGCTGGTATGAGAGCAACAATATGAACACACAAGAAGAAGAGAGGAAGAGGAAACAGAAGGGAAAAAGGAAAAGGGGATAAAAGTAGGATAAAAAGCGAGCGCGAGAGTTGAGAAGTGACAAGCGAACCAACATAACCCAATCGGAGCAAGCCTCGTGCCTCAGTCACTCTATCAGAGCGAAACGTCCCTTCAGATGTCACCCCACATACGGACGCTGCAGGAGCGATCAAAAAACTCTTTGTCATTTCTTCTCCAGGTCTTTCTTGCTTATACGAAGTCATCCTCCACCTGTCTTCAGGAGACTATCCTCCCGTACTCCAACAGACTACCTATACCTGGGGATATAATGAGGACCGTTTCCCGGTGGCGCTAGACAGGTCAGAGACCTCCTGCGCCATCTGAAATTTGGACTGATCTGGGCGGCGGTCATTCGTACCGCTGGCCCCGGCCTGAGAACAAACAACGCCAATCGAGCAGTTCGTCAATTATTGGAGATCCACCAGGAATAGCCCTATGCGACGCAAGGGAGCGTTGCGACCTTTGGTTGATGGCGCCATATTAGGCACAAATATATCTGGGATTTTTATACAATCTATATACTCAGTACAGTATATCTCTTTGTCTCACAACCGCCGAAATTGATCTGCAGGCTTCCGCATTCCATGATAGAAAACGCCCAGAGTTTAGACGCCCGCCCCACTCCGCCCAACTGGAGATGGACACCCCCTGGCCTCCATTGTCACCCTCCTCGCGTGAGCTAAAGGCGACCCTTATCCCTGAGCAAGACATTTGGCTGATCGGCGGTTGATCCCTCCAGAATTGTGTGCGACGTTCCAGAACTTGTGCTCCATCACCGATGCACAGCGCGCAGAAGCGCGGTGGCAATCTGCGAACACAGCTTCATGTGCAGCCTTGCCTGATTCAAATAGACGGCCTTGCTCGGGGATCTAGTATGCCGCCTGGGGTTTGATTTTGACGTTGGAATCGCTGACCGCCATCGATAGGGTCGTCCCTTGCTATCGGGCCGGACCCACTCATCCAGACGGAAGGGGGTCTAGGCATGGGGGGGGGGGGGGGGGGGGGGGGGAAGGACACGCTTTTCCGTGAGGAAAATTGACGTAAAATATTCAAAAGTCCAATGCCAAGCATCTTCAATCCGTAGTGTCAATCCCCAATATTTCTTGTAGATTGATCCGTGTCTGTCTTTCGGCCTCAGTTTCCGGCCTCTCCGGCTGCTGGGCCGGCGCAGGATGGGCTCTTAGCCGTCGAGAACGGACAACCTGGACGGCATTGACAAAGACCTGCGTTACGAAGATAGCCAAAAACACGCCCAGGACGACCGTCTGGGAAAGGTAGGTCTCGGATTTTTTGCCCTGCGCTCGAGCTTCGCGACTATCAGAGGTCCCTGAGCCAGCTGATCCAAACGAGATCGAAACCGACAGAGGAAACGGCGTGAACGACGTGAGGACGCTAACAGACGGCAATGACTTGACTGACGCCAATGGGCCCAATACCATAGGAAGAAAGCAGAAGATAACCAGGGGGACGGCCAGCCATAGGAGGGGCGTTAGAGACGGACGAGAGCGGGGGGCCCTTAGGAAAGGTTCTTGTCAGCCAGAGACGACTTTACGCAGAGTAATCGTACATACCATTCCCGGGACTCCAGTTTCCTCACCCACTTGGCAGTAATTTTCTGTCTTTCTCGCACGCTAGTTGTCGATAAAAGCGCGTATTTCTCTTCTTCCCACACGGGCAAGACGCTGGCAAACCACCAGGGAAACCGATCAGGATCGCTCGGCACATCTCCGTAGGCTAGTAGAACGCGCGGATGGAGCCACGGTGCGGCCTTGCCGCGTTGCTGGCGGACAAAGTCTAGCGCCAACTGGAACAACTGCTGCGTCGACATGGACTCTAACGGATTCTCCGTTGGTGTATCCCCTGCGGAGGGCGGTGCAACGGCGGATGACGTCTCTACAGCTTCCTGCCGCTCCTCCTCGGTGATCGAGACATCTTCTACGCGCTGGATGTCTCCCACATGGTAACCATCCACAACGGTCGACCTGGTCACCCTGAAGCGGGACACTCCCGTGGCAATGACAAGGCTCCTTCCGTCCGGAAGCAGCTCGTACCGATCCACCACCAAGGCCGTGCCGTACTGCATAAAATGCGATCTTCCCAGCTCGGGCTGCACACGCCGCGCACGGTTGAGCATCACCATGCCGAACTTGCGCGACGGACTAAGCATCACCCTTCGCATCATGAGACGATACCGCGGCTCAAAAACATGGAGGAAAGTCGGCATGTTCGGAAGTGACAGCGAGCTCACGAAGAGAGGCAGCTTCGTTTCCCCGTCCGTGTCCGCCGCCTCCGACGCTAGAGCTGCCCTCCGCTCGGCAAGCTGGTCCGGGAACAGGATCTCCAAGAGGGCGGAGATCCGCTGATTGAGGGGCTCCGAGTCCAGCGAAGAAGCCATGTTCACCTTGCGCCGGCACACAGGACAGAGGTCGCTGTTGCTCCGCACCATGGCAACGCAGCTGCGACAGAACGTATGTCCACAGGGCGTGGTCAACGGGTCCACCATTAACGAGTAGCAAACCTGGCAGTCCAGCTCGCTCCGCACAGCCTCCCTCAACCTCTGCAGAGACTCCTCGCCCTGGTCGATGTCCCCACAACACTCATACTCAACCCCAGAAGCATCGTAGTCGAACTGGCCCCGTCGAACAAGGTCGTACATGCCTTCGAGGAGCCCCCGCCCCCCACTCAAACCCGTCACCGTCTTCTCCCGCAATTGCCCTCCCACCCCCGATTCCCACATCACCTTGAAACCATCCCCGGCTAAACAGCCTGTGTTTGTATCTGTGTCTGTATCTGTGTCTGTGTCTGCTGGCGGCGACCCACCGAGGACTCGCTCGAAGACATCCACCAATTTCGTCAACAAAACGTCGCTCCCACAGTCCCCCACACAATGCTCCCCATCGCACCCAGTCTCGTATTCCCAGTAACATGTAAACCCGCGTTTCCGCTCCTCAATCGCGGGGTATGAGATGCCCGGGCGGTCGCGGATCGGCGGGAGGCAAGATCGGCATAGCGCGTTTCCGCAGGGCAGCCGTAGTGGCGTCTGAAGCGGTTGTGAGCATCGCGGGCACTGGATTAGATGAACGATAGCGTGGGCGGAAGCGAGCGGCGTGCTGTCGGAGAGTTCAGGAGCGCATGTTGAGGCGGAGCAAGAGGAGACGGCGGTGGGAGAGTTCAGGATCGGGGCAATATTGTCGCACCCGCTTGGTGGAGTATGCGGAGAAGCATCGTCATCGTCCATAGGGGGCGGTAGGATGGACTGGGCATAGGAATCGAGATATGATTCACATGGACTAGGTAAAGGGATTGTTGACCCTTGTTGTAGGAAGTCGAGGGACTGGGAGAGGGGGTCGCCAAGGGAAAGGAGTAATTTAATTTAACGTAGTTTGATCTCTGGTCTAACGGGTTTCGATGCGAAGACGGCGCGCACGGCCGATCTGCATCCGAGGTTCGCTTTGCCGGTCGCAGACCAACTGGACTATACAAACCAGTTGATAATTATATTATCTATACCAACAACCACGTCGAGATCTACAGTCAATTATTTCATAACCTCTTGTTTTATCTATTTGAAAAAAAAAAAGTTTCTCAAAATTGACGCTTGCGCTATGAGGCTATATACAGTACACGTGTTGAATCAGGAACCCATCGCTCAAAAAGCCACTTGTCGAGCACTCAGAATCATGAAAACGAAAGCCAAAGACAGTAGTATTGTCTGCATCATTCCGTTTCACTATTCCCTACCATCTCCGGGCTTTGTTTTGGACTTCTATTCGTCCAGGCAAATTTCCACGTGAGGCAGTGGTGGGAAGAGCAACAGAAGATGCAGACAACGACAAACAAACATGCGTAAAATTCTCTCATTGCTCGTGACTAAATCACTCCGACGCCATACATACCAAGTAGCCAAATATAAGAAAGAAAAACAGGTGGGAGGACAGAATTCCCGCACGACTCGCAGAGTGCAGCACGGCAGGGTATATAGGGTAGATGATTGTTCTATATTGTTCCGCCGAAGGTAGCCAATGGGTAAAGAAAAGATCAGAGATGAGCATAGTATCGTCAGTCGCAGGAAAAGATAGGGTGTTCTGGTGCGATCAACCCGAGCCTGAATCTTCAGAAGATGTTGCTCCTTCCGAGTCAACGTCGGATCCGTTTTCGTCTTCGAGAACGATACGTCGCATAACGCTCTTATCGAAAAGATCAAGGGCAAATCGCCGAGCAGGCAAGCGGAAATGATGGCTTTCGAGGATACCGAGAGTCTTGCGGAACAGGTGGGGTTGGTGGAATCGATCTGGCCGTTTGGACTTCATGCTGTGGGTTTATAAGATTTAGCATCCGTCACTGTGATTGATCTCGTACAGAGCACTAACCTATGCAAATCGGCGGCCGCTCGCTTGGACAGGACTGTATTTCCCATGTCGACAATGTGTTTGAGGATTTGTTGGTTCACCGGATCCGGGTCAGAGGTCATGGCCTTGTATTTCTCCTGGGACAAGCGCTTCAAGTCCGGATTTCGGGAATGGGTAGGAAATTCGACCTGAGGAAGGTAGTTAGTACAATTACTTCCTAAAGACGCCATAGGCTCTTACCTTGAATAACTTGTTGAAATCATTGGGCAAACACAGCCCCAACGAACTCCCGTGCTGGTCAACAGCCGAGTCCCAGCCAAACGCTCGCAGGGCTCTGAGCCCGTGCTGACTCCGGGAGATCAAACCAATCACGAAGAATGCCGTTCCTCGCATTGTCAAGACCTCCGAACACTCGGCCATTCTCACAATATGTTCGACGAGATCAGTCTCGAGGAAGGGTGCTCCCAATTCCATTGATCCCACGTTCCCGACTGCCCATAGACAGCCTTTGACTTTAAGAAGAGACTCCGTGTCTTGCTCGCTCAATTGAAAATCGCGGATGGTCCAGGCAAATTCGTTGAAATGACCTGATTGTTCCAGAAGTCTGCATCCCTCTTTTGTCCGTGCAAGCTCTCGGTAAAAGTGAGGGGGTACGACCCCAACGTCTTGCATATCCACGAGGTCTTCAGGGACGAGGCTACCTCGCCGTGGTTGATCAACGTAAGCGCGTGACAGAGCGGCCTCTACCAATCCCACGTACGCATCATTTCGGCCAAGGAACCAATCGTCCATCTCTTGCGTAATATAGTCCAGACCATCCAGGTAATGATAGCCCACCGAAGTCGACAAGAAACGTAGCAAGAGGGGCGCGCCAATCTCTCCCAAGTGATCCAAGGATGGCCTGCACTTGACCACAAACTCAAGATAGTCACGCTGATTGCAGGCCTCCTCCAGGATCTTCACAGCAATCTGGCACACCGAAACATCCGGATCATACAGCTGGGTCACCAGGAATTTGACTACCCAGTCTGCGTTGCCGATTGCCATCTGTGGGGAAAGAGGAACGTTTCGAACAGCGTACTTGCGGAGGAGTTTTGTTGCGAATATCCGAATCCCTTTGGAGCCAGTGGTAAGGGCTTTTGACAACATGACTCGAAGATGGCTTTCATGGGTGTAGTCGATATTCCCAAGGAGAGTCTGAATCAGGTCATCCCGATCCCGAAGCTCAATAATGTGGTAGAACATGTTAAGCATGTGCCATCGTTCCATCATCGCGAGTCCGTTGGCTTCGCCACTCATAGTCCCCAACATGGCAAAGTACCCCCCACTCAGAGTGCTGGCCATCTGCTCTTTCGAGAATAGAGGGGATGACGAGGTCAGCCCACTCATGCGATCAACCTGTGCGAGACACTCTGCAACCTGTCTCAGAAACTTGTTTTCCTTCAGATATTTTGTCCCCTCGGGAATCTGTATCAGAGTACGCATCAAGGCGCACCCTGTCCGGACATAACGCTGGTTTGGCTTGGTGTTTGGGAGCATGGAAAACCTGTATTTGAAAGGTCTGTAAAAGCCGATGAGTCGTTTCATGAATTTTGAGCCCTTGATAGCCTCATCTAACCGCTTAGGATTCGTTAGGGGCCCTTCCACGATACGGTGAATCAGGTCCCACTTCCACTTGAGGTAGTTGACTGTATTCAATACGTGCGTCTCCAAGATGGCGTTGCGAAATTGGGTTTCATCCATGGTAGGGCTCAGCTTGTCCTTGTTCTGGTCATTGGAAAGAAGGGAGGCAGATATGTCGACATCCACACTGTACCGTCCAGCATTGTGGAAACCCCCTAGAGAACGCGCCAGTGTTCTGTTGATGCTCTCTATTTGGTAAATAGTTGACGTGGAAACGTCATGATTGTCAACATCAAAGTTGATGGCGGCTGGTATTAGGTGTGGAAGAACCTGCATTTTAGCACTTATGCGCGCCGGCAAAGAATGATGTGCTAGCTTCAAAACTTCTGTTAGGAGCAATGTGGCTTTTCGTCTCAAAGATAGATCTTTTTCATCCTCGATGAGATCAGAAAGAGCCTTGGTTAACCCAGCTTCTACCAGAGTCGCAAGGATAAGAGTTGAAAAATGGGCTGTCAGATCAAATTTGCTGTCTCCGCCCTCATGGTACGCCCGAAGCTGCCTTGCGTCAGCTTCAGATTGAAGATTTGCGACTCTCCCGTATGTCGTAAGCCTCCGGCCAGCGAGGAAAGAAGAGGACCATGACGGTGGTTTGATTCGTAAGGCGTCGAATAGCAGCTCCATGATCAGATCTCGAGTTTGCGAGTCTGGATAGTGTAGGGAGTCTAGGAGTGACTGGAGGGGTTTTCCATGATTCCTTCCTAGAACCACCAATCCCGGCCAGGTCTTCAGCATTGCCGAAAGGGCCCTTGCGGCCGATTTCAAGCGCCCATTGCGAACAGAGTCTGCTAGTGAGTCAGTGAAGGGTGCGAGAACAGCTTCGAGTTCGCATCCTCCCCGTAGGTGTTTCCGGGTGTGTGGCGTATCCAAAACATGCAGAAAGCTCGCTATCAAACTTTCCGAGGCCCCAAACGTCCCTTCCGAAAGGGCGTCATGCAAGGTGCCCAATCCACCCGCATGCGCGATCAGCTCGGGGTCTTTGATCAGGATTTCGGCGAGAGTCATAATGGATATGTTTCGGAGACGATCTTCAGAGTTCTCGGCGACAGAAACAATACTCCTCACTACAGCGCGCGATATCTCGCGAATGCCGTCTTTGACATCCAAGAAACCTCGTACAAACTTTAGGGCTTGTTCCCGCTCAATGCTTGCCTTGCTTTCCTTGGCAAGAGACAGTATCACCAGCTCGTCGGTGTGCAAAGATCGAATGGTTTGGAGAGACTTCCGATCCGCTATCGCATATCGGGTCAGCCGGTAGCCAGCTGCGACGACCTCTTTGTTGTCGCTCAAAAGCATGACTTGGACGCGCAAGCCAAACACAGACCACGCCAGATCATACTTCAGGGTCTGGTGTCGCTTGAAAAGCTCAACGAGACTATTGGCTCGTTCCACATAGTAGTCAGGAGACATGCCCTCAATCTCTAATGCTTGTAAGGTCTCTGCAAGGACATAGGTCGGTGACTCCATCTCTCCCTCTCCCTCTTCCAAACGAGTGTCATCGACAGTTGTATTGCTACGTGAAGGAGACCGTATTGAGCTGCCTCGGAACAACGTCGATAAGCGGCTTCGAGGGGGTGTGGATGGCGCCTGCGCACGTAATAATTCCTCCTCGAGTTCATGGCTCAGCTCCGCGAGTTTGCGATTCGACGAGCTTAGCTCCGATTCCACCTTTAGTCGTTGGTCCTTCGTTTGTTTCGGATTCTTGGCCAGTAGCGCTTCAAGCATATTCTCCGTTCCCGTCTTTATCTTCATCTCCTTGGCGATCTTGTCCCGAATCACCGCCTGTCGCTCCTCGGTCCCGGATAAATCGTGGAAATCGAAGCTGTTGCTCCCCCTTCCTATAAACGTGCCATCGGGACGTGGGGTCGTACTCCGGGAAGTCTTCATGCTCTTGAGTTCAGAGCTGAAGCTTCCCGGCCCCGCTGACCCAGACGAAGGGGCCAACGATGCTCCGCCCCGGGGATTGATCGTTGTACTACCTCCGGACTCTGAGCGAGAGTTTCTCCCTGCCCTAGGGGCCGCTCCGGGCCAGCTGCCATCTGCAGAAGCATCATCCTGACTCGAGTATGACCGTCCATCACCAACGCCACGGTGTTGGGTCGACGTTGTAGAGAACGTTGAATTATATCCGGACGCCATATGTCTCCATCTAGCCGCAAAGCGATGATCGCCTATCACCTATCGCAAATATATCGAGTGGGCCGCATTGAGTGCGCGGACGGGGTAACGATCAACGCTAGGGGCACACGAGAGTGGCTTCGAGAGTACAGATGTCGAGCGCTTGTTCAGGTCGATCGGTGCTAGTCGATGGCGGGCGGGCAGTTGAGAAGGGAGGGAGGGAGGGGAGGCGGATGGGCAGTGCACGCGGTCAACTAGCCTTGGGGTTCCAACAACAGGGAGCAGATGACTGTGGCTATCGGGGAGATCAAAGAAGGTCACATGTAGCACAGAGCGTAGACAATGATCTGGTTACAAGAAGGATAAAAGGATAAATGATCGGTTGTGAGATATTCAATCCACTGCTGGTAGTTTGAGCCTTAATCGATCGATCGTTTGATCTCTCGGCCAGTATTGGCTGACTAACAATACACAGCCTGTGGCCTCAGGCCGCCACGCCATACCAAGCCACCGCCAGCAACTGCCGGACGATACGTACACAGTACGAACATTAGATGGAAAGTCAAAGACATTAGTGAATACTAGACAGACATGTGAATATGATATGGAAAGATTTTGAGAAACAACTTGGGATACAAGAAGATGGAGAGAAAAATATCCAATATATAAAACTATATGTACAAATAAAAGAATCGAGCCAGCGTTTGTAGTATCCTGCGTTGCTGTCATGCCAAGAAAGACTTTCCTTTGGCAATGTTCACCTCTTGAACAATAACTTGTCTCTCGTATTCTCCACTCGCCACTGGCTGCTCTATGACCTCCGGCGTCTTGGACCTCAAAAATCCACCTCGGTAGCTTGTTCGAGGCCCGAAGCAAGCCCTTTGTTTGCTCCATAGCAGTACAAGGGCATATATAGCCCCTACCAAGGCGCAGATGATGGCATACACAATGGGTGAGGCCAACGGGATATCAGGATTCTTTGCCTGCGCATAATGGAAGCCTAACCCTCCGTTGACAATGCCAAAAGCGCAGAGAAAGCGCCCAAGCCAACGATGTGAGACACCATAGAGAGTTTTCTCGCGGCTCCGACGAAATTTGACGTGCTGCATGATCCCAAGTATCGGCTGGACGATAACAACGCCGCCAATTGAAAGATATCCAAGGACCGGGTGATAGCCTGCAAGCTCTTGGAGATCCTTTGAAACGGAAACCCCAAATACAAACCCAGCCAAGGCTAAAAGTACCGCAAACATCTGCAGAGGAGCATGGATCCAGGCGACAGTGTAACGGGTTGGAATAATATGGAGAAGAAGTCCGAAATTAGGGAAAAGAAGGACGAAAGCAACCGACGTCATAACACCATGAGCGATCCGCTGTTTGTGAAGAAGGGTATCGCTTATCTGTTGCTGTTCTGGATCGAGGGTAAGGCGGGCGAAGGGCGGCGAAGAGTGAAAGAACGGGTTCGAAGAGTCACCCCCAACAGCTTTTGTCAGGTCGAACGTGAAGATACCATGCCAGTCATGCTGGTATATGGTTTCCGAAACGTTGCTGGATACTAACTGGGGCCCATGAGCCACAGCCCACACCCAAGAGCTACGATTACTCAGTATACTCTTGCCATTGTCCAAGGTAATGCAGTTATCACATCGCACGTTCGCCGTCAGTAAGCCATTGTAGATGCCAGACCCTTCGAGGAGAAAAGCCCGTATAGTTGAATCATAGGTAGGCGCAACGTGAGTGTTCGCTCTCCGAGGTGAAAGTGTCACATGCGTGTCTGAAGCGGAGTATACGACGAAAAGTTGACCGTCGGTCATCTGGTTGCCGAGACCCAGTGCCGCCCATTTTATATCGGCGGGCGCTTGTAACTGGAAGAAAATGGGGCCAGATCCCAACTTAGCAGTTGAGCTTGGAATATTGACACCATATGACACGCCTCCGCCGGTCGAAGGTGTATAGCTGATGATTTGTGCCAGTGCGGAAGAAACTAAATATATCCCGTGATTAGTATAAGGATCCAGATCATATCATGTGTACTACATACCTATTCCTAAATAGCAGAATGCAACAAACAGAAGGAGATTCCAACCCATCATCGTGACAATGTTATGTTGCCCCGAGGATCCCAGTTGTTCAAGAGAAATCTCGAACCCTAGAGGGGAAAGAATGGCATGTGGCTTGACGTGTATGTGAAGTGTAAATAACGCAAAGATTTGAACAACTCAGTTATGCGCCGAATCGTCGGTGGTTTGGTATAGAAATTCTGAGTATGTCAATACATCTACCACTGGTACAGAAGTCAGTGAAAAGTCCATCTAGCATGTTAGTTTTTGAATAGCTTTGGTGTGGCTTGCAGTAGGAATAACGCCCTCAACCAAACAAAATTGGTGTCATATAGGCATCTCAGGGCTGAGAGTGACATTGTTTAACCAAAGAGATATATCACCTTTGAAGGCACGCACGACGGTTTGAGGTGAAGGGCGTGGAAAAATGCCTGGAGTCGGGTTTATACATACGCATAACATGGGTCTTTACTTGCGCATCATTGTGCTGAGCATACTGTTTCCGTATATGCCATACGGTGGATCTGCATGGCACACTCAGAGACCAGGACACTGAAGATCACTCGTCCGTGTGGAAGGTAATCGATTGACGGCTGACAGCACAAGCCACAAGGCCGGCGCAGAAGGTGTTAAAGAGAACAGAGATAAGGAACGTCAAGCACGTCAAGCACCTGGGACCCTAGTCACAGATCAAAAAAGTATGGGATAAGTCAAATCCAGAAGCCCCACGAAAAAGACAAAAATGGTCAAAGTGATGGGCGTTGGGCCGGATAGGTAGATGGATAGGTACTCCGCTGCCAGGCAAACGGGTACCCAAAGCTCGAATGATATTTCAGATCATCCATAGTGAAAATATTCGAGTGTCTTTCCACTTTTAATTAAAGCTCCTCTCCAACTGTCCACCATTTCTTGGGTCTAGTGGAACACCGAGGGACATCTAGACAGTGGATTGGCCAACATGGTCTGCAGTTTCAACTCGGCTGGAAGTCTGGAACAGCCAAGCAGTAGGAACAGGGAAGGCCTAGAACTTAGTAACATTAGGTAGTGAGGCCAAAATGAAGCACAGGAAGATAGCGAGTAAGAGACATTGGCCATTATCATCAACCTCGCGCACCGATATCAAGTCGTAGTGCAAGGGAAGGAGTGGAAGCGGAGCCCACAGCCGCTAGAAGATGTCAACAGCGCCAAGTCGGTTGGTGCCAATCAATCAGATTGCGCAGGCGACTAAAGTAAAAATAAATTCAACTAAAACCCCAAATTTTAGGTTAACCAACACGTAATGGTACCTCTCTTCTGGTGACTTGATCCTTTGCTTTGCCCCTACAGTTTTGCCTCTTGGTTTCTTGACCCACAGAAGCCTTCTTTTTCTTTTACTTAAGAGTCTACTTGACTGGAGACATTGACTGGAGATCTCGAAGGATCATCCTGGTAGGTTCCTTACATGCCCCTCGCTAAAGCAGGACTACTAAACCCATACCTATAGTCTAGGGACCTAAATGATCCTTAGCGTCCATCGTACAGCGTATTTGCCAAATTGTGCGCTGATTCAGGCCAAGCCGTCGGATCTCGGGAAGTATCATGACTCGCCAATCTTAATGGCCATTTTCTGACCACCACCCACATCTATGTTTGAATAGTGGATCCCCATTTCCCAAATACGCCAATGGCATCCTTTTCCGCACGTCTCTGGTTTTTGTGCTACTCGCCTTTATACGGTCCGAAGATGTATAGTCAAAAGATGTTCGGTTCTAAGCCTGTGCCGAACGGTGGTTCCACATTGTTGGCTTTATCAATGATCTTCATGATGTGAGTTTTTCTTTCATGATTTCCCAACTGCTCCCTCGTTCCTTGTATCTCTATGGTGATAGGTAGTCACCATGTACTGTATCATTCGTCACAATGGGTGCTCTATCCTGTACACCGTCTCTATATGGACTGACATCCAGTCTTAAGCGAGGAAATTAGCACATGAGTCAATCATACGGGCGGGACGGAGAACAATACTATGAAGTATGCATATGTCACATGGGCATAGAGAGACTGGAAGTACCACCACTACCTCTGGTTCTAATTCCTTGATATGAAACTTGGCCTGATAATGAAAAACCCCACCGATTACGACAGTAGCATCCCATTTTGAAAAGATTTCTGATGGATATAACCAATTCCTTCGATGCAGAGCTATTTCTGAAGTTTTTAAGGAAGCACCTGCGTGTCTGAAAGAGAGCAGAGTACAGAGTAAGTAGATTGCCTATTATGATTTTAGCCTGCCAACCGTATCTGCGGTAGCGTAGAAACACTCGAGTCTTCGGTCTGAAGGAACCTCAAGGATTATCCCCAGTCTACCAAGCCATGATCACTTCTCCTATTACGCTCTGACCTTCAACAGAAGCCCACAGAATGCTCCATTGGCCAGGGTCCAATTCAACACATACCAGACCGGCCTGAGCCCTTGAAGAGGGTTTTTAGCGGAATATATGGTGCTTCCCCAAACCATGTAGCGCTTTTCTATGACCAACGAACTAGATAGTATATGAGAGGTCACATTTCTATGGGCGACCCAGCTATTGATATAAATGCGAACCCATCGTTTGTATGTGACTTCGAAGGCTCTCCCCTCTTCTAGACGTGCTCCTCACATCGTATATATTTGCTTCATATGTGTCTCAGCCACCTCACGAATTATTTCGTGGCGGGCTGGTGTCTCATAGTAATAAAGACGTGATTCAGCTTGGTTAGGTGTGTGATGAGAACCGAACGAAGGCTGACATGGTCTCGAGGCCTTCCATGTCAATGAGCGATATATGCAAATCGCGGCGCAGGTATCATCATACTGAGGTGTTTACTATAGGTTGTTGGCCCCATACCCTGTCTAGACAAAGTGTCGCAGCCCAAGAGACGTCCGTCAATTTCTTGGCTTCTCTGCATCCCTACCTGTTACCTTGTATTATAGCTCGAGTTACATACTGCAGATCAGAGTGATAATTGTTGGCGAGTATGGAGTACAGGCCTCAATGTTAGTGCTGCCATTGGACTTATTGGATCTATAGAGTCTGGTAGTACTGCTGGTACTTAGTTTTTATGATTGTTATGCAGTTGTCCAAATAAGGTGTAGATGCATGCTGTACATACCTATTAATACATGATTCCAGGGCATTGTTACAGCAAATTGCATTTTACATTCATGGACCTTGCTGGCTGAACCATTGGAAGTCGTACAGTGTTCTTCATGGATGTCTCATCAAGTTCAACTATAGTATGGTTACGAGAGCGGTTGTACATGATTACTAAGACAGCTGTGCATTGATTCCTGAGGCCACAGCCAAGTTCGCTTGAATCCGGCATGGACAAATCTGAACCAATCAGCGATGAGACGGTGGATAGGGCACACACCACCAATTTTCTATCCAAGTCTCACGGGCAGAAGTCATTTTCTTCCTTTCCTTTCTCCATATTCCATTCCACGACAACCCAGCACAATGCCTCCCAAGAAAGCCCCTGCCGCCGCCAAGGAGAACGTCTCTCTCGGTCCTCTGGCCGGAGATGGTATGTACAACAAAATTCAAGTCCATTTGCGATTTTTGCGCATGTCTAACGAATAATGGTTTACAGGCAAGCTCGTTTTCGGCGTTGCCCGCATCTTCGCCTCCTTCAACGATACCTTCGTCCACGTTACCGATCTGAGGTGCGTCAGTTGAATTCTCTCGCTTCTCGGACTCGCTGCTTGTACTGCTCGGTCGGAAGTCTGGGGATACCACGAAATCAAGAAGAATAGATGGCTGACGAATTTCGGTTGAACAGTGGTCGCGAAACCATCACCCGTGTCACCGGTGGTATGAAGGTCAAGGCTGACCGTGACGAGTCCTCGCCCTACGCCGCCATGTTGGCTGCCCAGGACGTTGCCGCTCGCTGCAAGGAGCTCGGCATCAACGCTCTGCACATCAAGATCCGTGCCACTGGTGGTATGTTCAAACTGAAACAGTCAAGAGAAACGAGAACGACTGATACTGATACCACTTTTCACAGGTAACGGCACCAAGACCCCCGGTCCCGGTGCCCAGTCCGCTCTTCGTGCCCTGGCCCGTGCCGGCATGAGAATCGGCCGTATCGAGGACGTGACCCCCACCCCCTCCGACTCTACCCGTCGCAAGGGTGGTCGCCGTGGTCGCCGTCTGTAGATATGTGCGAGCGTGCTCTCTCTCCAAGTATACGCACCCTTATGGGGGCTTGCGTGGCTGGTATGGAGGCTGTCCGTATGGTCCTCAGCCTGCGGATGTGGATGGAATAAACGCGGAGAACGGCCTTTATCGCCTGGTCTTCAATTTTTTCCTTGCCCAAGAAAAAAAGATTTTATGCTCAGTGTTGGGGGTTGGTAGTGCAGTTAGTGTAGCTACGCTGGTCAATATATACCATGCTGGGGATTTTTTTTCTATCAATTGTAATCCTGTAATTGACTTGTGACTGAGTTGGTAAAGCCATGCATGGTTTTTGAAGGTTGGGGCCCTACGAATCCGTAGAAAAGCTGAACAATTATCTCCTGGTGAAGTGACTTGTTTTATTGAACATTGAACATGCATATATAATCATGTTATTGTGAAATGCTGTTGCCGCCAGACACTTCATATATAATTTTCTGGTTTTTTCGGGCGACTGATATCGAATCGGTACAGATAGTGATAGCCAGCCGCCCCGCGATGTAGCTCATCAACTACAAAACTCTGACAACACCGCGGTTGAGTCGACGTCCCATTATAATACATTCGTCTTCTTGCCTATTTCACCTCTAATATATTCTAATCCCACTCACGAGCAAACGAACTGCTACTCTCCGCGAAAGCCGAGTATCGCCCACACATCCACGCTCCCGTTAAGAATTGACGTCAGGATCAGCCGGATACCCTATCTCCATTCCCAGATGGTCTGAAGAAGTTGAGAAGTTACTCGCCAACAGTCAACACAGTTGACTGCTACGATATAAAGCCCGGTTTACGCTGTCGCGAAGATAGCCGCCATGTCGTCAATGTCCCCCTCCCCCACCATCCTCCTCCCCCACCTCCCACCAAAGACCCTCGTCGGCATCGACCTCATAACCTTCGCCTCAACTCCCAACTTCCACGGCATCCGCGACCTACCAACTGGATGGCACTTCCTATACACAGGCACAACAGAGAGCCTATCATTAAGATGCGGCTGGTGGTTCCACGTCGGTGACAGCGAGGACCTCGACGGCACAGTCATCTCGCCAAACGTGGGGCCCGAAGTGCTGATCTGGAAATGGGACACGAACACCGAATCACTGGCGCCGATGACCGCCGCAACCGACGCAGACAGACAGGAGGCGATGCGGTACAGGGCGAATCTGGGCGCCGTCTGGCAGGCGGGTGGCTTGTTTCGGTACCGCAGCCGTGTTCCGCTATCTTCGGTTTTAGCGCGGGATCATGGCCCCGGGCGGCGGGCGCCGGAGGCGCAAAGATCGCATGCGAGAGATGAAGCGAATGAGGAAGAGGGGAGGGATGATTGGTTTGGTTTGACGGATAGGTTGTCGCCGGCTGTGTTGACGCGGATTGTTGGGGATGCTCAGTTGGATGTTAATGGTCAGCCGCGCTGGATGCTGACTTCGGCTAGTACGGCGCGGCAGGACAGTGATGATCTCTCGGGGCTTGTGGATTCGGCGCAGGCGTCTGACGGCCTGGCGGAGACGATCGAGAGGGAAGAAAGTGTGCTTTCGCTTCTTCCGGTTGACTTGAAAAAGACGTGGAGGGAGGGAGCGGTGGGGCGAGAGAGGACTGAAGGCGCTCAGGACCGGTCCTGGGCTCTGGGGGATCTTATCGATCGGCTGTCTGAGAACGACGGTGGGGGTGCCAGGTCCGGAGAAGCGCAGGTGCTAGGCGAATTGCAGTTCACTTTCCTGATGGTCCTGACACTGATGAACTACTCGTGTCTCCAGCAGTGGAAGAGACTGCTTGAATTGATCCTGACATGTCAGAGTGCGATCAAAGATCGAGAGGTCTTTGTGCGGGATGTTCTCCGCCTACTTTTGCTTCAGCTTAAGCGGTCTGACGATGTCGACGGTGGACTTTTCGACCTTGACGGGGAAGAAGGGGGCAAGTTTCTTCGAAAGCTACTTATGAAGTTCCGGATATCCTTGTACGAGATTCTAGACGGTGTCAGCCCTGCTGTCAAAGCTGAATTTGAGAGGCTCGAGGCATGGGTCAAGAATGAGTACGACTGGGAGCTGAATCGAGTGGCGTTTGTCCGGAAGGGAATCGTCCAGCTGGAAGATGGGGAGGAGGTGGAATTGGAAATGAACGAAGATGATGAAGACGACGAGACGGGAGAGTATGCTCCTCTCGTGGTGGATTTAGAAGAGACCACAGACATACAGAGCTAACTTAAGTGGCTCAAGTATATACTCTCCAGCTACCTAGGTAGATAACAAATAACAAAAGCATATGACTAAATGAAACGAGATACTGTTCCCAAATAAATGTAGGATTTGACCATCTATGTTATATCTATTTGCTGATTTAAATCTCTCTAAACCCAGCTTGGTATCTATTAATATCACTCGTCTCGCCCCCTCGTTAGATTTAGCACTCCTCCTCAATCACATAACCCCACTTGTGGTTCTCTTGGCCATCCTTGCCGTACATGACAGCCTCGAGCCACGACTTGATCTGGGCAGCATATCCAGCCTGAGCAGCGCCGGCTTCCAGCATGTCCATATCCACATCACCATTCCGGATGAGTCTGACGGGGGTCACGAAGAACTAATCTTGTTAGTATGTCCAATCCTAAACCACGACTTCTATATTTCGAAGGAGAAAAACTCACAGCAGTACCGCAAACAAAGGCCTCAACAATGCGGCCCTCCTTGCACGCCTCCTCCACCTCACCGATGGTGAAATTGCGCTCGACCACCTCGATAGGGGCCAGGTTTCCGACAGGCGCCACCAGCCGAGTGCGAGCCAGCTCAAGGACACTCCGGCGGGTGATACCCGCGAGAATCAGCTGATCCTCCAGAGGCGCGGTGATCAGCTCCAGCTTGCCGGTCTCCTTGTTCTTCCAGACAATGAGGAAGTTGCTGGCGCCGGCCTCGGTGACCAGACGCTTCTCGCCGAACAGCCACAACACCTGGTCGAAACCCAGCGCCTGAGCCTTGCCGTGGGCCTCGAGCGAGGGCCCGTAGTTGGCGCCCAGCTTGGCGTACCCGAATCCGCCGGGCCACGCGCGAATCGCATCCGGCTGGGAAGCCAGCAGCTTCAGTCCGGGCTTGGCGTTGGGAGCCACGGGCTTCTGGGACGGGTCGGGCCAGGGCACGGCGACGATGAAGAGGAGGGCCTCCTTGGGCGTCTGGATGCCCATCTGGGTGCCGCTGCCGATCATGGTAGGGCGGATGTAGAGGAATCGACCGGGCTGGTTCTTGGGGAGCCATCCTGTTGCGCAAATAACTATGTTAGTCTGGTTTTCTCCCTCTCTCTGTGTTCAACTGTTCAACGTTGAATCTGCGAATTGGGGCTACCTACGGGGTCCATCAATCTGCAGCATCTTGCCGATGAGGCGCTTCAGCTCCGCATACGCAAAGCCGGGCAGGGACGTCCTCTTGGAGCTCATCACGAGTCTCTCTCCATTGCAGTCGGGGCGGAACAGGCGCAGCTTGCCGTCGTAGCCGCGGTAGGCCTTCATGCCCTCGAAGCACTCGGTGGCATAGTGCAGGCACGACGCCGTCGGCGGGATGCTCAGGTTCTGATACGGCTTGACCTCGGGGGTCTCCCAGCCCTTCTCGGCGGTCCACCGCGCAGTGACCATGTGGTCCGTACAGTACGAGTGGCTTGATTCCTCGGGCGAGCCGGGCTGAGGAATCTCGCGGAGATTGGTCGACCGGGTGACATTGATGTTGGAGCCATCCAGCTCGGCGAGAGACGGCGCGACGGAGCCCATTTTGATGTGTTTTTTTGGTGTGTTGGGATTGAAATAGAATCGACTGATGCGGCGTGCAACTGGGAGATTTCCGTATATGTAGCTCCGGTCAATTGGCTCCGATGCCGCTGAGTCTTATGAGTCACAAAAGTCTGCCGACAGAGAAATAAATTGCAGGAAAAAAAAAGGACCAAAGACTAATTACAAGGAGAACAACGCGGTTATATATGGAGATTGGAGAGTACTGGGACCCAATGGTGCCGCCCCTGCCGATTGACCCGTTCCTACGACTTGTTCCAAAGAACTACGATGTGGTTCTATGTCCCCGGTTGAGGGGCGAATAAAAAAAAGTTTTCCGTCCCCGGAGCGGGTTTCACTCGGTGGGACTTTTCGCCATTGATATCCGAGCGATGTCCCCACGGAGAATACTTCCAATCCTTTTGTTCTCCTTTCAAAAGGAACTGGATGATTGCGTTCTGATCAAGGATGTCCCTGCTGGAAAGGGCCCTCGCATGCTGGTCTTCTATCCAAACATTGCCCAGGCTCTTTGCGGAGCTCACATTCTGCCGCATCAGGGCTGTTGAAAAGTTGAAAAGGACGAGAGCCACTTAGTTATCGCCCCACCGCCTTTCCTGTCATTATCAGCGGGGCACCGATGATAACCGCGCTTTCTCTGACTTACTTCCTTCTATCGACGGGTCTGGTTCTTTCTTATCTTTAGCTGGTACCGTGTTTTGTCGCAGAATGGACAGTTGCACTGCAATATCTAGTACACCCTGTGATTCTTGGGCTATTCGAATCTAGAATGTGTTCCTTCATCCGTCATATGCACGCGTAGAAACATGTACAATGACACAAAGATGCAATATAAGTGATGCAGACTTAAACCCTGCGCCGATCACTGCTTACTGGAAACCCAGCCGCCAGGAATCAATATAAAACCCAGACTTAATTGGTCCGCATATGATTCAGATCCAAGCCCAGATTATAATCCATACCAGGGCACCGGCCTGCCTACACCATACCATCCTTCTCAAACACACATAAGCACGAGATAGAAGTAGTATCCACACACATAATCATAATTGTATCGCATTAAACCTCGTCATCATAAAAGTTCCGGACCGCATATGTATATTGACATGCGAGACCATTTCTCCAACCCTGTCAACCAAAGATATGTGCTAGTACCTGTACCGGGTGGAGTAGTCTTTGGGACTGACCACCAAACCACGGCCTTTCTTCGCGCCCCGGTAGATTGTCTCGATGATGTCGATAAGTTCTTGTTTGTCTTCTCTGTTGGGGTAATGGCAGTCAGTGTACTATTCATATAGGGACCAATCGAAGACAGGCAGGTATGACATAGGTATCACTCACAGTAACCAATTTAACTTGTTATTGTTACCCGTTCCAAAATCACCTATCGAGACACGAAATATTAGTCGGTTGACGAGTTGAGAGATAGGTAGAAACGAGCAGGATCGCAGCGCGGGGGAGGAGCGGTCCAATGAAGGGAGAAGGGCGGGAACACATACACATCATGTGTTTATTTCGAAAGAAGAACTGCAAGCAAAACAAAACCATATTAGCAAGATATTCCCAAACCACAGCCGAGCCGCAGAGACTACAGCCTATCCGACACCCAAAGACAAGAAGAGAAGACATACCATTATCGTCATGGGATCATAAAGCTCATACATCGAGTTGAAATCCGGCACCTCATCAATATCACACAGATAGATCACAGCAAAAGACTTCACCTTCTCAGCAACCTTGGCCAGCACATCGTCCTGCCGCAGACAGTCCGGGTGGCCGTCCTTGCCGAACCGGATGACGACCAGGCGCTCGCTCTCGCTGAGAATCGCCTGGTCCGTGTGCCACGCAGTGTGCAGGTGCGGGAGGACGATAGAGCCCATCTTGATGTGCTGATCTACCGGATGGAGAAGAACGAACAGACGTGGGCTGGTTGGCGCGTGGTGGAGTGAGAAGTGACGGACTGGGTTTTTGTGGCGGCGGCGGTCGCAACGCCGAGGATGGGGTAGCTTGCTTAGTGGTGCCTGAGGCAGAAAGGGCTGATGATTCACGCCTTTCAACTCTCTACATGTTTCTTTCTCCTGCTGGCTCGGAAGTATCTTTTACATATAATCTTGAATGGTCCATTCAGTTCGACTGATCTATCTTTCATCTCTCCTTCGTCCGCCCAGAATCTATTCAACATGCTTGCGCCATCTGCTATCCCATACTCACCCTAAGCATCATGCTTTTCCGCAACGGATAGCTCAATCTCCTTGGCCTTGGCCTTGACATCCTCGTCAACCATATCCAGCAGTTCTGGGGATTTCACCATATTATTGGCCAGCCTCACTGTTTCAAACACTGACAAATCGCGCTGGAAGAGCTGCTCCAGATCTTCCAGACTCTGACCCATAGTCTCAGGGTAGAACAGGAATGCGATGATAGGGAAGCAAAACGCAATCAGGGTATATACAATATAGTACTGATACCCAATATTGGCGAGCGCGACTGGCGTGATCATTTGCACGACGAAATTCCTACCCATGTTAGCCAATGATTGTTAGAATAGGAGCAGCCGCAGAGTCCATACCATAGCCAATGATTGGCAGTCGAGATGGACGTCGTGGCCACACGGAGCCGGACCGGCGCAACCTCAGTGCAGTAGAGGAAGGATGTCCCCAGGAAGCCAATGGGAAAGAAAAAGTTGTACATGAACAGGAAAATGACACTGAAAACTGACGCAGGTTTATTCGTGTTCGGGAAGCTGTTGGTGATAGCTAGACCCATCATGCACACGGTCAGGCCGACCCCCGTGAACATGAACAGTTTCCGGCGCCCGAACCGATCAATGGTGAAGAATGAGATGAAAGAAGCCATGAACTTCCACGTCAGTGCGCAGGCTGCTAGAATGCGCGAGAGGTCGTGCGAGAGCTCCAGGTCTTGTTGGAAGATCGTCGTCACGTACGTGGAGATCACGTTCGCGCCTGTCATGTGGATGAAGAACTGGAGACCCATGCACAGCATGAAGCGGTAGAAGAGCTTGCCGTCTTTCATGGTGAGTATATCCCGTATTGTCGCGGCGCTGCCTGCAGTCTCTTCCAGAGAGAGCTCGATGGATGCTACCTCCTGTCGGATCTCGGGGTCGTCGGCGGCGCGGCTTTTCGTTCGGGCTAGGGCACTGGCGGCTTTCTCGCGGCGGCCGACGCGCACAAGCCAGCGAGGCGATTCTGGGAAGAAAAAGATGGAGGTCACGAGGACGATGGAGAAGGCACAGGGGATGGCTAAGGGGATTCGCCATGAAACGGGGGATGTCTCGATCTGGGAGAACCCGAAGTTGATCCATGCGGTAAGCGCATAGCCACTGGTGATGAAGATTCCATCGACGACGACATGTTTTCCGCGGTTAATCGCCGGGGAACATTCAGATTGCCACACCGGGACAATGGTGCTCAGAATGCCCACACCCGTCCCGATAATGATACGACCCACGATCAATTGGGCCAAGCTGAACGAAGTGCAGGATATGATCTCCCCGACGAGAGTGAGAAAACCCCCGATGAAGATGGTCTTGCGACGGCCGAGCCAGTCCCCGATGGCGGAGCAAGAGAGGGCCCCCACCAGCGCACCCAATGTGAAGCAAGACACGTAGACGCCCTGAATCACAGAGCTGTGGGAAGTCGCGCTCTCTGTGGTGGTAGACGTATCGATTTCGGGGAATGTCTGAGTCCAGTTACTGAACGATAAGAGACCGCCGACGCCGACTTGATTGTACCCGAAGAGCATAAAGCTGGGAAACACGACCAGCATGGTCTGCGCCAAACGGAGAGACCTCCCCTCCAGAAACATGGTGCAAGGTCGCGGAGGAATAGGGCGCTATCAGTGCAAGACCGAACACGAAATTCCTAATCTTTGCTTGTCGAGTGTGTGCGCTTTATATAGGCCAGCCCTCCAGGCATTGCGTAGAAACCCCGCGTAGCGTTGATTTTCAATCAGAATACCAATGTCAGACTTATCCCCGCAAACCTCCTCTATACCCCGACGTTTTGTGTGGGGGTGAAAGTAGCCCTATTGCCGATGTTGTTCGGATATCCGGGGTAGGATCCACTATGCCCGGTTATCCAGCATGCAGCCGAATGGAATGATTCCGCGGGAGTATACTGCGCAGTGCTGTGTTGATGTCTACGGGCTGATGGACATAGTTCAAGTCGAGACGACCAGTAAGCCACTAGGAAGACTATACAAACTTAGAAAAACAAAAATGAAACGGAATGAGAAGAATGAAGACCTTGACTCTACCAGTATCACGTCGTTAAGTCCTACAAACCGACCAACCCATAAGCCATTGCGGCTATCTCATCCCATATTTCAGCATAGAAAAATAAGAAATAAAAAAAGAGCCAACCAAGATTACGAAAGTCAAGCGGAAAACAATCCCAAATATACTCTCTCAAGACTACAACGCCTCAAGGACCCGTCTGTTTGATAGTTACCTCAAGGTTCGACGCCATCCGGAGGATTCATGCTAATTCCAAATAACCGTTTCGCTCGGACATTGTCCGCAAGAAACCGACGCGGGCCACGCCGTAATTGACAGCCCGGGAACCGCAATCCGTACTAGGGATCCCGATTCCGCCCCCTGCGTCCACTCGGCCAAGATTTGACAGGATATGCAGGGTCGTCACGTAGAAATGATGGTAAGTGAAGCTGTTGGTTACGGTTGGATATCAAGACTCTACCACTCGCCAATTGGTGTTTGTGGTTGAATGATTAAGATAAGACATGCTAACACTTTTCAACTATATATCGACTTTGCGAGTTAGTATTCAATAATTATTTTATATATCTGGGCGTAAAGAAAGGTCGTAGAACCAACCAACCAAGCTAGTCTTTGTCAATGCTTGTAGAACCTGTTGAACTATAAGCCCCAGTTGCAAATCTTAGTCGATCTGCTATAGTTGAGAGATATATAATTGGAGCTGTTGAACTGCGATGACCGCTTTTCATATCGTCCGGCGGTCGGTTGGTGAGTGATGTAAGGATTAGGGTGATGTAAACTTCTCAATGGTTCTAAAGGATCCTGCGTTCGGAGTACAAATATGGAGTACGTATCATACCTGTTAAGGGACTACGCAAAGAACCTCTGGGTGATCCGTAGTCTATCATCTATAGCTTGCGTCTTTTTTTGTCTTGGCGTTGTCGGTTGACGCGAAATGATGTACAATTCATCCCCAGAGTGCCCGTGTACGTATGGAGACTGCATCGAAAAACAACGTAGAAGCTAGTAAGCTACTCCTTACGTCACTAAACAGCAACCTGTCAGCAGGGGCGTAGGATAGGTGCAGTAGTCTTTCACTAAAACTTAAGCTATCTCCAGATGCAAGGCGCATTTGCTGCCTCTTCCTGTTTCTTGAAAGTATCTGACCCACTTCGAGGACCCTTCAATTGGTACCAACTCCAGAACGAGTAACTGGGTACCTGATCCATAGCCATATCGCTGCGGGTTTTATCTCCCATGATATCAATATATGGGTCGGAGAAACTTCCCACAAACCATTAGAGCCGATATTGACTTAGTGGGTACGCCCGCACGGGACGGGCTACCAATCAGAGAATGGGATCCTGTTTCCACCGCAGCTTCATGGATGGTTGTCCATTGAACTTTCTCCAATCATGGTGGACGAACTTTACGGGCTGGGAGAGATGACGGATGTGGTCACACAATCGAGTTCTGTCCATCCATGGCTGCCGACCACACGGCATGGTGGCTTAGGGCGAAACGCAAGCTATGAATAGATGACGTTGCCACTTTTAGGAAGATCTGCTAGCAGCCACTGGAGAGCTCGACGGCACTACTTTCTGGAAGCTTACATCCGATACACTTTGTGTTAACCAGTTCTTGCTTCCGGATGGATAGTGGGTGCGGGGTTTCGACTATTGGTTGCTGTCAAGCAATGAATCGCTTTGTAGCTGCCACTTGAAACCAGATAAGACACCCATTGTTAATAAGCATGTCCAACCGGACTGATGTAAGATCGGGGAGATTCAAAGGGATTCCAAGTAATGTCTTCTTACAGGTGGGCCGGCCGCTGGGTGGATGCCCGCGTGCATTCCATTGTTTGGCACCCGGCGATCTCTTCCGCATATTGAGTTTGGGTTCCTTTCTTTTCCTCGCATGAGCTTCTCTTCCTTTTGCCTTTCTTGGTGTATATTTGGATTGGAATTTTCTTGGCCCTGAAATCCACCGCTCTGGTGGCTGAATCCCAAATGCCGTTCATAATACGCCGGGGAAAAAATCTGCCATTGCGAGGCGCCCTTCCACGAGACCCAGGGCGAGTATCTGTTTTGACGCGCAGTCTTACCTACCTCGACCAATAACCCCACATACCAGTTGATTAGGCACCTCGTAGTGAGTCACTGAGCCTTGATGTTTTGTCAGCAGGCAACAGTAACAGATCATCGATACTCCACCTTGCATCAGCACAGGAAGAGCTGGAGCTTGTATCCCCTCGAAACCTGTGGATGCGACAAAGTACGTTAACCCAGTGGCCAAACGATCGGGAGCGATGGGGAAAGGAGGGTACGGAAGAAAGAGCCAGCGAAATATGATGACAGAGGCAGACGCGCAGGAGCCGACATCCGACAACTTTGGATCGACCCATCAACCCGAATCGAGGTACATCGACTCGCCAGAAACATATCCGTCCACTGGAACGCCTTTGTATTCAATTCCAGTGGCCAAGAGCCTAGCCAAAGCCGGTCTTAATGCCTGTCTGCTGCTCAAAGCTCATGACCGTTCAACCTATCGTCACGAATTTTAGTAGATTTTCAGAAGATTGCTTTTCCTTTTTTTTTTTTTTCACCCCTTAAATTTCTTCATTCCTCCCTTTGTATCCGTTCATCTTGATTCTCCGATTTTATTTATTGTGATCCAAGATCCTCTTGAGAGAAAGGGACCTTGCAGTATTTGACTGAGTTTTTCCGTCCTCCCCGACGATTCTTGAACTGCGGCTGTCTTACCCGCAGTCGAAATAATAGTCCTGCTGGTGGTGGTTGTTTTGATCGTCCGCCTTCGAAACCTTTTGCCCGCCTTCAAAATTTTGCATTTGAGCCCACCCCCGTCTTCGAAGACATTGCGATCCGGTCACCGATTTTCGAGGCTCTCCTCTAGATAAATGAGAGATGGCAAGCTTCTTTAGCTCCAAAGAGAGTCATCGAAATCCAGGTAAACGCTGATCCCTGGCGAAACATCAACCCCTCGAGCGTCGTGAGGTATTCTACTAGGCAGATTCTCAGCGTATTCGGTGCCGCCACGAATCCCCATCTGCCCGAAACCCAGCTGCCACGGATCTCAACCTCTCGAGATAGTAATCCCTTGCTTCACACCTCAGTGGAATAGTGCGGAGTAATTAGGCGCAACTCCACGGGCCAGGCTGGCAGTGAAGCGCATTTCCTGCCTAGGTCTTGAGAATTTTATGCGATTCAATATGACACCCAAAGAGCAGGACAAGTATCTTCCCCCGCTCGCACCGGGGCCCCACGGCCCCATTTCGCAGGGATCTGCCGCCATATCGAAACCAAGGAAAAATTCCACGGCTTGCCTGCCATGCAAGCAAACGAAACGAAAGGTAAGAGATAGGACAGACGCTGTTGGATTTTCTCGGCCCTTTCTGGGTATGGGCTGATCCGTATATCACCCCACTAAACGAGGGAAGCGCAGAAAATTCAACTGCCTCCCCTTGTATTGGAATTCATACGAGACCGGTGGTAACCAGAGTATTGGCTTTCTTCGGCTCGCCTCATAGGATTGTCGGCTAATAATATTTGTCACAACAGTGCAGCGGACGCCCCGTCCCCTGCAAAGCTTGCCGGAACACGGACGCTGAATGCGTTTTCGATGAGACCCTTGACCTCAGACGTAAGGTGGCCGCTCGACGAACTCTTGGGGAGTTGGAATACTATCGAGGTCTGCTACATTCACTTCTGAAAATGTTGCGGTCGTCAGACAACGATAAAATGCATCGGATACTGGATATCATACGCCAGAGCGTGCCGTTAAACACCATTGCCAGCGCTGTTGATGCGCCTGCCATCGACATTGGTGATGCTGGCCCTGATAATCTAGGAAGTGGCAGTGCAGGGAATATGGACGATGCCATAGCCCAACACGAACGTCTCTGTGCTGACTCTCACTCGCGAATCACGGTGGAGAAACTCTGTGATATACCCCTCCTCCAGGTCTCCGCTCGGCCTTGGACAACAGTCACAGATGACAATCATTTGGTTTCACATTTGGTTTCCCTGTACTTCACATGGGATCATCCACTGTCGCAGATTATGGATCAGGGCATATTCCTGCATCATATGGCATCAGAGGATATTCAATCAGAGTGTTGTAACCCCCTCCTTGTAAATAGCATCTTAGCGCTGGCATGTGTATGTTACCTTTTGCCCCAACAACTCCGGAAAGGCATCTTTTGACATTGGCTAGACATATTCCGATTTCCCGGAGGTGTTCGCCGTCCCTGGCGAAATGACCTCATGGGGCCAACAGTTTTTCACAGAAGCAGAAAGGTTATGGAGCGCTGAGGAGGGACAGAATTCACTAGCGAACATCCAGGCATTGGCGGTGATAAGTTTCGTGTAAGTGTCGTGCTTTAGATACCTGATCCTGTCGTTTCCCACGGCTTTATTGTTTGCCTTGCACAACTAACATGCCGCAGTTTGAAATTGCAGGGTAAAGACAATTTGTGCTGGCTCACGTTTCGACAAGCTGTGCAATTAGCACGAGATCGCGGTTTGTTTCATGGTCCCGGATCAAAACATAGAAATTGGCGGCAAATGTCAGATGATGCCCTGCAAGCTGGCACAGCTACTGCCTGGGGGCTCTTTGCGATAAACACGTATGGCCCCTGGATGTGCATGCTCTGCAGAAACTAGCTGACTGTCTCTATAGCCAGCTGTCCATGGAATTGAGCAACGTCGCCGATCTCCCTTTACCCAGGATTCGACTTTACCCAACTAGCCACCCTGACAAGAATGTTTTATGGACACCGTACCCTCGCTCAAACCATATAGATTACGAACGAAAGCCTTCTTTGCTGCATTACACCATGATTGGGATGGCTGATTTGTCCGCAATCAATGTGCAGATTCAAGACTTGTTATTTGAAAAAGCGTTTGACTTGAGTCTCGAAGAGATGTGGGAAACGGCAGAAGCGCTTTATACCCGCCTTGGAATGTGGTCCAGGGGTCTGCCTTCCGTTCTGAGCCCCGACGAACCGCAAATACCACAGGTTTTGTTTCTGCAGTAAGCACAACGATCCCGTAAGCCTCAATCGTGTACCGCGACATTGACAGAAGGTTTCAGTATTAGGTGTCGCCACATGACGATATTGCTGTTCGAATTCATGTCAAATGAGATGGTCTTGAGGCGAGAATCGCATCGTCCTCAGTTCGAACAAGCCCAGTCGATTCAAGTCCAAGCTGCACGGGAAATTGCCGATTTTCTCCGCATTCACCGCGAATCTTATAGCTTGAGGCAGATACCGAGGCAGTTTCTCGACCCAACGAACAGCAGTGCCATCAGCCTTCTGGCGGATTTAGATGTAGACAAATCCAAGGAAGCTTTCGTCGAGCTGTGTCGATTTCTGGTAGCATTCAGCAAAAGATATCTGCCAGCCAAAGCAATGCTCAAGAACATCGAATCCATTGCCCAGCGCAAGAATGTCTCGTTTCCATCTGACGCTCTTGTTGTGATGGACCATCGAGAGCTGGAATCATCCCAATGGCTGTAAACGGCAGCCAGTGCCCCCCATGCGTCTCACTCTTGGCCATTTCGGGGGTCTTCGGGTTTTATCAAATTGCGACGATCGAAAAATAGCTCTCGACAAAACACCATTCCTTATCTCTTTGTGAACTGTCGGAATTTCGGAGGAGGGGGTGGGTGAGAGGTGCAGGGTTGATTGAGAAATGTCGCAGGTATAGATTCTGAGATCAGCATTATCCATAGAATGTATCTAATATCTAGAAGCGAGTAACCACTGTGTGAAGACATTCACAAGTGGCAGGCAACCGGGGCGCTCGGGGTACTTGGAGCGCTGGGCAAGTGAGGGATTCCCGGGACAAGGCCCCCGTGGGTAATGCCGAGGGATTTCCCGTGGTTCAAGGCATTATGGCCCTTGAAAAGATCAGAAGGAGGACCTTGCTATAGGAAAGAAGGAAATGAATTTCCTAGAACGGGCGTCAAGGAGACGACCGAGAAACTGCGCATAACCTGCCCGCAAAACATGACAGAGTAACGAAATTGACCCAAGAAATCATTCATCAAAGACTTGCCTAGGGAATGTAGGTACCTAACAGATTAACACTGGTAGTTGAAATTGGAACGACTTTGCTACTATTACCTAGGGATGGTAGCGAAGAGTGCTGGACGAAAAAGTTTTGTAAGATAAACAATAGACGACCATTCAACTGCGGCTGGATAAGTTTTCCGGGGGCAGGGCCCACCCCCGAGATCCAGTCCACACGTAGTCCGTCCAAGGCAGCGGGTTTCATTGCTTCTCTGACGCTGGCCATTCACACTAGTAAGGTCTATGGTAACCCGTTTAATTAGTATATACTTAAGTATGACAGCTGATTGTAGCTATTGTCGTCGGTATACTACCGGATTCGAGGGGTTTACTATCGTATCCCTAGCCCCTTAGATCTCGAGTCTGTTCGTACGACGCACCAAGGTCAATTGCAGGTCCTAACACGGCGTGATAAGGATCGATCCTCACTTGCTGTAGTGGGAACAATCTATTCTTTCCATTCCCTGACACCTTTTTTTTGAGTCATATCAGTTAGCATGCACTGCGCCATATTTATATGGCCTTTGATCGGACTACAACTCATGCCTCCCCTCTCGTGTCACCGCTTTTGCCGCTGGGCCAGTGATTGATCATGATATGACCACGGAGGTGCGGGTCCTGCTTGCTCAGTGGATGAATCTCGAGGGATCGGAAGGAACTTGCGGTATGTAGATGACAGATTCCAATTGGGTATCATCCACCCACAAGGCTCCAAATGAAGTACGGAGTACGCGAGGTCTATTTAAGAAGTTTCATGCTGTGCATCATGCTGTGGATATCTATAGATTGGTAAGCAAAAGGTGCTCGTTGTGGCTCATTCATGGGTGTACGGAGTACGACTCTTTGACACACAGCAAAGATAATTCGCACATCCAACACACTCAACCATATCATCTTGAGGGACATCTTGCTTGTTAGACTAGCTACAAACCACGACGCCGATTTTCAAGCACAAGCGTCTGATCGTGCTCATCTGTCACCGTCTGCGATGCTGCTAATCTGGCGAAGCCGCCCCTGCCAAGATATCTTAAACTCGATCTATTGCAGAATTTTCCTGAAGTATAAATGAAACTCTTGTCCTGTATAGAAGCTTGGAGATACCGAAATGGTGGGGATCTCAGTTCAAACGGTATCTGAAATAGCTCGGGGGTCGCAGCTGTGCTCATATATCTTGGGTTAGATCTCATCGTATGACGGACAAGTAGTAGAGTAATGGGAGCCTGACACTTTCATTAATATGAAGCGCTTGGAGTATTAGATGTCTTGGAAACTATGAATAAAATCTCAGTGCTGGAGATGATGTATTGTTCCAACTATTAGACCCTTGTATACCATCCATGCAATGGTAGAGCTATCAAATATCTCCAGTTGACATGCTTTCTGGAAACTTTGTGAGCATGTAAGGAGAGGACAAGTAAGAAGAGAACATATAGGATAGAAATAAGTAAAAGGAGAACGTATTTTATATAGGCATGGAAGGCAATCTCCAAAAGATAATTGACATTTGAGTGGATACAACTTGTATTTACAAATTTTGAGATGTGTTCTGGCATATCTCAATGTGGTACCTGCTGACTCAATCACTCGCAAAATAATAAGTGCCCATTCTGGGTATAATAGAGAACAGGGAATCCATCAGTGATCTCTAAATTTTATTATCGTTGATTTCGCCATAGCATCACCCAAAGACAGAGATAGTTACAGAATAGTCCAAAATAGTAACACCGATGACTAGCGGGGTGCCAAGAACTAATACCATTCATAGCTGACTAACTAAACCAATTGTGCGCAGATAAGATAAGCACAAACAGTAGCAAGCGAAAACCCTCAAAATTCGACGCCCGCCGAAACACTCAAAATCCCACACGCCGACGCCAAGCCATCCACGCCCCGACGACGTGCCCATTTCCCTTTCCACCTCTCCCCGCCGACCGAGTACAGCTCACCTTCCTATATCTTCCGAAAAACCTTTATCCCCCCGTCATATCAACATGTCGTACGAAGAGCGCGCCAATGCGCGCCCTAATCTGGGCGATGACTCCGATGTGGAGGAAGAAGCGCTCGTGAATGACTACCGCGAGCAGGTCAACTTCGACGATAGTATGAGCGAGCTGGACCGGACGACGTCGCTGGGAGCTGGGTCGCAAACGCAGGACCTGCAGGCACAGCTTGCTGCTGCTGCGACCCCACTGGAGTACCAGGCCACCCTGGAGACCAAATTCGCGAGCTACGACAACTACTGCAGCCTGTTCCACTACATCCTCAACTCAGAAGGCCCTGTCGATCTGGAAGTCCCTTCTGTACGTTTTTTGACGTTTCTCTTCGGGATTTATAGCGGATGGCCCGGTTTTGTGCCCACCCGCTGGCCCTCCTGCAAATATAACCCGTTGTTGTTTGTTGCGAGAGTTGAATGCTGACTACTTCTTTGTTTCTCTGAACAGTACTACTGGGCTTGGGATGTGATTGACGAGTTCATCTACCAATTCGAGTCTTTCTGCCGCTACCGCAACCGCGTCGCTCGCAGCGGCTCCAACGAGGAGGAGGCACAACTTCTCCGAGAGAACCCGAACACGTGGGGCTGCTACTCGGTGCTCAACGTCCTCTATTCCCTCATCCAAAAGTCGCAGATCAATGAGCAGCTGGCGGCTATGAAGCGGGGTGAGGACCCCCTGGCCTATGCCGGCGAGTATGGCTCGCGCCCGCTGTACAAGATGCTGGGATACTTCTCGATCATCGGACTGCTGCGCGTCCACTGCTTGCTGGGTGACTTCAGCCTGGCCCTCAAGACCCTCGACGACATCGAGATGAACAAGAAGGCCATGTTCGCCCGCGTCATGGCGGCTCACTTCACCACCTACTACTACGTGGGTTTCTCGTACATGATGATGCGTCGCTATGCCGATGCCATCCGCATGTTCAGCCACATCCTGGTCTACGTGTCCCGGACCAAGAACTTCCAGAAGGGTGGTAACAGCTACGACGCCATCGCCAAGAAGAACGACCAGATGTATGCTCTGATCGCCATTTGCGTCGCCCTCCAGCCCACCCGTCTCGACGACACCATCCACTCCGCCCTCCGTGAGAAGTACGGTGAGCAGCTCCACCGTCTGCAGCAGGGCGGCCCCGAGGCCCTGCCTCTCTTCGAGGAGCTCTTCCGCTCCGCCTGCCCCAAGTTCATCAGCCCCACCCCGCCCGACTTCGACAACCCGGCTGTCAACGTCGACCCCGTCGACCACTACACCGGCATCTTCATGGATGAGATCAAGAACACCATTCACAACCCTACCATCCGGTCCTACCTCAAGCTCTACACCACCATGGATCTGAAGAAGTTGGCCGGCTTCCTGGAGGTCGAGCCCGAGAAGCTCCGCTCTTGGCTCCTGGTCAACAAGCAGCGCAGCCGCCAGGTCCGCTGGATCGAGGGTGGTCTTCTGGAGGGCGAGCCCGCCGTTGCCAACGACCTTGACTATGCCCTGGAGAGCGACCTCATCCACGTTAGTGAGACCAAGGCCGGTCGCCGCCTGGTCGACTGGTACCTGAGGAACCTGGCCCGTGTCTACTAGACGAAGCCTTTTTTTCTTTTGCGGGAAAAAAGGAAGGGAAGTATTCACTGGAGACCTCAGCATGAGACATGTGTTACGCCTGTATAAGGATCCATGAGGTCCAGCCTCTTAAGTAGAGGAACCAGAAAGGCACTATCAACAGTGGCTGCCAGGGTCTCGTCCACTAAAAAAGCCGTTTGGGAAACCGCAGGTGCAGAAAGTGTCAGAAAGACAAAGCCGCGGGGAGAAAAAAAGTCGTTGATAATTGTCATTCGGGGATCGGTATCATATTTTTGCTTTTTTTTTCCCTTTTCCTTTTCTTACTTCCCTCTCCTAGCACCATTATGATTTTTCTTTTTCTCTTTTTCTATTACTTCCTCCTGTCATGTTTCTTTGTCTATTTTCTATTTTGTTTCTATCTGTTTTGCAGGTTACCAATTATGATCTGCACTTGCTATGGGTTTGGAGTGGTTAGAATAAATCTTAAGGATTGTTAGGAGCTTACTCCCGGGTGCGCTTCGTTTACTCTGCTATTATTCACCATGGGCTGTTGGGCTTTGCTACATGGCCTCCATAGCACCAAAGGATCCACGAGCAGGTAGTATAGTCGAATTTAAGTGAGGAGATAGACGATAGCATTGACCGATTCCATCCGCTAATTATTATAATCACCGCACCTAAACTGTGCTGAAAAAGAGGGGTATAGTATATTATTCTATCCTGCAATATTTAATCCCGAGTTACATGATATACAAGAAGCCAAGCCAGGTCTCTAATCCCAGCAACCGACGCAGTCACATATCAATCATTCACATCGAAGCTGGTTCCGCAGCCGCAGTTGCTCGTCGCGCGCGGGTTATTGACAATTGTGAACTGGCTGCCGATGAGTTCCATGGTGTAGTCGACCGTGCTTCCGGACAAGAGCTCTAGCGAGGGCTCGTCCATGACGACTTTGGCCTCGCCGGGGCCGCCGTCCGCGGACGACTCTGCTTCGAATACGGTGTCCTCCTCGGCGTCGATTTTGGACTCGGGCTCCAGAGACATCATATACTGGAAGCCGTGGCAGCCTCCGCTTGTGACGGTGATTCGGAGGTGGTGGTACGGGTTCTCTTCTTTCGTTGCGGAGGGCGAGGATGAGGGGTCGGATATTTCACGAAGACGCTGCGAGATGTTAGTTTAAATGGGTTGTCAACATTGAGGAAATGTTGTAATGTAAGAAGAGAGAAGAAAAAAGAAAAAAACAAGTAAAAAACAAAAACATACAACAGCCGGGATTCGCATGTGGTCACCCACCATACTACTAACCGGCCGGCGTGTGGCTTAAGTACGGCTGAGCGGACGGGAAGCCCTGTTCTCCACACCCTATGGTCGTATGTGATAGATACAAGTAACATCTTCACTTTTGTGACCAGAGGGATCCTTGCTTTCGGGCTTGCAACCAGCACCCGGCTTGTATGGCATCATGCCATTGCCACTGCCGGGTCTTACCGAGACCGCCCACCCCGCAACAGCATACCAAGCCACAGCCACAGATAGAAAGCGCATAGTCTTGAGAAGAAGGAGACCAAGAAGATCAACGTACCTCCGTGGCCCGTTCGGATATATCGATCATCAGTGTATTCCCGTCGTCATCTTTCCGCGGGTTCATGGCTACTTTGGTGGCGGGTCGGATGGTCGAAGCGGAAAAGCCGCGGAATTGGCGGAAAACTGTCGAGGGAGGTAGGGCATGGCGACGAGCAGTGAAGCTATTCTTCGAATTCATGCGCAAGGAATATGAGCGTCGACTGGAGGCGTTATTACCGAGGAAGGATGCTGAGAAGCAGGAAACCGGTCTACCCGGGGCGCGAGAGGTTGTCGTTGCTGTGCAGACAGGTCGGGGGTGCGATAGCCGCCGCACGGCTGAAGATAGTATGGGACGAGACATGTCTAGATGAAAAGACAGATACCTCTTCAGAAGGATGTATGATTCAAAAGATCCAGAGTGGAATCAACAGTCGAGAATTTGATGAAGTATTCGGATGATTATTGATTGGATTACATAACAAGGTACGTCTATCGGAATGCTCTGCGTGACGCCATTGGACGGTGGAAGGCGGTAAGAAGAAGCAGAAAGACGATTCTCTCCGCCCGATGATCGCCGCGGGGATTGCCGCAGTCGGGCCAGTTCTACCATTTGCAAGCATGAAATCATGGCCAAGTATGCAGCAGTGCGGGGGTCTGGCCAAAGGTCTGTTAGACATTCAAGTTTCAGAAGCTAGTAGCAACAGTGATTTGATTGATATTTCGATTATATGGGGTAGCTAATGCACTGGAATGGTGTTGATTACGGTGGCCGTTTTGGGTAATTCGATGTTAAATCCAGGAATCTATTGCTATGGTCTCACTCTCACGTGTCCTCATGTATGGGTTTATCTACAATAACACCTTTCTCCAGATATGTTAGATATGTCTTTATATACTATCGCCTCTGTCGCAGACTGAATATGGGTTAATGGACCCTATCGGCCGCGACAATTTGGTGGGCTTATCACAAGATCTCATATACTGACATAGACTCACCTGTATACTTCGCCTAATGAACAAATACAATCATACTGCCAAAGTCACTCTTGGCCTAAAGATATTAATAATTAGGAATGAATTTATCTTCGCTTTATGTCGATTTATAGAATATGTCCCACGAAGTCACATATGCGGTCACCCAAGAGCAAAATACACTCGCTCCATAGGCTGCCTTTCTGACTCCCAAGCCAACCAATCCGACCTCGTAGTCCTAAATTACCATGTTAGCAAGACTCACACAGAGAATATGATGATGGGACTGAGGAACCCCATTGTAAAAAGAGGCTATCAGGAGAACATACGGCAACAATCCCATCGCGTTGACCTTCCATACCCCCAGAGCCAACAAGAGTAACTGCATAACCACGTAGAGAGCCTTAACCCCCAGAAGCTTGGCTTTCGTTCCGTCGGTTTCGAATTTGGCGAAGACCGAGTTTGTGTTGATCAAGCCTTGGATGGGTCCCTTGAAGAGCATAAAGACCATCATGATACTGAAGATCTGGAGACTATTGCCGGACATATACATCATGATACCATTCATAGGGAGCTGTTTGGAGGGCGCGAGGGCTATCTCCCAAGCCTTTTTCAACTTGAGAGTATCCGTCTCGACGGGCGGCTGGGGAGCGGTTGTTTGGGATTGTTGTTGTGCGCGCTGCAGGCGAGGATCGGGTTAGCTAGGTCTATGAAATGCCAACAGAATAATTAAAAGTAGATCATACACTCCGGTTTGTCTCTTTTCTGCTCGAGAAGCCAGGAGGGTTGGGGATGCTGTTGGCCGCCTTGGTCGCGCGTGGCATTGGGGTGTTCATGGACACGGCCCAATGCGGCGGAGGCGGAGGAGGCAGGGGCCCTGAAGCCATATTGAGCTGATTTATGGAAAAAAACTGCGGGAAGAAAAAGCGTCAAACAATGAAAATCAAACAAGTTCAAGCTTATGGAGGGATGGTGGATGCGGAGGACGATGGTGACCGAGGAGTCGGGAAATAAGGTCAGATTAGTTCCTCAGGCATGCGAGTCGGTTTTCTCCACAAGCGCGCGGAGTTGGCGGCAACCCTGGTCCACTCTCCCTCCTAATCCGTTGCATCCAGGCCTCTGCCCTCTCCTTTTTCTCTCTTGGATCTTTACTTCGCTCTCATTCACAAACATTACAGACCAGTCGATCAATTGTTGTATCTACTGTCATTTATCGCAATTTGGTAGGTTTCACCATACTGAAAATGTTGGCCCCATACTGATGATGCAGTGTACTCCCCTAAGGTATGGAGGCGAAGACGACTAGCTAAGGAACGAATCCGTCAAGCTTCGAGAGCTACACAAACGACTCTTCCAATCGCCCACTACGACGTCGCATGTGATCTGTTCTCTCGAAGGGAACTTTCCTAGATTTGGAAAACCTCGCATATTCCACAACCTAAAGAGCTGGACACTATTCGTCACTTGTCACTCCACCATTTCCGATCATGAGTTCCAGCGGGGGCGATGCGAAGTTGTTCGCAAGGGTATGTGCGAGCCCTGCATTTCCCCGCCACCCCATAATTGGACATTGGCATATCATTCAAGATGACGTTCAAGCCCTTCATCCTTCACATTTCTCATCCCTCATTTCCATGATGCGCTTGAGCCCCCGCGACCAACCTTGTCTTACCCCTCACGTCTATCGCTTTAACCTTTGCGATGCCCTGTCTTATGCCCTGTCGTCTTTCATATCCTTCACTGCACACTGCGCCCCATAAGCATTGTTCAGTTTGCATCTGATACAGCCCCCCATGTTTATCAGCGTGTTACCCTATACGGCGCATCATGGCTCACCATTCACTCGTTCTACACAGGGGAAAGTCGCGGAACTGCGCCAAGAGCTCAACTCAGGGGGTAAGAAGGACAAGAATTACTCAGCCAAGAAAATTGCCCTGAAGAAGATTGTCGCCAATATGACCATGAGCAACAACGATATGGTTGCGTTGTTTCCGGATGTGATCGGCTGCATGAATTTGCCTAGCCTGGAGATCAAGAAGATGTATGTTGAAGACAGGTGCTTCGTACCGCGCGAGGAATGTTTGCTGATCTATATCGCGTTCGTTACAGGTGCTTTTTGTTTCTGGTAAACTATTCGAGGATCAAACCTGAAATTGCGCTGAAGGCGCTCCCTATCCTGGTCAACGTACGGCGATATCTCTCTACGAACGGCAGATGGCGTGTCGGATTCGCTGACCTTTATACATAGGACATGGAAGATTCCAACCCGCTAGTGCGCGCTCTGGCGTTACGGACCATATCCTACATTCACGTCCGGGAGTTCGTCGAGGCGACCGTCCAACCGGTCAAGCGCTTAATGGGAGACCAGGACCCATATGTCCGGAAAACAGCTGCTTTTTGCATTGCCAAACTTTACGAACACGACAAGAAAATGGTTGAGGCGTCGGATCTGATCGATCGGCTGAACAGTATGCTGAGGGATGAAAACCCGACGGTTGTCTCCAGTGTCCTTGCGTCCCTCGTGGATATCTGGGGAAGGAGTGAAACCATCTCTTTGACCATTGACTACACCAGTGCGTCGAAGCTGGTTTCGATATTGCCAGATTGCTCAGAGTATGACCTCCTTTTCGGGCTCTACCTTTCGTTTTTTAACGCATTATAGATGGGGTCAAACCTACATTCTCGAGGCTTTGATGTCATATGTCCCCCAGGATTCTGCCGAGGCGCTTCTATTAGCAGAGCGCATAGCCCCTCGTCTATCTCACTCCAATTCTGCTGTTGTCCTCACCTCCATCCGTGTCATTCTCTACCTTATGAACTACATCGCCGACGAAAGACACATCACCTCACTGGCCAAGAAGTTGTCACCGCCTCTGGTCACACTCTTATCCAAGCCGCCCGAGGTGCAGTATTTGGCACTGCGGAATGCGATTTTAATTCTGCAGAAGAGACCCGAAGTGTTGCGCAATGACATCCGAGTGTTCTTCTGCAATTACAATGACCCGATTTATGTCAAAGTGACGAAGCTGGAATTGATCTTCATGTTGACAACTAAGGAGAATATCTCGGTGGTCCTAGCAGAATTGAGGGAGTAAGCTGGATTCACCCCGGTTCCTGAATTTTATATTCCTGCTTGAAGCTAACGAAACTCATAGGTACGCCACCGAAATTGATGTTCATTTCGTGCGCAAGGCCGTTCGTGCCATCGGAAAGCTCGCCATTAAAATCGAGTCCGCAGCTCGACAGTGCATCGACTGCCTCCTCGAGCTCGTCAGTGCGAAAATCCCCTACATTGTCCAGGAAGCCACTGTCGTCATTCGCAACATCTTCCGCAAATATCCCAATCAATACGAAGGCATCATTGGGCACGTCATCCAGAACATTGACGACCTGGACGAGCCCGAAGCAAAGGCCGCTATCATCTGGATCATTGGACAGTACGCGGATCGCATTGAGAACTCGGACGGCCTACTGCAAGACTACCTGGCCACTTTCCACGACGAAACCGTAGAAGTTCAACTAGCTCTCCTCACCGCAACCGTCAAGTTCTTCATTCAGCGACCAACCAAGGGTCAACAGCTCGTCCCGCAGGTCCTCAAGTGGTGCACCGAGGAAACAGACGATCCTGACCTCCGCGACAGAGGCTACATGTACTGGCGCCTGCTGTCCACAGACCCGACCACCGCCCGCCAGGTCATAATGGGCCAGAAACCACCCATCAGCGCGGAAAGCGAAAAGCTGGATTCGCGCACCCTCGAAGAGCTCTGTCTCAACATCGGCACCCTGGCCACCGTGTACCTAAAACCAGTACAGCAAGTCTTCCGCGCCGCGCGCACACGACGCCTCCAATTCAGCCCCGCCCTTCAAAGACCCAAAGACGACAACGGCAACAGCGCCATGTGGCAGTTCCCCCCATCCCCATCGGTCGTCGCCCAGCTCCCCGCCGCCGGCGCCGTAGCAACAGGCACCCCAGTCTCCAACACGTCGTCTCCCATCTCCCCAACCAGCAGCACCGCCGGTCCCACCCCAGGAAACATGAACGCCGCCGTCAACGCAGCAGACAGCTACTTTAACGGCGTCGGCACCCAGCAAATGGCAGCGCTAGACCTAGGCGGCCGCAGCGACGGAGGAGCCGGCGGCGGCGGCGCGTCGCAGACACAGTACGTCGTCAACCAGAACCAGCAGCAGATTTACCAGCCTCAGCTGGCAGGCGGGGCAGCTACGGGCGAGCTGTTACTATTATAGGTACGGATAGTGTGTATTATATTGAAAAACTTCTCCTTTGATATTCCGTTTGGTCGGGTTATTGTTAAACTTCCCGCGACCCCCTTAGCGATACTTGTCGCCGACTTTGTGATACCTCTTTTGACATATAATTTCTTCTTCTTTCTCTTCTATCATCTAACATACAACACATTTCTCGTGTAAAAGCAGGAGCTTCTGTTCGTTTGTTTGTTTGCATGTCTGTTTGACCTATTTATTTGTATTTCTTTTTCTTCTCCTCTTCTTTTCCTGTTTTCTTTTCTTTTCTCTTGATTATGTTTATAATACTGTCTGTAATGCTTCAACATGCATTTTGGTTGAACATCATAACAAAGCATCTTACCTATGGACTACTACATATCCAAATACTATTCTTCGGCTGTGAAAGACAAATCAATTAACCTTATTTCCTACTACTTTGTACTAGAGGGTATCTACATCAATCTGAGTATTTAAGCGATGCAAATACACACCTTTGTGCACTATCAATTTATTACACAGAAGACAGCTGTACATAACAAGGTATTCAAATGATCATAAATGCAAAGGCCGTCCTCCGGTGATAACGCCATGTAAAATATCGCCCATAATGCAAACATATCAAAGTAGCAGGGAACAATGAAAGAAGAGTGAGATTAATCTTCCTCCATCCGGGCCAGTCCCCCGCGACTACGCTTCAGTCTCTCATCTAGACTGTCCTCCTGAAGCTGGCGATGAAGCCCACTCATGAACTGGCCACGTTCGGAACGGTGTTTCTCGTCTTCAGTGCGCTGTTTCTCCTCCATGCGTGTGACGTCTGCGACGCGCTGTCGGCGGGTCTCTTCCAGTTCGGACGCACTGGACATCATCTCCGCGAGCTTGCGTTTGCGTTCTTCTTCTTGCTCTTTTGCTTTTGAGTTGTCGGTATCTCCCGGTCCCTTGTTTCTGTTGTAGTTGTTGTTGTTGTTGTTGGGCGCACGGCCGTCGCGAGGGTAAGAGTGTCTCGGCCCCTCTCTGTAGTCTCTCCTGTCATTGTCGCGGTATGGCCTTTCGCGACGGTCTGGGTAGTCTCTGTCGTCCGAACGCCGTCTATCAGAGTCGCCCTTGCTCGGGCGAGGAGACGGCGATCGTGAATCCTGACGGGCAGAAGACCGATGATGGTGACGAGGCCGGCTGTCACGATCCTCATGTCTGCTGGAATAGTGACTCCTCCGATCTCCGTGGTCGCGATCACGATCACGATCGTCCCGATGGCGACGATGCGACGACCGTTCCGGCTCAGCAGGAGACCTAGAGCGATGGCGACGATGCGACGACCTCTCCCCCTCAGCAGGCGACCTAGACCGATGCCGCCGATGCCGACGCCGCGACTCATAATCACCCTCATCACTATACCTCCGACTGCGCCGATGACCCCCCTCCCTCTCCCTCCGCTTCTCCCTCCCGCCACTACCCTCCCCCTCCCTCCTCTTCTCCCTCTCCTGCTTCCTCACCTGCTCCTTAACCATACTCTCATAAGCAGCCTGCTCCCTCTTCCTAATCTCCAACAACGGATCCGCCATAACCTTCGTCATCGTATCCCTCGCATTAACAGCCGGCACCTGCTCCTTCCCCGCCTCCCCCCCATGATGCGCCGCAACCAAATCCGCCCCCTTCTCCAACTTCTTCGTCTCATCACCCTTCAGCAGAATCCCATCAATGCGGCGCTTCCCCAGTAGATAACCCTCCATTTCCTCGGAGTAGTGGCCC